ATTGAATATTTATTTTTTAAAAGTGGCGTATGTAGAGTGGAGAAGATAAGCCATTATTAATCTCTGGATCTAGTATCAATTCTAAATATTTACCAAACAAAAAACTAAGTCAGTATATCGTAATTTTATGCATCTCACTTTTATTCCAAAGTTTAAAGAGCATCTGACTTTCTTGGCCACATTCTTGATTCAATATTTTTGTCTCAAATGATTTGAGCCAGATCCAACAACAAATATTTGATTCTATATTACATGGTTTAAAGGTAGAAAGGTAGTACCTTGAACTTAGATAACTTAAATTACTTGCAATAAATTTTTGGGCAGAATGGATTAAAACATGTATGTGTACATGTAAATAATGACCTCTCATGAACTAATTATAAAATGATTACATACCTCAAATAATCAAATGAGACAAATACCTGCCACAATGCAGGGGCGTAGCCAGCTTTCAGTCAGGGGGGGTGCGATCGCCGAAAATTTTTCAGTTTTCGGTCAGGGGGGGTGCGATTTTGCCATAAGCAACACAAAAAATTAAGATTTCTTTTGAATTTTACAAAAATTGATGCAACTTCCTTCAAAATTGAGCTAGAAGCTTCAAATAAAAAGCATTTTAAAGCTCTTTTCTACCTCTATCCAATAGTCATATTTTCAGAGGTTATGGGGGGGGTGCGATCGCACCCATCGCACCCCCCCTGGCTACGCCCATGCAATGAGTCATATAATACACATTTTATTAATGTAATTGTGGAAGCACTCTTTTACCAGTAATGGCACTACTCAGTTCATTATGAAACCATAATGAACTAACAAAATAAATGTCTGCTTACTTGATCAACCATATAGTCCATATACCTTACATTAATGCACTGAAATACTCAAAGCTGATTGGCTGTGACACGCTTGATATACATGTATTTGAATACTGTACAATACATTGCATTAGTTTGTATCATCTTAGAAGTCTATGCAAAACTAATGTGGTGAATTATAATTTAAATCTATTTTCACTTGAAGCTAGGCAAGTTGAATCAGAACACAGTATTTCATATAACTGCATTGCATGGAATAATCAACCAAGCACCCACTTTATTGCACCCAGGCTATTTTAGATTCTAGTGAAACTGATAACTGCACTCGTACAAAGGTCTGGAAACAACACAAACATTGCTAAATTATCCTATAATGGATTGAGTCCAATAGTATACCTTGAAGGTGATTTGAACATTTTAAAACTGCTGTTTATTAGAAAAAACATAATACAAATATAAAGGTCTTGTATTGTACATATTGTGACTTATCATCTTTAATGAAACGTCCATCAGGAATGTAAACATAAAAATATATGAGAGCACAGTACATACTTAATCTCTTACTTTCAAATAATAAATAATTCATTTATTTGCATTGTCCCATTTATCATGTAATACAGGTTACCATAACTTGAGTTTAGGGATAGTGTTAACTGTTGACATTAAAGCAGATATGAAATGGTATTTTTGACCTAAAGGAATCAATATAATTTTTTAATAAATGTATTTGGACATGTTTTCTCTCTCTAACGATCATTTATAACTGCTTAATAAGCAATATTAGAATAGGTTGTGACGTTATTGGCCCCAACGTGATCTCTCACTGGTCCCCACGTGGCCAGTTTTGGTCCATTAAATCATGACGTCATAATGCCAAGATGTTTTGTTATTTGTTTACACAACAATCATATGGTTGCCATGACATAGTGATTCATTTTTTCAGTAAAAGAAAGAAGAGACCCTGAATGTTTAGCTTCTATAGTTAACATAATGCCTTATTTTCTAAGAGAATCTTGCTTTTCTCATTTTAAACATATCAAAAGTTTCTTCTACACTATATGAACAATTTCTGAAAAGGGGAAGCGTATTGAAATGCGCTAAAGTTAAAACCACATATCCCATGTTATTTTCCCATAGGGAAACTCGTGGTATCCATTGTCTTCAGCATCATTTTGGTCATCGAAAATTGATATCTTCAGAACTAGACTTTCAATACAATTATATTTTTGAAGATGTTTTAGACCCCTTGTTGAATAATCTTTTCGTGCAATAAAAATCAGAAAAGGGAGATCCTCTTTTGAGTAAATAGGTTCAATACTTCAATGTTGACATGGGGTCCATATTCATAATTTTTCGAATCGTTCGATTGATATTTTTATCATCATGGGTACTTCACTTGAAAGAAAACATGTTGTTTTACTAAAAACCACTGTATTTATGCCCAGAAAGTACTCATGGTGAAAGACATGACCGTCTAAAATCACTAGCCATACTGCATGTGGTCTTTTGGCACAAATTATCTTCATTCAATGTGTAATAAATCAGTAGAGTTTCATCAAAATCAATCCAGGGGACGTTACAGTTGTTGAAATGCCTTTAAAATGCAGTCATACATCCTGGTTCAGGCTGACTTTAGAAGGCATTTCGACCACGACTGGTAAGTCCCTGGAGTGATTTTGATGAAACTCTACAGATTTAACAAACATTGCATAAAATTAATTTGTACCAAATTTGAGGTGCCAAAATACTATGGTTAAGAAGTTATTCAGTTTAATTGCGGTTGCAGTCAACCCTGACTACGTTCTAAAGTACAAACATCTTTTGAGCAGGTGTCCAAGGCATTATGTTTTCATAACTAACATCAGGGGCTATACATTTAGGGTCTCTTCTTTCTTTCCTGAAAAAATGAACTGGTTAACCCTTAAACGATCAAAACCAATAAAAAGTTTCAGATTTTCTTTAAAAAATGTGACTGTCCGTGTGTAAATTGATATAAAATCCTATAGAGCATCAGAAAGCTCATGGAACTATATATTTTCTGAATGCTCAAGCCATCAACTATTCAGAAATTACATAAAATTGTACATTAGAGAGCTGGTATGGGTATGGTAGCTCATCAAATCAAATTGAAAAGCCAAAAATATACCTGATTTTACTGTGTCACAAAATAATCTGTAACACCTTGTGTCACCCCTTGTAATTGCATGTCAGCTACGTTAATTGTTCTATAATTTTGTAAACTCACCTACTACTTGTTACTATTGAAGTCTGAATTATCACTTTTTCCCGGCTCATCCCTTATAATATGCAATGCTTCTTCAACATACACTCGTCGACATCCATTAGACGCCATTTTGTTATTCAAAATCTGTCTTTGAGTGCAAAATTGTTGAAATAATTGATGAAAAACAAAGTAATTTCGAAATAAACTAATTTTTACTTCCTGAATGGAAAGTTCAAGGTCACATTTCAGAACGAGGCTAGGATAGGGGAACCCGCGACTTTTCATATGTCTGCTTATTACAAATGGAAACAGGTATGGAAAGCGCGCCTTGAAAGCGCGGTTGATCATTTAAGGGTTAAGTATTTTCTAAGATATAGCGATTTCTTTCGGGTTTTGAAAACACTGTCTAATGATATTGGTGTTTGGGACTGACTCCCTTCAATATGGGGTAATTAGGGTAGGTGAGACAAGGAGTTCAGTGCACACTCTACTTTACTCTCTTGATTCTAACTGTCTGTTTAAATGCAGACATACAAAATTTTTGTTTCCATTATCTTATCTGAACATCTGAAAGTCTATGAAATGACTAGACTGACTTACATTCACAGAATCATGGATATCTTTTTTCTCTTTTTTTATTTTTTTTTCTAGGCTAGAAACTTTAACCGATGATCATTTGAAAAATTATAGATTTCTTTCTGGCAGTTTATAATTATCTTCTTAATTTGATATAGATTTTGTAATTACAACTGATCTGATGTGAATCTTGTTAACAATAAAATTTTTTTTTCAAAAGCCATTTAAATTCTTGATTTATCAATTATTTCTGATTACAACTTCCAAAATCCTTTTAATTGAATAAAATAACTTTCACGTGAAATATATGCAGATTTTAAATCTGACATCAAGAACATGAAGTGTAAATATTGCTGGTTAAATATGCCAATAAAGACTTATCAAAAATGAGACTTCAGTGAGATTTCATAGCTATATAACAAAGCCTTTATTGGCTATCTTCAATCAAATATAGTCAAACATACAGCCTCAACTACAGGATCAAACAAGGGCAGTTCTCTAGTTAGACACATGGAATAATTTCTTTTCTTGGGTTTGTATATTATACTTTGTTGTCTAAGACACAAAGTATAAGAAAATGAACCACTGACTTCTGCAATGGTTGTCTAACAAGCAAAATCTATTAACCACTCCCTGTCGTCCCTGACCACTAAAAATGGAATGTTAGATCTAGGCACTAACAAATTGAATGTTGTTTATCAAACATGATAAAGTTACCTACATTATAGTCAGTTTGTTTTTATCAAATTTTACAAATAATTCTCAAAATTAGACCTTGGGCATGTCACCTTGAGCTTTCAAGAAATGACGTCTTCTTTTAAGAACTTGAGCTTTTAATCTGATCCCACTTCACCTCTGGTATTTTAATTTCTTCGAAATGCATGCTTTGACAACATATGTATACACAATGTCATATATGTATACTTGAGAGTAAATTAATGATTATGTTAACAGTAAATAAACTTACTTCAAAATTCTTTACATTTGAGATTAATAGTATACAACATCGCTTTCTTTCAGACAAACTTGCCATCTATCCTAACTATAGAAAAAACTATTATCTCACTATATCTGTCTTGCACTTATGCCTGGGTCACATTTGCTCCAATTTATCAGATGGTGCCCAGCCGATTGAGTATCCTGTTCACAATTGTATTCAGTTTTGAACAGAATACTCAATCGGCTGGGCGCAGCCGATGAATCTGAAGCCCAAGCATTAGTCTCTTTCTTTGGAATGTTTAACACATGGCATTATCATGTAAAATGTCACCACCTATCATTTGTTACAGACACCAAATGCCAAACACCAACCAAAGACTATGACAATAATACTAGACAAATGTATATGTACACACTGAGTGAAAGATATAACATAAACAAGTACTCACAAATACAGTCTGGCCCTTCAGTAAATTCAGAGATCTGTTTGTTTCCTCCAATGAGATCTTCAGCAACCCCATTTCTGTATTCTCTCTGCACAGATCCTCAATGAATACTGGTACAGTGTATTCTACACCATCTAAAATATGAAGGAACCTTTTTTAGAATATCCTCCAAATCAAATTGCAGAAGTTTGTTCAATAATTCCTGATAAAAACATGGCATCCTCTGGGCTGATAATTAAAAAACGTTACAAAATTTCAATATTATAAAATGTTACTTTCGCTTCACTGAGCTTCCAGTATGTCTTATCCTTGTAATTCACTGTGTAAAAATAGTTCTACATGTTGTGTTTTAGATTCTTATTACTATTAGGTGAAACTAATTAATCAGTATGTGGCACATTAATTAGCCTTGATTATGGCGATAAAATATAGTTTAACAGTATGACACAAAAAACAGGGGCACAATCAGAATTGACACTAACTTCAGATAGGTATTATATGATGAACAATCATGAAAACTGAAAGAAACCTCTTTCTATCTCAGGTTCGGAAAACCCATGCCATTAAAAAACATTCTTTTAAAAGGAGGGGCATTAATGTTTTGGTCAAGGCCCTACACTGTATTAATGTTTCTAACATGTAAATAAACTTCAACCAATAAAAAAATTACATGATATTTTTTCCAGTTTGACAGATACTCGATTTTAATTCACATGAGTTTTCTTTTTAATGTTCCATTTTCTAATTATGTTTTTTTAATATGTCAATTACTCTTTTCCCCTTTAGCACTACGCCATTCCACAAGCAGATGACAAATTACACTGGCCCCGAATAATCCAATATCTTGAACATCATATAGGTTAACCTCTATATACACACCTTGGACTTCCATGAACATTTCATCACCACTAAGTGGGGCTCTACAGGGCAATTGAGTCTCAGCTATATACTGCCACAAGAACGCCAACTCTGAAGACTCTGGAATTGGGCCTTCACTGTCAATATTGTTAAATAATGATTCACCTAAAAGAAAATAATTGACCTGCCCAATTTAATAATCATATTTAATTTACTAAATCAAGTACTCTTGCCTCCATGAGTTCACCCCTCTCTCTCTCTTCAAACACACTAGGGAATTGTGGTGGAGGAGGAGAACTAATACAAAACTAGTCAATCCTGCCCAAGATAAAACAACTGAGATTTTTGTATTTTTCACATATTTAAATGGATCATGGCTGGCTATGTAAATCTATAGTTCACCAACACTAATATAGGTAGGTTTTACCAGAACAGATAATCTCCCACTTTCTTTATACAAGTATATATGGTATGTATTAGATTAAAATAGCAAAATGATCATTTTTTGAATTTATAAAAACATATTACAAAATGTATTATTGACCCACCTGTGATATAATCATGGTATAATCTGTCCATGCTGAAGGGATTCAACTCTCCTGGGATTTCTATGCCATCTAGAACTATGGGTGGCAGTGGGGCAAAACTATTGCGCTTTTCCTCTACAATTCAATTGTTACGATTTAAAGCCATGTGTTACGACATAAAAGGTACAATGTCACCAACTAAAGGTGAGTGTCACCACTTTACCCAGCCTCTGAGAACAAGATCTTGTCAATTTGAACTTACTGACGATAACTTGTCTTAAACACTTTCCAATCAGAGTTAATGGTGCGATGGCATAAATGTGTGTATTGTAAGACAATCAATGAAATGCTGATACTGTATTGTTCATGAATGCAAATGTGTTAAAGTAAGGAGACATTCAATCAGGCAAAGGTGCACATGCAAAATGAAATGATTACATCCAAGAATCAAATGATGACAAACACAACATGCGTACAAATATCAAAATCTACTAATCATCCTGGTATCTTCTTTTAATGCATTTTTTCAAAGAAGGAAAAGTGTCACTAAAATGTGAGTTGAAATGCTTTGAATTTAAAAATTCTACCCCGTAAGTACATGCAACCATTACACAGTTAAAAGCAACACACTTTTCTTATTTTAACATTTACAAACATGCATAACATCTGTGATAAAAAGTGAAGACAAAGTGCACAAAAAGATTATACATGTAAAGTCAGAAAATATTTCATACCTTTACCTCTTTAAAATGGTTTTATGGAACATAGTAGCCTGGACAGTCACTTGACAATCATCTTATATCTCAGGCTTTTTTTCTCAAATCGGACAAAAATGAGAATTTCTAATGACAAACATCAATGAAGTTGTTTGGACATCTAAGGTGAGTCTAGTCAGACAATTTTAGGACATGTTTACATTTGGCAATTTAATATGCAAGACCTGTTGTAAACATTCCAACTTAATTACTCAGATGCGAGTAGGTAGTTACCAGTTTCGCCACCAGGTGGCTGAGTCGGGGGAAATAACATGGCAGGGTATTACAAAATTCCCTTAAACTTGAATATTCATCAGTTTTAGTGGTTCATTTTTCATACTACTCTTATGTATCTGATAGTTATACAAATTAAAATATGTCCAGTAAAGGAAAATATTATCTGCTCAACACAAGAAAAGATATTTAACTTTTTGTGATTTTACAACATGGGCTCTATGGGGAATCCCCCCGACCTAGAATTCACATTTTCAAAGAAAACTAAATTTTCAAAGTTGATAAACTCTTTTCAAAACCACATTTCTAGATGTAATTCTACATGTAGATTCCAAATATGACATCAGTTTGACTGAATTTTGAATTTTTGATGACGTAAATCAAGATTATTCCTACTCGCATCTAGTCTATTAGCAAGATTATCTTTCTTTGTGACCTATCTCCAAATTCTTTAACAACTGTTTTGCTTTTAGATTGAGTTGTCATAGCATTCCATAAAACCTGGTGGGAAAGGCAAGAAAAAGATACAGAATAATAATTCTACAATAGAATTAATTCTATGGAAGAAAGAATAGTACCATATCCATGTTAGCAAACAGCAGAGTAGTTAAGACTAGTACCCTCTCCATGTTAACAGACACCAGAGTCTAATGCATACACTGGAAAAAAGATATTACATGACAGATAATAGGGCTATAAAGCTACTCTATTAGAATAATATACAGGTAATGAAGAACATGGATAACTTCCTGCTTATTAATCAGAAAGTTTTGTCTATGAATTTGTTTTTATACGGGTATATGAAACGGGTTATTTTGTTTTAGAAAGATTTATTATTTGAAAAGTAAATGTTTTCCACATTTGAAAAAAATATCACATTTTCAAAACTAAACAGTATTCAATCACCGACAGCGCTGTGTACTAATATAAAACACTAGATGCAGGCATTATGTTTTATTGTGGAAATACATGTACTGACAAAAAAGGTAGCCTTTAAAACTACATGTATAGTTTAAATCACATAGACTCTATGTATACAAACATCCATGTGACTGAATATTTACGCAAACAACCTATATCCAAGGATAATTTCTTTTTTTTGATGAAGCTGTCCTGGATAGCTGAGAAGAGCTTTACATTGTTCTCGATCATACAGTTCAAATAATCAAAGAACATGTTTTACAGTATAAGACAGAGTAACACGAATACTGCACATGTATATCAGTACTAAATAGGGAGGTTAAGCTTCAAGTATGATGTGAAACCTGTGTGTGAGCAGTTCATCACACAATAATGATTGGTTCTGAACATAGTCAAAAACAAAGTCACAAAATATAAACTCACACCGATCACTTTACAAGTCATTATTGGAACATTACTTGAATAATACAGCCCATGACGTATAATTTTGAGTAAGCTAAAGCTGAGATTTAAAAAAGGTTCCAAAAACAATCAATATCATCTTGATTTAGTCTCACTTGAATTTTGTAAGAACGGGTTTATTCACACATTTGTGAATGGAATTATTTGGTGCAGTGTGTTTAAAGCATAAGTTTGTTTGATGAAGTGTGTATTGTTCATTTGCACATTCTAAAATGCTGTGGTGTATGGGTGAATGTTATTGCATGTTACTTCATATTTTTAGTACTTCAGATATTGTCTGAATTCATTGTTTTAGTTTTAAGCTGTGCAATATCTAAATGGAAAGCTTATTTGATGCCAAAACAAACAAGACACACAGTGATAAATATCGCACTTTGAAGAGCAAACTGGCCACCATGCAATTTACCCAGCATGGCCAAAACCTAATCAGACCTTGGCACTAGTCTGCTCTTGCATCTGTAAACATTTCAAGTTGACAAGGTTAGCGGTTTTCCTGCAATTTTGATGACAAGAATTTATTTGTAGTCTCAAACTTTGGGAAAATTTAGATAACATCGTTTGTGACCTAATTTGATGACCTTGACAATAGTCTGCTCTTGGTACTAGTCTGCTCTTGCATCTGTAAAAATTTCAAGTTGAACAGGTAAGCAGTTATCCTGGAAATTTGATGACAAGATTTGGTTTATGTCCCGCCCGCCCGCACGCCCGCCCAACAGCACAAGACGACGGCAATATAGCACTTTTTAAAGTGCGATAAAAATAGGAATATCAAATGTTAGGTTTCATATAAAGGCATGAAGCTTAACCTACCTCTCTACAGTTAAAGTACCATGATTTTATCTCCAATGGTTATTGTTAATGTACTCTGACTCACCCTGACATGGCATGATTAACAAACGTACCTTTCCTCAGCTCATGTAGTTCATGGAAGGGGTCAGGATCCTTCAAGGCTTTACTTTTATTCAAAGATTTTCCTTGTTTCTGGAAAGGCACAAAATTTTACATCTGAATATGATTTTTCCATTCAGAAAATATTATTGGTCATACCCCACTTGTACCAGTATAAAGCATAATATTTTTCAGAAATATATCTATTTAATGCTATATAAGCAAAGGTTGCAATTGATGCAAAAATAGCAAAAAATAAAATTTATAAAATTTAATAAATTGAATGTTTTTTTATATGGCTAAGCTAATCTAAAGATAGGTATAAAACCAGGTCTAAACAACCTACATGCACTAATGAACAATGAATCTAGTTTTTTACGATATGTCATGCTCAGTGATCTGGTACTCATCGAGAAGCTCATTTAGGATACCAATCAATAGAGGAATGATGTAATACATGTACATGTTCAATGCATGCATAAACAAGCATGCAATAATTAATAACATGCATTTAACCCAAATGCAGCCAGAGTAACCATGTAGGATAAATGTCCCTTATTTTAAATATATATTTGATCATAAATACACAATTCATACTGTTTTTTAGGTTTTCAAACATTTAATACAAATGTTAGGTAAAAAATACAATCCATTAAATAATAGTACAATAACAAAGAAAGTAGCAAGATAAGTTCAATTCAAATCTTGAAACAAAACAGGGTTGGAAGAAGGTTAGTGTATGACAATCAATCACAGTATATGATGCTTTCAAATGGTAAACCAACACTAAATTACATTTATCACATCACCCAAGAGGGTATATAGAAAAAAGATTGAACATTTGACTGTAAAATTACATTGATTGATCGAAATCAAGCTCAGGAAAGCACAAAATTATGTATTTCACTGAGGAATTTTTTTTTTCAATCATTCAAGTTGTACAAGTCAAGAGGCTTTCAACTGACCTTGTATCAGGACTGAGAAAGGTGAGGGATGCACTGGGGGACAAAGAAAAGAAACAGAATGGGGGGAGGTTAAACATTAGACACACTATCTAGACAGATATGTATATAAGTACCTCAGTAATACTTGCCCACAAATCTCTCTCCTTGTAAAACTTCAAGAAACAACATAAAAATTAATTGTGTTTCCATATAAAGTAACAACACATAAAATACAAATAAAGTAAAGCCATGCTCCAAGCAAAAAGACACAAGGCATTTACATCACAAACTGTCACCACCTGATCACACAGAGTACTCAACAGTGGAAACTCAGAGTAGGTCCAACAATTTGTTGCCATGGTAACCAACAATATTGCTTTAAAACTGAAAATGGCTACAATAATTGATGTATATGTGGCTTTTAAGACATTTCTGACTATAACTCCATAACATACAGTTTTTATTAAACAAATGTAAGAAGTGTTTCATGCCCTATATTTTGTTGCCATAGTAATAGATAATGCCCTAAATCTGAAAACTCTAGTCCCATCTCTAAGGTGTTCATTATGTGGACAGTACTTCTTAAGTATTACAAATGGTTACAAAGATGTAACAATTGTTACTGATGGTTACAAAAAGTTGAAGGATAAAATAATATGTCACCACTCTTCTTGGTGGTGACATCAAGCATGAACTTTAAAGGTCCATTGGTTACAACACTTGGCTTGATACAAAAGCAAATGAAAGCATAGATCTTTAGAATTCCCTAAGCAAGACACATGTTAACACTTCCCATTTGTTTATAAAAATGATGCCTTACAGCTTTTTCTGTTTATCTATATTTGATCTGTATGATATGAGCAAAGCAACCACTTAGCAAAGCATATATAAAATACATAAATAAGGTCAATAGGTAAAAAGCTGGACTTTTTCATTTTCAAGAAATCATACAAATTGAAATGCTGTCAATACTATCTTAGAAATAAAAGCCCCTTTAATACTATGTGCTACCGTTTCACCAAATCTTGGTCTCGTAAAGTTGCAAATAGAATTGTAGCTATAGATAGGGCGACAATCACTTGGATATTACAAGGGAATCACACAACTAAGAAATAATTATAATGAAATCAAAATCATAATTCCAACAAACCTGACAATGCCATATGACCCGAAAATGTAACCTTTCTGTACTCACTAGTTTTAATTCATTTGCTGTGTTCTGCAGGTCCTGTAGACCACTTCTCATCTTCTGCTCTTGTATGATCAGCTTGGACAGGCTTTGTCTGTGTTGTATGTATGTTGTGTTCAAACTGAAATCACAATGTTCCACAGGTACTGACTTTCAGTTTTTTTGAGTCAGATTTTTTGAATTATCATTTACTCATATTTCTTTTAAATTCATAGTTGAAATGTTAAATTTGATGAGTATGATTTAGAAAAAAGAAATTGGGTCAGACAATGAGAAAACCCGGAGATTGGGAGAGCAAATCTAATGAAATGTTCAAACTGCTTTACGGTTACAGTTGTACAGAAGGTGGCTCAGGTAAATCAGTCAGAGGCACAGTTAGCAAATTGCACTGATTCACTGAGATTGAAGCATGCACAAGTTAGACCATGGTTAGAGCAAAAATTTTAAAACTTTTTGGACAGCCCCCATATTATTGACTTATCATTATCTTATGAACACCCCTTTGTTTTACCTTTCAATGACTTGCTCCGTTCTATGGCAGTTGTCTAGGTCTGTTTTAATGTAAGTATTTAGTTCTTTTAATTCCTCATCAAGTCTAGCTTCCTCTAAAATCTCAGCCTATAAATGACAAATATGTATCATTTAAAATATATTTTCTATCAAATATATCATGCACATGCAATATAGAATTTATTTATTTAGAATAATGATAAATAAACAAATAAAGACAAACCCATCTACGTCAGGCATATAAATCCAGAACATACATTTCCAAACAGATACATACTCAGGAACAGGAAAAGGAACAGGTATGTTATGTACATCATTTACCGTATATTAATTCAAATAATGTCCCAATATATTTTATTAATATCAGGCCCGTAGCCAGGGGGGGGGGGTCAGTTTTCAAAACTTTCCAGGGGGGTTCACATTTGGCAATTTTGGCCCAAATATAAAAATAAATTCACTTGAGAAGTGCTCAAAATGGTGAAAAACTGCATGATTTTGAAAGAATTTTTGGCCAGGGGGGGGTTTGCCTGAACCCTGCGAACCCCCCCTGGCTACGGGCCTGAATATACATGTAGATTTACAACTTCATGTACATAACATGTTTATAATACATTCATTCACATACATCATGCATTTTTATTGTTGATAGTTTTGTTCCCACAAAATATTTGTTTAAATAAGTTCTTATTTCAGTTAATTATCCCTTATATACACAGGGCCATATCAAAAGGTGCTAATCTTTCAGTATTGTAACATGTCCAACGTAATTAAGCATAAACAGCAAATGATTAAAGTATGAGGCTGCAGGTATAATTGTATTATTAGAAGAGATCTTAGATCGTATCTGAAATATGAGATGCAAGGTTAGCTTTGATTTGAAACAGAAAGAGAGAAGCCCAGGAGAAGTAAATTACAGAATATTAAACAGAAAATCAGCATTCTGATACTCAGACCATCTCTGCAATGCACAAGTTCTAGAAGGAAACTGAGAGAAGGCTGTGGTATCTCACGATAGAAAATCAGTGTTCAAGTTGTGTTGTAAGATTAAATTCATTTATAATACTCTGTGATCCTCTTCCTAGTGTACAATGGGGCATAAACTTGTAAAGTCATAAAAGACACAAGGTATGTCATTTTAATGAGCAGATATTAACAGTCACTTGGACATAAGGATAGTGAAATATAGTAAAGCAGAAAGTGCCAATAATACCCGATACTAATGAAAATGATTTCACTTATTATTACCACCTTGCAGGGCCTGTTCTAGGGGTATTAGTACTAGTGTAGAAGGCATTTATTTTACTATATTGACCTGAGCAATATGTGACGTCATACTGGCAGGCCAATAATGGATTAACAGCCCGGCAATGTTCCCCGAGGAATGAGATATAGTTCAATGCGTATAATTTTCGCTCATTGAAAGCCCATGGTGGTAGTTAGTTCTTGCTATTTCAGCCTTAGGCATAAACGGTGGTAATAATACTAAAACATCATTTCTGCGAGAAAAATAGTGAAATATTGGACCTCCTGGGCCACTATATTGGCCTTTGAAATGACTATATCGTACTATTCTTTGGTCATTATAACTACTCGCAGAGTGTTATTCTTAACTCATGGCGATACTTATATGTAGATTTTGATATAAAAAAGTAGAATTGAAACAATCTTATTTGGACTGACCTGCTGAGTGAGGGTGTCTATCCTAGACTTCAATAAAGTAAGTCGCTGCTCTTCCTTGTCATGACAACTTCTAATGTACTCCTACACAAACAAAGGAACAGTACTAGGAAATGCTTTGTATTATCAAAGCATGTAGAATATTCACCATTCTGGTGCTGTAAGCATGAATCGTGAGCTTTTAAAGCCCATGAATGATTACATAAATAAACACTTTTTATTTAGAGTAGTATTGAAATTCTATATTAAAATAATTATTGTTAAACATTTTCTATTCTAAACTCTAGATATCATTTGAAAGGTCTTACTTTTGATTTTATGAGATCTTGTTTCTTGGAATCCAGTTCTTGTAATCTTAAGAAAATATACAGAATAGTGAGATTAAACACATGTTAATTGTTTTATAAGACATTACGAATCTGGAAACGAGACATTCATGAATGAATCAACCTACAATACATAGATTCAAGGGATTATGTACACATAAAGCAATGGGAAAAGTGTGAAGAACAACTCAGCAGAGAAAATGAGTGAACTGCTATCTATACAAGTCCTGACTCCCATTGAAAATCAATATTTTAAGATGTTTTTCAAGGAATAACTTCCCCACTGTAAAACACATTTACCTCCATTGTTTCCTATGTAAAAGTTTGGGGGATTCCTTTTCTGGCAGCAATGACATCACATCAACTGCTCCATCTATTGAATTACCTAAATAAAATCGCAAGTTGGCACGGTTTCAAATACGGACATCATGTTCAAAATAAAATTGAATGGATAATTCATGCATAATACACTGCACACCATCCTTAACTTTCTGTCCTTGACAAGAGGTTGACCTTGTTTACATCTCTTTAAAATTGAGAGAATTCTCAAACTGTGCTGTCAAAAAATCCAAACTTTATCTTCTGCCAAAAAGTAGCTAAGTTCACATTAATTTTCACATCAAAATTCACCAAAAGAACATCAAAACTGTAAAAATTCCCTACCTTGTTTAAGATATCTAATTATATGGCAGGCTATACTCCAGTGTTGATCAGTCAATGTCCCTTCTCTGTATATATCAGCTATGTCCCAAACTTCACCCAAGTGCTCCTTACTTAATCCACTACACCGTAAATGATTCCTGGCAGTGGCAGCTGGAAAACAAAGGAGGATATATTTGTTTGTTTGTTTGTTTGCTTGTTTGTATGTCTCGTTATTTTTAGATATTACTAGTATACCAAATTAATCATAATTCAAATTTACCTTCAATGACACCAGAATTCTGGTTATCTATAATTTGGAATGCTTTGAAATACACAGCAACATCTTCCTCACTCATACTTGGAATGTATTGTAACTTCCTGTCACATGGCACAATGTTGCTAGGCAATGACTTGGGTAGTTGTTGCCCCAGGAGATACCTCTGACAGAGGTGGACGGTAAGAGTGAACTCTCTGAGACTGAGTATGTTGTCATTTGTAACATCTGTCAGGTTCCTAGAAACAACAAGTACAGAATAAAGACATCTTCAAATAAGGAAGGCTTAAAAAAACGGAGATACAACTTTTTAAAAGGTTTTTCCTTAGCTTAAGGAGACACTGTATATCTGCTAGCTGCTTGTGCTGACATGAAAAACTCGTCACACAACAGTCAAACATGTCGTAATATTTATCTGATTTTCTGTACTCATTGTATTGCCCATGTGCTATAATGCACATTAGCAGCACATAGGTCCTTATTTCTTAAAGGAATTATTGAGCATGCATGTTCAGAGAGGAGTACATGGTATGTTATTTCAGGTGTAAGCCATATGTGAAAACAAATATTTTCAATGCAATTTTGAAGAAATTATATGTCTGGAAGATCAAGCAGAACATAATCTGATCACACAGAAATGAGATTTAATTTCCTAGTTATAGTACAGAATCATCCTTCAAGATCAGGCTTCCCTGAAAAGAAACAGTAAGTTCATTGCATCCTATAATTGTCTGACAATAGTGTACCCACTCCACATTCTATTTACACATATGTACTGTATACTCATGGGCGTAGGGCTATATTTTGAGTTGGTACGCACACTCTGGGATGACTGATTGCATGGGTGAAGGCCACGCATCGCAGGGGGTCCGGGGAGCATATTTTTTCAAAGAAGGGGGAGAAAGTTTTTTCAAGGACCTTATTTGATGGAATCTAAATGTTTTTATCAACTTTAACTGTTGACAATGGTAAACATACAGATACGGAAGCATCAATAAATTCGCAAATAAATTAATGCATTTTAACACATTTTTGATTGCTTTCAAATTCATTTGGTATGCCTGTGCGTATCTTGCGTAATAGGAGCTACGCCCGTGATACTGTAATATGCAATAGAGTCTATTAGCTTTACATGACTAGACAGAAAGTGTGATCCTAATTAAATGTACATGTACTTTAAATTTCAATAGAGTACAGTATTAAAAACAGATGTTACCAGGTAAAACGACAAGAACATATGTAACTTAACAGATGAATGTTAACAATTTCCAACTGGGGGTTTAAAATTTTCATCTAAAATCCATTGATCTTTTTTGATCATATACTTATTAAGGCAATTGAAATATTGTGTAGTAATAAAACGGACACAACGTGAACAAGATCATATCACAAAGTGGGCACTGTTTCATGATGAATTGAAATATTGAAAAACATCCAAAATTTTATACCACCTAACAAGAAAATTTGAAATAAATTCAAAAAGACTGATTCTATTCCAGATGGTAACCAAAAGATTTATCATCTCTAGGACTCAATGAAAAATGATGGGAAAATCAAAGAATTAAATTCAAAATGGCTGACAGAATTTCAAGTTGGATACCTAAAAGCTATATCAATGCAACCTTTTCTGAAGAAAAGGTGTGTGAAAAAATGGCCAGTCAATTTGAAATGAGTAGAAGCACCCTTGATCATGCCACCAAAATGATGTGATAAAAGTTGGGAAATGGTGGACAATGAAGTGACCTTCAATACTTGCAATATAACTATCAATTTTGATACTTCTTAAATTTTATAAGGGCTTATGCTTTACTTACCAGACCAAACTTAGAATTCGTAGAGGCAGATTAGATGTAAGCAAGAAGTCTCTTGCAACCAAACCTAGAAAAAAAGAATATTTCTTAAAGCTACTTTCCCCCTCTCCTCTATCCTTAACCTTGAAGAAATGAAGTGTAGCAATATTAGTGGAAGATTTAATACAGGGACGCACTAAATGGTTATCAGATCACATTGATTGAAATATACCACTTCATTAAGTATATGCCAAATTTCAATGGATGAACAGCAAATACTTTATAGCAGGAACAACCTACTGTTTAATAATGCCCCCTGCATGGACCTGAGGTCTAATATTATTATTATTAATCAATCATTTTGATCCTTTTTTAACTACAGCACTAATGTGCAAAATGTGTCTTGATTTGACATTCTATAAAAAAATATTATTATAATATTCTTGTGATGCCAACGTATCCAGAAATCAAAAGTGGCTATTAATTCATCAAATCCCTTTTGCATGCCCCCCTCCCCCTATCTCTTCCTGATGCGAAAAGGGGAAGACACAGGGTATTGATGCAAGGCAAGAACAGTTTACCTGGTAGGAGATCATTGTAAGGTCCGAGGAAGAAGAATAACGCCGCGTGACGTAACTGCTCCTCTTGTGACAGGCCTCCATAATCATGTGACATTATGTCACCTGAAAGCACAGGTACAAATTTTAAAATGAAATATACAGTAAAGAATCGTCAAATAAACAAATGATATATGAGTAATAATACACGGATCAAATTCTACCATATGAATATATCTTTTGTAAACCACTAATTAAATGTGAATGTGACCTTAAATAGTACATATTAGTAGCTCTATTATAAGAAGCACTTTCAAAGATTTTTAATATAATTCCCTGGCATGCTTAACCTGTATCATTAAACATAAAAAGAATTTCTTTTAAATAAAAGATAAAAAGTAAAAGTTTAAAAATATAACCAAACATTCTGACACCTAAAATTCGATTTTGCCTCAGGCAGGTAACATAACTTTGTTCAAAATTATGGTTTTTGCATGAGCATGGTTTTTAAATACTTAAATATCATGGTACATCAATAGTTTATTTTCTAAATAATGTTATTTTTAAAAAGAATATATGAATACATGAATTTTTTCTTACATTTCATTTTTAAGGACACCAAAATTAACAATAGTTTGATAATCACATTATCTGTTCTCTGATATCTGTAATTCTGTGCATGCCACAAACAGTCATACAAGGCATTAACATGACAAAATGTCACCACCTAGTTGCTCACAATATAATGAGTTCAAACTTAAGTCAGATTTGAATTTCTGAGAACTTGTAAAGTCAAATTTGAACTTCTGAAAAGATGTAGATGATTTTGAAAAAAAAATTAGTCAATTTGAAGCAAGTTGAAAACAGACCTTTTTGACCTTTTTTGACCTTGAGAAGGTCATTGAAGGTCAAATGTCAAATCTAAAGTCAGATTTGAATTTCTGAGAACACGTAGATGATTTTGAAAAAAAAATTTAGTCAATTTGAAGCAAGTTGAAAAAAGACCTTTTTGACCTTTTTTGACTTTGAGAAGGTCATTGAGAACTTATAAAGTCAAATTTGAACTTCTGAAAAGATGTAGATGATTTTGAAAAAAAAATTTAGTCAATTTGAAGCAAGTTGAAAACAGACCTTTTTGACCTTTTTTGACTTTGAGAAGGTCATTGAGAACTTGTAAAGTCAAATTTGAACTTCTGAAAAGATGTAGATGATTTTGAAAAAAAAATTTGGTCAATTTGAAGCAAGTTGAAAACAGACCTTTTTGACCTTTTTTGACCTTGAGAAGGTCATTAAAGGTCAAATGTCAAATCTAAAGTCAGATTTGAATTTCTGAGAACATGTAGATGATTTTGAAAAAAAAAATTAGTCAATTTGAAGCAAGTTGAAAACAGACCTTTTTGACCTTTTTTGACCTTGAGAAGGTCATTGAAGGTCAAATGTCAAATCTAAAGTCAGATTTGAATTTCTGAGAACAAGTAGATGATTTTGAAAAATTTTTTTAGTCAATTTGAAGCAAGTTGAAAACAGACCTTTTTGACCTTTTTGACCTTGAGAAGGTCATTAAAGGTCAAATGTCAAATCTAAAGTCAGATTTGAATTTCTGAGAACATGTAGATGATTTTGAAAAAAAAAATTAGTCAATTTGAAGCAAGTTGAAAAAAGACCTTTTTGACCTTTTTTGACCTTGAGAAGGTCATTGAAGGTCAAATCTAAAGTCAGATTTGAATTTCTGAGAACATGTAGATGATTTTGAAAAAAAAATTTAGTCAATTTGAAGCAAGTTGAAAAAAGACCTTTTTGACCTTTTTTGACTTTGAGAAGGTCATTGAAGGTCAAATGTCAAATCTTAAGTCAAATCTAAAGTCAGATTTGAATTTCTGAGAACATGTAGATGATTTTGAAAATTTTTTTAGTCAATTTGAAGCAAGTTGAAAACAGACCTTGTTGACCTTTTTTGACCTTGAGAAGGTCATTGAAGGTCAAATGTCAAATCTTAAGTCAGATTTGAATTTCTGAGAACACGTAGATGATTTTGAAAAAAAAATTTAGTCAATTTGAAGCAAGTTGAAAACAGACCTTTTTGACCTTTTTTGACCTTGAGAAGGTCATTGAAGGTCAAATGTCAAATCTAAAGTCAGATTTGAAATTCTGAGAACATGTAGATGATTTTGAAAAAAAAATTAAGTCAATTTGAAGCAAGTTGAAAAAATACCCTTTTGAAAAAAAAATTTAGTCAATTTGAAGCAAGTTGAAAAAAGACCTTTTTGACCTTTTTTGACTTTGAGAAGGTCATTGAAGGTCAAATGTCAAATCTTAAGTCAAATCTAAAGTCAGATTTGAATTTCTGAGAACATGTAGATGATTTTGAAAAATTTTTTAGTCAATTTGAAGCAAGTTGAAAACAGACCTTGTTGACCTTTTTTGACCTTGAGAAGGTCATTGAAGGTCAAATGTCAAATCTTAAGTCAGATTTGAATTTCTGAGAACACGTAGATGATTTTGAAAAAAAAATTTAGTCAATTTGAAGCAAGTTGAAAACAGACCTTTTTGACCTTTTTTGACCTTGAGAAGGTCATTGAAGGTCAAATGTCAAATCTAAAGTCAGATTTGAAATTCTGAGAACATGTAGATGATTTTGAAAAAAAAATTAAGTCAATTTGAAGCAAGTTGAAAAAATACCCTTTTGACCTTTTTTGACTTTGAGAAGGTCATTGAAGGTCAAATGTCAAATCTTAAGTCAAATCTAAAGTCAGATTTAAGATTCTGAGAACACGTATATGATTTTGAAAATTTTTTTTAGTCAATTTGAAGCAAGTTAAAAACAGACCTTTTTGACCTTTTTTGATCTTGAGAAGGTCATTGAAGGTCAAATGTCAAATCTCAAGTCAAATCTTAAGTCGAATTTGAATTTCTGAGAACACGTAGATGATTTTGAAAAAAAAATTTAGTCAATTTGAAGCAAGTTGAAAACAGACCTTTTTGACCTTTTTTGACCTTGAGAAGGTCATTGAAGGTCAAATGACAAATCTAAAGTCAGATTTGAAGGTCAAATGTCAAATCTAAAGTCAGATTTGAATTTCTGAGAACATGTAGATGATTTTGAAAAAAATTTAGTCAATGTGAAGCAAGTTGAAAAAAGACCTTTTTGACCTTGAGAAGGTCATTGAAGGTCAAATGTCAAATCTAAAGTCAGATTTGAACTTCTGAGAACATGTAGATGATTTAGAAAAAAATTGAAGTTAGTCTAAACAGTATTTGTTAAGTTATAGGAAGTTGTAAGAAATTGTTACAGACGCCAACCGCCGGACGCCAACCGCCAACCACCAACCGCCGGACGCCGTCGCAAAAAAAACGGAGACCATAACAATATGTCACCACTTTTGGTGGTGACATAATAACTATAAGAGAGTATGTTTCCTTTTTGTAATTACATACGAGTATACTGAAGCCATCTTTCCCAAAGGACCTTATACACCCTCCATTGGGATCTCCCCATGGGAATAAAATAATTCATCTGATCTTCAAAATGAGTATTCTGCTTCAATTATATGCACACTAGTATCTTGTTGACCTATATTCAGCACTGTATTGATGTATAGGCCACTTATTAGGGTCATAATTCAATCATGAAATGTAGAGGCATAGATTCCAAACCAGGAAGTATTTTTGTGTCTGTCAAAATCCATTTACATCCTACGCATCCCTGCATCTTATCCAAATATGTTACTACATAATGAAATATAATAGTATAATCTTTGGTTTTACAAACTTGTATGATATTTGATAAGTGTAAAAGTTGCTTTTGGAGCATTTTTCTATAGCCATTTTGTAGGGGAAAAAATGATGAAAAAATGTACAATCTTTTAATTTTAAGTATGACCTGAATCGATTGCAAACTTCATATTTGCACATTTGATGAGATAAACCGTTTGAGTCGTATTGTGAAATTATTAAGTTTGCAATCGATTCAGGTCATAGTGTATTTTTGGTATTTCTGTGATAATCAATGGAAACCAATGGCCTCTATTGGGATCTGCTGATATCCTCATGTTAAGTCAATGGTACACAGCCCCATGTAAGTCAATACAACCTTACGAAACGAAATGATCCATATCTCAGCTTATGTGTGTCCGAGCACTTTAATATTTTCCAAAGTATTATATGACATTTTATTCTTCATGTTACACCTACGAATGATTCATTTTGACTATAGGGATATTTGCCAATAATTGCACCTTGTCCTTTAGGCCCAACTACATGCATGGCCTAATTTCTCAAATTAAGGATCAGTGAGATATGTTAGAACATTTATAGGTCACATACATTTAGATGTAGGGTTTGCATTATTATATTCTAGCCTCCCCTCCCCTATGTGGCATTAGCACCAAATACAGTGTGAATACATACAAACTTATTACAAATTTGCTTTCTGAAAAATACCCCCCTCCCTTCCTGATTTGCCAGTAGAAACAAAAGTACATATGTATGTACAAACATACTGTGGTTGTCTTCTGAAATCTGATATTCATAACAAGCAACTTTAATAAAGGGTATTGAATGACATATACATGAACGTTAACTCAATTCAATTATTTTTTCAAACAGCATAATTTGAAAAATCAAACTCGACAGGTTCCTTTGTTGTTCAAAACTTTTAAAGCATTTTAGTTTGAGAAATCATGTATTTAAGAATGGCGCACATGTTCTAAATGTATTAACATTCAAATTATGATAAAATCTTGTGAAGAAATTATATGAACTTGGACTCAGAGCTCATACTATGTTACAGCTGAATACCAGTCATAGTTTTCATGCTTAAATGCATGATTGAAATTCTGTATCAATGTTAATCAAAAAGCTTAATGCTATTTTAAGATTTTTAACAAAATGACTAACAGTATGACATTTTAAAGCATATAAAGGGTTATTTATCATGTTAAAAATAGTAATACTATACTTTTAGTTATTACATGCTATAAACTAACATATTAAATTAAGATGTACATTAGAACCTATCTGATGAACACCTTTCTGTAAGGAATGCCTGTTTACAAGGAAGGGTTTTCAAAAGAGACAAATATTTCATTTTTCCATAAACTTAACATCAGTTATTTCACCTAGTTCTTGACCTTTGACCTAGATAAAAATTTGACTTAATTTCCCAGAAACAAGATTACTGGGCTATGTTAGCCATGTAAGTAGGTTAAAGTAAGTTCTTCTAGTTGCTGAGAAAAAGTGTTCAGAAAGAAAGAAAGAAAGAAAGAAAGAAAGAATAATAGGAAAACTGGAAAAAAGCAATAGCACCCTATACAGACAGAGCCTGTGGGAAATATTGGGTGCGGAGCAAATGAGCGGAGGGTGCGGAGCTAACGGTCATTTTTGAATTTAAATTTCGGATATTTCTGAAACTAAGACGTTTTGGGACTTCAAATATACCAAGATATGTGTATTTGACACCAAATATCAATACAATTGTGAAAATAGTAGCGCAACTCATTCTATAGCGACGCAGTGTGCCTTAAACCTTTCCCAGACCTATATATTTTGAAATTATCCTTTTAATACTGAGTCCCCACAGCATTCATAAAAAATGGTGTTCAAGGTACACTATCTATACAAATTATTTTTGCATCTTGGAAGCCAGGCAGTATCTGTGTGATTTTATAAAAATTCGGAAATGTTTTTCAGATATGAGCCCCCTCTAAATATTGGGTGCGGAGGAGCTCCATAAATGTACCTCCGCACCCAATATTTAGAGGGGGCTCATATCTGTCCAACACAAGAAAAGATATTTCACTTTTTTGTGGATTTGTAGCATGGGGTCTACAGGGAATCTCCCCGAACTAGCAGTCACATTTTCAAAGAAAACTAAATTTTCAAAGTTGGTACTTTTTTAAATCACATTTCAAGATGCAATTTTACATGTAGACTTCAAATATGATATCCTTTTAACTAAATTTTGAATATTTAATGAAGTTAAAATCTAGATTATTTCTACTCGCATCTAGATATATTGGTAGATTGGTTAGTTGGTTGATTGTTTGATTGGTTGGTACGTTGAGTTGGGAGGATTGTTCATTGGCATGTTTTAGGGTATAAAATGAAAAATCAAATTTCTAACCCTGTTAGGAATGTTAGGTACCCGGTCACCCAGTCATTCTGGTTTTTACACAAACCCGAAGTGGCTAGGCCCTTTTGCTAAATCGGCAGAGCATCAGTCTTGTAAGCGTAAGTTCTTTGGTTCGATTCCAGCATGGGGCCTTGAATTTAGCACATTCCCTTTCAGGTCTAGTAAATGGCTCGTTATACTACAGCTCCCCGGATGAGCATGCCAACAGGTCATTACAGTTTCACTGACTCCCATACAAATGCTAGTAAATGTATGTAACACTCCATAGGCATAGCCAGAGGGGGTGCGATAGGTGCAGTCGCACCCCCCATAACTAATGAAAATATAACCATGAGATAAAAGCAGAAAAGAGCCTGACTGAAAGCTGGCTATGCCCTGTATTCTACAACATTTTACATTTTTGTCTGTTCCCTTTGCCATTTAAAAATTTCAGCAAGAGGAGGTGAATTTACCTTCTTCTAAGGCCACTGTATCGTGGCCTTCCAGTACAGATATATTCCTGCATGAACAACTGGTCATGTCGTAATCATAAAATTTGTGAGTTTTGGTCTCATTACCTCACCATTTTTAAAATATTCAATAAAATTATGACACCACGGCCAGCTTTTTTCAAATAGAGTTCACAGTATTCCAGATGAAATCCCCTCTAGCCAAGTATTGGCTAGAGACTCGAGTAAAGATGAATCACCTCTTACTTCCCCCTCACATTTCAAGCCCATATTGGTGGGGTGAAGTGCAATTTTGAGGTACATATAATGATTATGGACAATAAACTTCTAATCGTTTATTCATGAAGCCCTAAAGGAAGAATGCATAGTCGCTAAGATTTTTTGAAATGAAAATTAGATTTAAATTGAAATTTTCAATGAAAAATCAAATCAAATAAAAATTCAAAAAATGAATGAAATATGTCTTAGATTTTACCTGATTCCATGCTCATTCTTTCATTCTTTGAGCTAAATCACTTTTTAATTATACTTGATGTATCCATTTACTTGATGACGTTACTAATGTTACTTTAGTATGAAGGTACAATGCATAAAAAGCACTTTAAAAACAAACTTTGCTAGTTCAACACTTCCTCAAGTTCAACTCTAAGCAACAGCGAGATTTCAAAGCAACATATAAAAAATGCGCAAAATTATATATTGTAAAGTACGGTTATTTTAGCCAGAATTTTTTAGATTTCTCAATAGAAATAATTTCGGAAGCAAATATGCATACATATTTTTCAATATAATGATTTTAATAAAAATGACATAGGTGATAAATATATTGCGCATAAAAATAGTTGGACCCCTCTTACACTTCTCGCGAAATTTCGTACTATTGGAGACTTGAGTAATAATCAGGTGCCCTCAAAATTTCGTTATATATTTTCCTGAATATCTAGATATTAGAGTCGCTTCTTTTACAATTTAAGCCAGCATGGGGTACGCAATGGTAGGATACGTCTATTCGTCTGTTGTAATTGGTATTCTGACGATTGTAGGTAGGTGAAATCGACCTTGTATTTCTCTTACACACCCCTCATATATTGAAAATGGCAGAGCTTCTGTCACACACTGTATTACTTTGCCGTCTTTTACTCATGTCATTAAACACTGTACAATGTTTTAGTAGAGTCATATCAATCATATAAAATGAGGACAAAACCATTGATTTTAGCAAAAGTCACGGGTGAAATGCAACATCTGTATTGTACTTGTAGTAGATCTATACGTCACAAAATTTAGAAAATCATACCCCTGCGACAGTTATCCCATGCCAGGACTATAGTCCTGCGAACGTCTTATTCTTTTGCCTGTAGGATTACAACTTGGGAGAATTATCTACGCCCCTTACACTTAAGATACCTACTTCAATAGATTCCTGGGTATTTTAGCATTCTTTTCGTGTAGTTGAATCCACAATTGTTTGGGTATATCGGCAGAATTGGAACATTTTTCTTTTTCATCAAGAGATATTCCATCACTTTCCAAGATGGCAGTTGGATTCAAAAGGGGATTCCCCGTTTGACTGACCCGGAAGTGGGCCGGATAACCAATAAATGGAAGAATTTGACGGTTGAAATAAGTTAAATATTACACGCAAATTTTGCGATCAAAAACGAAAATTTCTTTGTTCTGCCGATAAACCCACACAATTGTGGATTCAACTACACGAAAAGAATGCTAAAATACCAAGGAATCTATTGAAATAGGTATCTTACGTGTAAGAAGCGTAGAAAATTCTCCCATGTTGTAATCGTACAGGTAAAAGAATAAGACGTTCGCAAGACTAGAACGTAGAGATAGTCTTGGAACGAGATAATGCGACAGTAGTATGCTGTTCTTTGTTGTTAGTAGGATATTTTTTGGCATACTCGACCATATGCATAATTTTTTTGCGGGAAACACTTTCCTGGCCTGTCTGGGCAACCAATGCGGGAACCAATGTCAAAGGAATAATGAATTAGAATTAAATTAGAATGAAACTTTTTAAAAAGTGAATCCTTGGCAAATCCTCTCTATGGGCCTGCCTTAGACATGTCAAACGCTTGATAAGAAACATAACTGTTTTTCTGGAATCTCAAATTTTTCCAAAATGTAGATGTATACTGGGTAATGGGCAGTATTCGACTTATCCGCCAGACCCATGGACCCTGGAAGTCTGATTCTGGGGTATGCAAAGGACGATTCTCGGTTTGGAGAACAAAGTTCATCAATCTAAATGAGCATTATCCCTGTTTCGGACAAATTTAATTTTTTTTACATAATATAGATTTGAATGTCTTCTTTTGAATAGTCATAATTTAATTTGGGTAATATTTCTAGATTTTTCACAAAAAATATTAGCGCAGTACACTGATGAACTTCTTTCCCCAAATCGAGACTTGTATTTTATTGAATCGGTCTAATTGAGCGTTACCCCTGCTTCAGACCAATTTGTTATTTTTACATCTTTTAGGTTTAAATGTTCTCTTTTGAATATTCATAGTTTAATTTGGGTAATATTTCTATATTTTTCATGAGAAAAATTATTAGCCCAGGAGACTGTTCTCCAAACTGAGAATCGTCCTTTTCAAAATCACCTACCCGAATGCCTGGCTACATTTCAGAGGTATAATTACGCTCAATTATATTACCCTGTTTGTTATATCTGCAAGTAAAAATCCTGGGGCGTCAGTATTTCAATCTAATTGAGAGAGATAGTAGTGCCAAGTCTTGTATACCTTTACCTTTCATAGAAGCCTACAACATATGACTGTTGCAATACTTTCCCTCCTCCTTTCAAGTATCTATAGTGGTATAAAATATAACCCACAATCATTAAATGAAGATCCAAACGATATATTTTTTTAAGTTTTGGAGCCATTTTTGCTCTTAAATTTACATCTTTAAATAAATCGGACACATATTATTGAAAGCTTGCATGAGGTTTGCTATGCACCATTTTTCCAAATGTGCAGAAATTCAGATAAGATTGTTCTTACTTTTTTCAAGCCATTAAATGGTATTATAAACAAATGATTGACACATAAACAATACATACATCAATATCATGAAGTTTGTACCACTTGATTGTGCATATTCATACATTTTAAGTTTAATTTAAAAGAGGACAATAGGCAACATTTTGAAAACAAGAATAGAAGATTACCACCCTAGCCCTTTGAACTGTGAGTCCTATGTAATATTTCCCCTGCTCTGAGGTCTATATTAGGATTCGTACATGAAAAATCACCCAAATTGTTCGAATATTAATTAATTTACTACGGCCCGTCGTTATCACGGCATACATTACTCGTATTACCAGGGGCATTATTGATGAATATTCCCTGGGTGAAATGTTGACTTTGTTCACAGTTTAAAGAAGGCGTGAATACAGTCATGTTCGAATCTTAATTAATCACATAAAGAAAAAACAAAATGGAAGATGCAATTTGTCTTGGACAAAACTTCATACTGTTATATGTTATTGATTTCCTATTTCTACTTTTTCAACTGTTTACTAGAATTTAAAAGTATATGGTATCGTCATTATGGAGCAATCAACAGGGTTCTCATTAGGCTTTTAGACTCCGGAGATTCTCTGGTGAGAACCCTGAATCACTGTAACTATAATTTTCTAATAATTTTCCTTTGCATGTTCGTGACTGGAAGTTCAGACATTCACTTTATTTTGAGTGGTAAAACATGATTGATATTTACTTTGAAATTTGATGATGTATCACTAGTAGTGTCTCTGAAATAAATCAAATAATCAATCTCGTTGGAACATACACTGATTTAATGTTCAAGTTTTTATGTTATGAAGTAAGGTAAGAAACCTGTACTGGGTTAGAAGACACTGTTATTATATTTCTGATGATTTTTCAGTTGTTATATTTTTTGTGCCTTACATTTCAGGTCTCTACTACATTCTTAGTGGCCAGGGTCACAGATTTGATATAGGATGGTATGTATCATTTATACTTCTCTTCAGCTGAAGCATACATGATATAAACATTTTTATTCAGAAAGGAGGTCAAGATTGGCAATATATTTATGTGAGATAAGATATGCTTCAATATATCATTAAAATGTACTATGTAGGGTTCTCACTGGGCTTTTAGACTCCGGAGGTCTTTAGATCCTCTTGCTCCAGAGTCTAATAGCTTTTCCCGAGTCTAAAGTGTATTTCCGGAGTCTAATTTTACATTTTTGTAACATTATTTGCGGTAAAACTCTTGAGAAAATACATAAAACTGGATACAAATAAGGAATAGGAAGTCAGAAACCTTTCAGAAATAAATATTGGGATTAAAATAGCAAGATAATCTTAAGAAGTATGTTGAAAAGTATACTAATAGGATATCTCTGATCTCACATGGGGGAGAAGTAGTCGTGATACCGCAAAAAAAATACGGTGTCTAAAAATTTCCTCGTGAGAACCCTGCTGTATCAATAAATCATAGGAGTAAACATCCTTAGATAATACTGAAAAAATCATTGTTAAAATTGAAATAATTAAAAGAGACAATTATTACAACTTAAATCATATCTCATGTGGAATATCACATTGTTTTATAGGTTTCTAACAGGAACATCTCCATTCATGTGGGGTGCAATGGGCATAGGGTTGGCTATTTCACTGTCGGTTGTGGGAGCTGCATGGTAAGTATAACAGCTTTCCTGTAATAGTAAGGTTAATAGATCACGTGGTCCTAACTTGGACCGTTAATTTGAATTTTTGATCTACCGGATGTTTGAAAATCAAGAGTTACGAGTCTAATGCTGGACCGTTTTTCTTCAAACTTGTTCCATTCAAAGCATAACAAAAATCCCTTTCTGATGGTACATTATTCTCTTAAACAGAGTCCCTACTTCCAGCGGCATTTTGGTACCCAGCTGTAAGAAGGCCTTCTAACAGCTAGGGACCAAAGAGCTGCTAGAACGAGGGACTCTTTACAATAAAGTAATGCACCGACAGAAAGGCAATTTTGTTATGCTTTGAATGGTATAAGTTTGAAGGAAAACGGTGCAGTATTAGACTCGCAATCCTTGATTTTTAAGCATCTGGTAGGTCAAAAATTCAAATTAACGGTCGAAGTTAGTACCACGTGTAGATGAGATCAAAATGCCCCATATAAACACAATATCACCTTTTGAGGACTCTTCCATGGAAATATTTAGGGTTGTGTAGAAACACTTTAGTGTCACCCACTTTTCATGGTATGTTTGTGGGTTGGGGTAAGTTCAGACTGGCAACAATCGTTGAAGTTAAATTTTTCATAATGTTTATACACATTTGAGATATTTCTATTTACAGGGGAATTTACACAACTGGCGCAAGCATCATAGGAGGAGGAGTGAAGGCTCCAAGAATCAAAACGAAGAACTTGATTAGTATTATCTTCTGTGAGGCTGTGGCTATATATGGTATCATTATGGCGATTGTCATCTCAAACCAGTTAGCGGTAAGTATCAAAATACATACAATATGTTTAAATGATTTTCTCAGCAGAGATACAAATCAGAATTGATCCCATCTCATCTAAAAAAGTTACAAACACTTATAATTTATTATTTCTCAATATCTTTAGGAAATGACTCAGTATATATTTTCTCTTTGTATGAAATCTTTACTTGAACCCTCAAAAATGAATCTTAAAATATCAGTTAATCTATGTTGTCACAGTTCTAAGGTAAAAGTTTACCATACTTAATGAACCAATTTTTGAGTAAATGTACAGGATAATCAAATTATTATTGTTATATTTCTATCTCTAAATATTTCAGGATGTCGACTTTTCCAGAATCACTGATCCAATGACGATTAAGACAAATTATTTTGCTGGTAATTATCATATTTGAATACATTAAGTAGTCTTAAAATGACAAAGTGCCAAAGTATAGCAGTATATGCAATTACTAGCTGACTCATTGAAGATTGAGATTCAAGTATTTTGTGGATAAATCAAATTTTTGTATGTTTTTTTTTAGTTTCACAGAATGACCCGAGGATTCTTTTCAGTTAAACTTTGAGGCAGTTGCACAAAAACCTTAAAAACTATGATAACATGATTATCATCTAAAATCATGGATCAGCTCACAAATATGGCCTTTGCCAGAAGTGTAAATTGTTAGAGCACATACTCAGTTACATATAGAAGGTTAAAAATGCAGTCTAAATATATCAGTGAACAGGGTACACATTTACTGATTGTGAAAATGTTTGAAATTGCAGGTTACGCCATGTTTGCTGGAGGTCTGACAGTAGGCCTGTGCAATCTATTCTGTGGCATCTGTGTAGGCATTGTGGGATCTGGTGCCGCACTTGCAGACGCACAAAATGGAAGCCTCTTCGTGAAAATTCTTATCATAGAAATCTTTGGTTCAGCTATAGGCCTATTTGGTGTTATTGTAGGCATCTTGCAGGTAAGACTTGACTTGTTTTCCACAAGGAGTGCAACATCTGATAATAATAATTTGGCTCACACTTTTTTAGAAAAGTTGAAAAGTCATGGAAATGATTTCAATAACATAACTGCATAAAGTTATTGTTGTGAAAAAAAATTTCACTGAAATTCGAATATGCTATTAAAAAGAAGGAAAAGTAAGTCATTGGAGGTTTAATCTTTTCAACTCTCATGAAAACGAGAATTGGTGAGACTTCAAAGCTAAATGGAAACTCCTGTATTGAGGCCAGTTTAAATAAAAAGCCTAGACATTTCCCTAAAATAAAATTTCTCAAAATAATGAAATATGTTGTAATTAATGATATTTCATTTAACTTTCAGACTACAAGGGCTAAAATGACCCAAGGTGCAGCTTAGATTGGTTTCATATTTGCAACCATTCCCACTATTAGATGTTTCATTCCAATGAACCTGGATGTAAATTCAAGACTAATGGATTGAACAATTATATTTAAAACAACCAAAACATTTTGTCAATATTTTAATGTTCTTCCAAAGTAAAAGTTGAAAGTGAAACTATTGGCAAGAACAAAGAACGATACACAGTAAACATTCCATATTTTGAGAATAATTTTCTTTCTCTCCATTTTATGATGTCAGATTGCTCTCCAAGGATAAGTAACTCAAAACAACTAATTTTACTGTGTATATAAATAGATATTGACGATTATTTATTCAAAGCAAGTGATACTGTGTAGAATTGTGAAAAAATGATTGTAAGTTGTTATACTATTTTAATGTATAGATTAAATCAGTGTTGTACATACTGTAAATTGTAAAGATATGTATAAATTACAAAATATTGTACAAATGAGCAGTTAAAAGTTTGGTGATACTCATACTGTAAAAGTAGAGTTATATTAGTAGAGTATGACCATTATATGTTAGGGAGCTAATCTTCAATCTAAAACTATTTTGTTTTGATAGAAGTTTAGATTCAGGAATATTAAATACAAATATAGTGAATACTAGAGAAATCAGTTCAAAACTAAAAATGTTGGTGTCTCATAATTTTTCTGTTAGTAAAATTCGCAAGTCTGTAAAAATAAGGGACATAAAATTAACAAATTAGGGACGTAGCTGAAAATGAGATAATGCTGTAGTGTTAATGAAAATTGCTACCATATACATGTATTATATATCATAATAAAGCATCATTTGTATACACCCATTGAAGCCTAAAAAATTAACAATGCTTCAAAACACATTTTAACAATGGTTCATAACACATTTTAGGATTCAATGGGTTAAATGACCACCAAACTCAAAGTGCAATATGCAGTAGAACCTGCAAAATGAACTGCATGCCAGTTACAAAACATCCATTCATACTTTACAGCTATCATAATGACTGGTGAAGTTGGACTTATTCTAAATAGATTTTATGTGATTGGGTTAATTTTATCATAATGTGGTTAATTATGCATGGTTTCATAGTGGCAGCATGCTTCTTTGTGGGAATGAACATAATAAACCACTTTTTTGAGGCACACAAGTTGTAACATTTTGTGATAAGGAAGCAGTGCTTTAATAGGAGGTAGTGCTTTAATGACAGCAGTAAGCCATTCGTTGCATAGTTCAGCCCATTGTGCATAAATTTGAAACTTGAATATGGTGATTATAATTTGTAATTTTGAATTCTAGGTCAGTTGCCAGGTTTTTCTGTAAATGCTTAAAATCAACTGGCCCAGATGGAAACTCACTGGCTCCATTTGGTGCTTATGTTACACCCTACTTGTGATCTAATGGTTTTCTGTAACTGTACATGTAGTTTGTGGTGTATAGCTAGTTAGTTCAACATAAAATAATATATGATATGATACATGAAACTTTATTTTGTTTTTTTCTATGTATTTATAAAAATAATATGTAAAATATTAATATGTGCAGACATAGCTTATCAAAAAACAAGACGACGATTTGTTAAACAACAAATGACTACTTATGAGTTGTATTGCACTACATTACATGTAGGGCTATCATTGTATACTTGTCATGATTTCGAAGATACATTCAAAATAACCCACATATACATTATTATTTTTAGTGAAGCATCCCTGAATTTTAAGCCTCTAGCTTCATTTAAATACCCATCAAAACAAGAAACTCCAGGAACATAATATTACTTATCACATGTACTAGTCTTAGTTGACTATGATATGTACCCAAGTATTCAATATACTGGGAGCATCTCACAATTTCATATCAAGATTAAATATAAATATTTAGCACATTCATCTCAGTCAATATCAAAGTTTCTTGGCGTTAAGAAATGTGCCTCTCCCTGAACTTATGCATCTCGGAGGTTGTTTCTCAACAGTGTGGTTCATATCCCCTTTCTGGCATCATTCTACTTGATTTTATACTGTCCAACACCCAGGTGTCTGTTAGAATATGGAACTTCTTATCTCGTTTTCTGTTTAGATCCCTGAATTTCTTTACCCTAGAGACATCACTGAAATAAGAAATGAGAATTTTTAATCTCCTTATAAATTTAATTTGCAGAAATTTTGTTCAGATTTTCCAAAGTACATTGTTCTCGCTTAATATAGCGTCATTAATCAATGGCTACAACAGTTGATTTTTAATTCTCAGCTTTACAAAGTTTTTCTTAGCCTAGTGACCCCAGTTTGCTTTGTTCGCTAACATTAATATTCAAGTAACCTAAAAAATCTAAGTTCCTTATCAAACAATAAAGGTATTGATCAGTAATAATGTTTTCTGGGTTAAATGAGTCAAATATTGCTATATAAGCATTTACTTTTTTTTCTCATGGCATTTGCCCTTATTTCTTTTTTTAACTCCTTCATGACTGAAAATTTTGGGGAAAATGGAAAGAAATGAAAAACTGAAATGTAAATGAATCTAGAAGCAAGAAAAGGAAGCAACACCCAATAAGTTATATGTCATTTTGAAGGGCTATACCCATACTTGATGTTTTTTGAAAAAAATGTGAATATGCAAATGAGATAGTGTCATTGTGACGTCATAATTCAAGATGGTGCAGTTGGATTTTTTTCAAAATCGAATTATTTTAGCATTTAGTTTTTTATTGAGACTTCAATTTAAAAATCTGAAAACGCAGAATTATAGATCTTCTTATGCTGATTTCAGTTGTATTTGTACTATGACATAACTCCTACAAATAAATTTTTTAGAGCTCCGAGACTGCAAATTCTCGGAAAATCCCTATGGCGATTGAACATGGGATTTTATCGTTTTCGATACTTTTTCGCGACATGTCAGATTCAAGTGCCTCTAACTTTGCACAGAGTCATCAGATTCAAACAATCTTTTTTTTAAATGTTCCTACTGGTCCATTCTTTTAGAAAATGCATTATTCTTGCAGTTTTATTGAAATGACGCCCCTGGAGACCCCTTAGAATAACAATAAACCAAAATCGATCATATATGATCGATTTTGTTCTAAGGGGTCTCCAAGGGACACCTGGTGATAAAAATGCATGATTTATCAATTTATTTAATCTTGAAGTCTGTACAAACATTTTTAAAAAAAGTTCATGACTTTTCGTTAAGTATTTACAAAGTTACAGTGATCCGAAGCTGGTGAGCGTGCGAAAAATTGCGAAAACGATAAAATCCCATGTTAAATCGCCATAGGGATTTCCTCGAAGCCCTAAATAATTTATTTGTAGGAGTTATGTCATGGTATAAATACCACTGAAATCAGCATAAGAAGATCTATAATTCTGCGTTTCCAGATTTTTAAATTGAAGTCTCAATAAAAAATTAAATGCTAAAATAATTATATTTTGAAAAAAATCCTACTGCGCCATCTTGAATTATGACGTCACAATGACACTATCTCATTTGCATATTCACATTTTTTTCAAAAAACATCAAGTATGGGTATAGCCCTTCAAAATGACATATAACTTATTGGGTGTTGCTTCCTTTTCTTGCTTCTAGATTCATTTACATCTCTAATTTTGGTTATTTTAAACTCTCAAATAAAAATCTGCAATATAAAATTAACCTCCCAATTATTTTCCATCGTTGGTCCCAGGTTCAAACTCTAAATACACTACATGTTAACAGTTGCTGCTTACCCTGAGTGAAGTACAACATGTGAGACATCATCATCTATTGTATCTGCAATAGTTGCCCCATAGAACCTCAAGTCCAAACTGGTGATTTCAAGGGGACTATTCGGTATATGGCTCTCTGAGTTATTCACTGTATGGTTGACATCAACATAGACCCTAGAAATAAAGGTTGAGTCACTTAAATCTGGATTTATTAAGACATCAAGTATTTCCAGTTGCATTATGTTGAACTGCACTGCATGGTCTTGTTGGCACTTGTATTGTGATTAATTAAGCATTAAAATTATGATCCTTAAAAGAGTAAATAGACTTTTACAGATTTTTAACACTGTGGCAATGGGAATTTAACCCAACCTTTTTCAGAAAATTTAAACATCCTGGGAAATTGAATACAGGAAGATATTGGTGTAAATCACAGTTTGATAAAAAATTACGAACAGAATTCAAATATGTCATCAAATAGAAAAAATGCTAGTTGTTTATGGATATCCTTCAATCTCATAAAAAATGAGACTTCAAAGCAATATGGAAAACACTATAAGAGCAGTTCTGTCACCTACCTAGCAAGTCTAAATATTCCCAAGGGGCACTCATCAGGAAAGTACTTCATTTCTATTTCTGCTACATCTTCCGTCATCAAAGATGTCCCATCTTTCTATAAATATGACATTTTATATACTATTAGTATTTCATATGAAATACAATATATTGATAAGGAATATATTATGCAACGATAAGTCAAACACAGTATGTGCATGAATTGTAATGTATAAAATAAATTTAACTAAATTATGAAAATAATATTATGGTTCACAATCACATCCCATTTTAAGAAAATGATATGTTCTGGTTCGACTATGAACAGAATTGTAAAAAAGACCTTGATTCTTATTGATTAATGACATGAGCAAATATTTTATTCCATCCATTAGGCTATACAGTGACATCAAAGTTTATTGCTATTTCTACTAAAAGGAATATATCATACATGTAGATATATCATGAAACATGACCTCAAATTTCAAGTTTATTGGGTTCAAATTGTGAAATGTTATCATGAACAATTTGTTGGAAAAATCCTGAGAAGTTAAAAATCTCATTCTCTAACCTCCTCTCCTATTTTGGCAAATGCTTGTTTAATTTGTTCTGTACCAGTGTCGTTATAGTAACTGTCCCCATAACGATCATACTCCTGGGCAAACCGTTCAGCAGTAATAGCACTTGTGTGGATCATGTCTGATGGCACCCTTAAAAGAAATATTTTAGGTTTGAATTTTAGGTTAATTATTAGGAGTAAAGCTGAATACGTACTCACTCTACAACTTCAACCATACTTCCATGAACACACATGGTTTATCAGGGTTCATGCTTTGAACTAGTTTTATATCTGGACCACTCAATTTTCTCAGCATGGATAGCATAAAACATAAAGACTAGTCTGGCTGGTGTGTAATATCATTTTGACAAGTAGGTTTGAAGTCCTAATGATGTACCTAATGTGAGCAATGCTTTCTAACTACAAATTACAACTCAATCGTGAATTTGGACTTCCTTAATAAATGTAGCCAATGGAAAGAACTGTAATATTTATTTTAGCCTAAATTGCAGATCTTCATCTGTTCCAATTAAAATGTTGGAAAATTGGCATGTGACAGATAGCTCACGAGAACATATAGGTTTTTAAGACCATATGTTATTCAATTATCTGGTTCCCATTCTTGCCTTTAATCAAATTGATGAGGTGGTGAGAATATTTACCATGGAATATATGTGTTGCTCTCAAAGCACCTTACAAACCAGTCAACCTTGACAATATCATATATATTGCGGCTGATCAGATTCTTCACTTTAAGGGCCACCTTCTCTGCTAGCACACAATAGGTGTCACTACCTGGGAAAATAAGCCATGGGTTAAGACTATATAAATGTCTTGTATTGCATGCAATTTGGCATAAAAACTGCCAAAGCTGAACAAGGATACAACTTACTAGAATTCTGCAATGGTGATAATAACATTTTGTAAAATGGTGCCTCTATACATAGTACTTAGTGAAATGTACAAGTGTGCCATCATATTCTTCCATCTTCTTCTCTAAGCTCTGATTTAAATATTTGAGAACAGTGCCATTGATCACAGATCAGCAAACATGGAGTACTTACTGGGATTCTGTACAATAGTGCCACCATATTCAACTATCTTCTTCTCTAAGCTCTGTTTGGAATATTTGGCAGAACCGTTGATCACAGAAAACTCTTTACCAGCAAACATCTCGGAGATCTACAAAGAAATTTTTCCTCATTTCTGCTTAAATATTATTTATTATTTATTACCCGGCCAGACCTGACCTTAAACCTGACAGACAATCAGACATACATCAGTTAGATAGGGGGGATGGATTAAAATTAAATTAGGGCTAGAATGAATTCTCCAATTTCAGCATCTCATACATTTTTCTTAACATCACTATTATCAAGCAATAGTTTAAAAATCTCAATGAACATCCAGTTGTCACTTTGCTGGGATAAAAAATGATTATCATCAACCTTTTACATCTAAACTTACATACTGACACCAACTCAGATTATTCTTAGAGACACTTTACATAATAGTATGCTCTTACCTTGAGGACAGTTGAAGTATCAATTCCTCTGAACTGTGACGCCACAGTGGCTCTCTCCTGTCTTGGTGCCAACTTTCGCTTTTTCTTTGGACTCTCCGATTCCTCTGAAACATCTGCATGCCTACCAGCCAGCTTGCCTTGTGATTTCTGAAAAGATTAACTGATGTAAAGCAAATTTTTCAATGGCACTTAGTGTACAATACTGAGTATTGAGTTTGGGAGCAATATGATTTACTGCCTGTAGATTAATGCATACACATTTTAATTTATTTAATTAAATCAATATAGAAAGAATGAGAAGCATGTGAAATAAAACGATAATATGCAACAAGCAATATAAATGATGACTTACATTTCGCAGGTCTTCCAGTTCTGTTGTGGTCATACAGTCATACCAGTTCTTATCTGTCCTGAATTTCTCAACCCGCGGGAACCTGAGAGTGTAACCTGTTTTGAAACTTCTACTCGCTGTTATCTCAGCTGCCTTCACCTACACATAAACATGTGGATGTCAAACCAGAACAACGGCAACGCCAAAGCGTAGCGAATCCCATCGAACAGAAATCGCTGGCATTTTTACAAACGAATAGCAAATATCATAAAACAACACACCAGAAAGGCCACCATTTTCAAAATGGTTGCTCACTAGCCAAGTTGTCATCAGAAGAAATAATATGCTTTTAAGTAGCCACCTCTAAAATTTTTGAAAAATCTCACACGTACTTGTAAAATTACACACATAAAAATGGTGGCCATTTTTCAAAATGGCCAACTACTCCCCAAAGTTTTATTAGACAATGTGCCATGCTTAAAGTATTCACATATCAAATATAAACAAAACAGCTCCACTACTTTTCGAGTTATAGTAAAATATGTTAAAATGGCGGCCATTTTTCAAAATGGCCACCGTCTACCAAAAGTGTCATTAGAAATAGACAGTGTGCCATGCTTATTGTATTCACATACCAAATATGAACAAAATCACTCCACTACTTTTCGAGTTATAGAAAAATACGTTAAAATGGCGGCCATTTTTCAAAAAAAATTTCAAAATGGCCGCCTTCTACCAAAAGTGTCATAGGACAGTGTGCCATACTTATAGTATTCACATACCAAATATGAACAAAATCGCTCCACTACTTTTCGAGTTATAGTAAAATACGTTTTCAATTTTTTTTTCAAAATGGCCGCCTTCTACCAAAAGTGTCATATGACAGTGTGCCATGCTTATAGTATTCACATACCAAATATGAACAAAATCGCTCCACTACTTTTCGAGTTATAGTAAAATACGTTAAAATGGCAGCCATTTTTCAAAATGGCCGCCTTCTACCAAAAGTGTCATAGGACAGTGTGCCATGCTTATAGTATTCACATACCAAATATAAACAAAATCGTTCCACTACTTTTCGAGTTATAGTAAAATACGTTAAAATGGCAGCCATTTTGAAAAATGGCCGCCTTCTACCAAAAGTGTTTTTAGACAGTGTGCAATGCTTATAGTATTCACATACCAAATATGAACAAAATTGCTCCACTATTTTTTGAGTTATAGCAAAAATTGTAAAATGCAAGTAAAGGCCGCCATTTTTCAAGATGGCTGCCATGTGCTTCTTTAATATCTACATTTGTAGCATTATTAATGTCCTTTATAATTTTTTTACATTTAAAACATATTGCTATTACAGTTTTACATATTACACCTAAATTACTGTAAAATCGGCACTAAAATGGCCGCCATTTTGAAATGAGCGACCATTTTGAAAATCGGCTTTCGAGCAGAACTTCTACCCCCATAGGGTATATGTGTACAAAATATGAACAAAATTGGGCCAACGGTATTTGAGTTATTGCCCGGACGGACGGACGGACGTACGTACGGACGGACGTACGGACGGACGGACGTACGTACGGACGGACGGACGGACGGACGGAGGCGTTCCCTATATCCCTCCGAACTTCGTTCGATGGGATAATAATTTTTGTGTCTTTGGCCAATTAAAAGAACTTACATATGAAGAAAGTCATATAAACAGCACTGATTTCAACATGAAATATACCCATAACTTCACATAATATGGAATTATTTATAGCTTGCTAACCTGAACAATATAAGCCTTGGATGGAGGAACCCATGCATCTGGTTTTTCCTTAAATCCTTGAGCAAGGACAATGCAATCTGGAGCTTTGTCTTTATTATATTTCAGCCAATCTATTTCATCATTGAATTGCCTTAGTTCATCAATTGAATACCTAAATCAGAACCAAACATATTATTCAGTTGAGAACTGTTTTGATATAAAATATTTCATGAGAGAAAATTCAAAAGCATTTAAATGAAAATAAAATGATACATCCAATTCAGCCCTTTTCTCTCAACAGAGTGTTGAATCCTAACTTTACAAGTTTTTGGTCAAAACATGTCAATATTCCATTTTTTGACAAATAAAGGGAAGGCCAAAAAACCAATACCCATGTTTAAGGATAAATATTATATGATATATTGTTAAACCATGCCATGTAGTATACATCATTTGAAAGATAAATCATTTCCGAACAATATGACACCATCCAATTGAAAAGCTTTTGTTTTCTCGTGGAGTTAGAGGTTAAAGCTGACACCAGTATATTTTTGACTGTGTGGTATGTAAATTTCAAATTCTCAACAGGGTGAAGGAAGCACCAAGTTGCTGCAATGGTTTACAATGTCATACATTTAATGAAATGCTCGTGTCATGGGGGGGGGGTATTACATTAATCGTTAACATTACATACCCAGTTCCCACTTTGCAGAAAGAATGGAAAACCTTTGGATGACTACCATCATCTGTTGGTACAGCAACGGCACAAAGAAAGTGTGACATCATATTGCTACGACGACCCTTTCCCATATAACCTCCAACGATTAACAGATCTAACTCATCCATCAATCCACCAACATACTCAGGTTTGATTTTATACCAGCCCCCAGTCCGTACATTGGGCTTGTAGATTGATTCAGGGTCTTTAACCATTATACCCTCTTCACGGTTGTCAATTGCATTATTAAGGGCATCGGCACAATCCTGTCTGAAATTTAAGAAATAAATTGCATGTTTCATTTATTTGACTTCCTTAACTCATTGCTGACCAACCCCAAGATACTTCATCTATGACTTTATTATCATATCTGACCAATTTTGTTATACAATTTGTACAAATAATCTTACCAAATAATGTAGGGGTCGCTAGCAAAAACATAGCAAAGAGGGTGTTGATACAGTACATTTCATGCTAATATGAAAAATGCCATTTTGCTCAATTTTTTATCAAATAGCCAGCAGAAGACCTCCAAAATAATTTTGGCCAGCAATGTGTTAAATCAACATTTAGCAATATGCATGCATGTATAAAGCTTATTTCTTATAAATGCAATTTTAGGTCAATCAACAATTTGAAATATGAAGACATTTGAACACAACTTTTTTAGCTTTCTTTTTAGCATCTCTAGACCTTCATAATATTATTCTTGGTCAAAAGAGAACATGTGCAGTATCAATCTTTGAAAATAAAATATTTTTTTAATTCTGAACAATGGGTGTGTTTAAACTTAGTAATTACAAAAAGTATCCAATGAGCTTACTTTGTTTTGCCCAATTTGCGATCCCCCAGCATAATTCTTCCTTGCACAGGAACAAGAACCTCCTCTAAATATTTCACCCTCTCCCTTAGAGGCAAGTTGGTCAACACCTACAATAGCATGTCACATATTATCATAACTTTGTCTTAACAGGGAATTGACAAATATGCGAATTAACATACATAATATAATGATCCTAATTAATGTGTTGCTCTTCAATTATCATGACTTGCTTGACTATAAAGCTGGCCTTTGAAGGCTAAAAGATTGAAGGTTAGAGATATGATGCTGAGTGAGGGTCTTAACTTCTAGTTCTATTCAAGAAGACAATACTATAATGGAAAAAATGGTAGTGCTTTGAATCATGTATTACATTTTGCCTTGTTTGATTACCAGGTACATTCATTGTCACTCTAAATAACTCAAATCACATTATGAATTATTCCTTGATAGTGATAAAAATAGCCTTCTTCAAAAGCTTTGAAATCTTTGTATTTTTGTTTTATCATACATTCCTGTTCAAATATTTAGTATGGGGTTCAATACCTTTCCATTAAACATGAGGACATCAAATATAGACATGCAGGGTGTATAGCCCTTCTTATCAAACAGGTTTTCCACCTTCACATCAAAGCTCCCTCCTTTCGTCACTGAAACATAACAATATTAAACATAGTCTTGTATCAAACCCAATAGTCCCATGTTTTCTCTAAAACAAACACACTGCGAAATGTCTAGGGGGAAGAGTTAACTTGGATACTTGGTGCAAGAATATTTCTCATTAAAATATCTATAAAAAAACAGTTAGGAATCTAAATCAAGGGAACACTTATATAATAGATTATGATGAATAAGAACTTCTTATGATGCACATTTCACTTACTAATTGTATCTGTTGATGCATCATATGCCATCATCTCGCCATCCAGTATACAGCTCTTAACTTCAGGGAGAAAACAATTATGGATTTGGGGTGTGAAGTTGCCATCAAATGCATTGGCACCATAGGTCTTTGAGTATTCTAGTCCTCTACAATATAAAAACATTTTTTCATATTTCCCTCAAACAGATTTCTGTCAAACGTTGACTGAGCCCCTTGAAGAAAGTTACTCTACTGGCTTCTAATTTAATTCCTTATTTGTTTTTTAATTCTGGGAGAATATACATGTAAATTGATTTATAAAATAAATATTTAATCCTCCGATCTTTAGAATTAACCTGCTGTTTCAATGCCTCTTTGCCAGAGATAATGATATCAAATCCTCACCCTCTTGAAAAGTATTTATATTCATCCTTGTCCTTATGGAGTTGCATCCTCTCTCCATCATACTTTGTCTCAATGAAGAACTCTTTACCACCAAATAGGGACTCTACCTTATTTGGTTGTCCTCTGTCTCCTAACATGGGGCGAAATGGCTCAAACACTGTGATTTCTATCTCATGCATACGGACAGAGGGATTATGTAACCTTTGACACACCTGTAAGTACATGTATTCGATTTATTTCTTGAAAACACAGTGGTATATCTAAACTATTTGTCAAGTGAAAATATGTTCTGTTGTATCCCATTGGAATTCAAACAATACAATATTCAGAAAATTTTATATGATAAAATTCATGCTAAAAGATAAATTATATTATTTTTGGTAATCATAAGGAAAACAATACAATAATAAATACAATATAACATAACACAACATATAGACTAGAAAATGGCTAAATTAATATATATAAATATCCCAGAGATACACACCTTCTGTAGACTAGTGCAGACATTGAAATAATCTTCAGCATCTTGATGAAATGTTGTGAAGACTGAATGTTGACTGAATCCTAATTTCATATCTCTCAGGATCATTCTGATCAACCACTTGTTGTCCAAGGCACTTGTGTTCTGTAACAGGTACAGCAGCTTCTTCTCCTTTAGGACTTTGTCCTTGTTGGCATTTGCTAAGGCAATGGCATCCAATGCATCATTCACATCCTGAATCGTCAATGAGGTTTTATCAGCAAGTCGATCTTTAAGCACGTAGTAGGCTACACCAGCAAAGTCACTTTCATCCTAAAAAGAATAGTTTGTTATATTAGAACTTGTATCTTAAAATGATTAAATGCATTGAGTTAAGGATATAGTATATTCTTGTTAACCTCACATGCTTAGAATTTCAATGAAAAACAGTAACAGTCAGATTGTTTTGTAAAAACTGAACATGAAATGACAGTGAAAAGGTCTTCTTGAAATCCACAACTCCTTTAAACATGTTAAAAGGTTAATAATAACAATAATTACCCCCTTTGTATGTTTTGGTGCACTGAAGTGTTTCAGTTTTCTGCCATCTGCACTCTCTTCTCCAATTTGTAAGATTGAAATATAGGATTTTGCAAGCATCGTCTGCAACAAGATTCAACCAATAAATAACTACTAGAAGTGCCAGTGATATCCCTATATTGTTCTCAAGCAAATGAAAATTCTAATAATGATGGTATTGACACAGAATGATCCAGCTCTACCAGTTATTCCTGATATTCAAGATTCTCATTTACGTAATACATACACTGTACATATATGGAAATGCCAAGTAGATCTCAAATTATCCTTCGGTGCTTGGAAGGTCACCCACTTTTATTTTACTTGTTTTATTTTAAAGTGTATGGTTTCACATTTTACTATTACTAACCTCCTTTGTACCATAAGGTCCACGTTCCTTTTCAAGATGAGGCATGATAAGTCGCATTGCTGAATAGAAAGAATCATCCTGAAATGAAAATACAGTAATGTACATGTACAGGGTGTCCAATAAATAAGGTGAAAAATATTGTACAGTACTTAACTGTAATATGTTAATCAGGTTGGGACTAAAGTTATATGTACAACATTCAATGTGAGTTTACTTACCCTTCACTAGAGGTAGCCCTGGGCTTAACTCTTTTAGTAACAAATATTTATTAGATCTAGCCTATAATACCCTGTCAGATGGTGGGGGAGGAATTCAACATTCACGTCCACGTTCTTCAGTGATTTTTAGAGTAGTTTCAAGAGTCTGATGAGCATGTTAAGAATATATGCAATAAGAATATATGGTCAGAACTTACAATACAGGTAATAATTTTGACCAAGGAACAGGAAATAACCAATTACTAAAAAAAGTACATGTAAATGTAGCCTTATAAAAGACTCTCAATTTGTTGTTATTAGAATTTGAGATTTGAAATCAAATAAGAGCCGTTACATTGGAAACAAATATTCAAATATCAAAAATCAACAAATGGTAATGCATTCTACAAGGCTAATGTATTTGTAGCAATGATACAGAAATCAATGACCTTTTACATATTTGGAAAACCTCCGCTGTAGGTGCATAAATGCACCAATTTAGTTATGTTGTTGATTTGTAATCTAGCCTACATTTGCAAATTGTCAACTCTGATAGTCGGCCTCAGTAACCATCTCTTGAAGCTCTTGAAAGCCCACGTAGTAACGTAAGGTTGCCATTGGATTTTACTTACTGTGGCTTTGCCTTTGTAATATGTATTGTGAGCCTCTCTCCATTTTGCAATGAAATTACTCAGCAGCCTCTTCTTTTGATCTAAAGATGATTTTCCTTGGATCTTCTTGATTTTTTCCAAAAGACCGGTCAATTCACTAAACTTTATAGCAGAAGCTATAGTCTTCGTTGACATGATTTATGTTTTATAATATAGAGTCAATAGTAAATATACTAAAAACATCAAGATTTATAGTCTGATAGCTAAGATATCTTGAAATTCATTCTATTTGTAAAAAAATAAAACTCTGGGTCTCGTCGTCTGGGTCTGTCCAAACTTGTCTACCGGATTACGTTCTTTAGCGGAAGTAGAGACAAAAATTGAAATAACCATGAAAGCCCATGAAATAACCAATAAAGTTACTGTTTTTGATGCAAATCAGTCGGAATATCATATATATTAAATGATAGTATTACGTAAGTGATATTGTCAGCATTATTGAAGTCAATATGACGGAACCAAATATATTTTAGAAAGGTTCTGAGACACCAAATAACAACTTCCAAAACTTGAAGTTGTCGCCATCGCGGGAAGATCAAAACTTTCTAGTAACAGATTCACGGCAACTCTCTAAGTACCCTGGTGTAACAGTAAGTATTACATAACGAACTCTAACGAAGTCTTAGTAAGTTATTGTACCCAGAGCTGTCAAGTGTCCCGCGAATGGCGGGATTATCCCGCGAATTTGATCAAAATTAGGCTTATTCGCGTGTCCCGCAATGTCCCGCGAAGTCCCGCAAATGTGGCTTTGACCTCCGCGAATTTCCGAAATTGTTGCAATCCTCTATATTGTGATTATCTTATCTTATATAAGAAGCTAAGTTTTTGCACTTTTGAGAAGTTTACCTAATTTTAAGTACCTAGCATATGCTGTTGTTTGGTATCAAAATAAAGGGGAAGGGTTTAACTTTCATTTTAATTACGAAAATAGGGACGTAGGTCACAAATAGTTCCAACGTTGGCCTTTTTACTACCCGTGTGGCCTTCATCTCAGGACTGAGCAAATGTTAGCAAACGCAAGTTACAATAAATGGACGCTGATATCTAGAAAGGTTTGTAGAAAAAACCGGGTACCGGGTAGTAAATCCTCCATGCTGGGTTCAAACTTGGTACCCGGTACCCGGTCAAAAAACGGGCACCAAAAAAAAATAAAACGAATATATAACAATTAGATTATGAGAAAGCGCGAAGATTTGTTTTGAATTTACAAAAATGTATGTAACATCCTTCAAAATTGAGCTAGAAGCTTCAAATAAAAAGCATATTTTAAGGCTCTTTTTTTCCTCTATCGTCATGGCCATATTTTCATTGGTTATGGGGGGGGGGTGCACCATCGCACCCTCTCCTGGCTACGCCTATGACATTGTAAGACATAAAAATTTACAATTCAGTGGACATCTTGTCGAAAATTGGGATAACTTAAATTATGATTAATAATCAAAATCTTACACGTTGAATCATGTAAATTAAAACACGTCACCTCTCTGCTAAAGCAACGATAGCTATTTACAGATTTAAATCATAATCAAAACAATTCACGTACCAACATACGAACTATTGAAAATAGAGTAAGATTGATTTGTCTTGTTTTTCAAATCGTCTTACAATGTCATTGGCGTAGCCAGGAGGGGGTGCGATCGCACCACCCCCCCCCCTTCATTACCAATGTAAATATGACCATGATGATAAAGGAAGAAAAGAGCCTTAAAATATGCTTTTTATTTGAAGCTTCTAGCTCAATTTTGAAGGATGTTACACACATTTTTGTAAATTAAAAACAAATCTTACACCTTTTCTAATGATCTAATTATGTTGTATATTCGCATATTTCGTTTTTTGGGTACCCGGCCTGGTTTTTTCGACCGGGTACCAAGTTTGAACCCAGCATGGAGCATTTACTACCCGGTACCCGGTTTTTTCTACAAACCCTATCTAGAAAAGTAACCTCATTCCCTATAATTTGATGTAGATTAATTGAACCCCTATATCATTGTTCCGAATTTTTGAATTTCGTGTTACGGTACTCACACCTGAAGCATGGTTTTTGTTTTTGATAAATTACAATAAAGTTTAATAATATTCCTATGCGTATTTTGTGAAATTGTGTTGACGTTTATTTAAGTTACAATGTAAAGGTGCATTATATTTGATTAATCAGTATCTGAAAGTTTGATTTAAGTACTTTTACACGCTTTTACATTAGTCCCATTCACGCAAATCCCTTGAATGTCCCGGGACATCCTGCAAATTTAGGTGGATGTCCCGCGAAATCCCGCAAATTTAGGTGGATGTCCCGCGAAATCCCGCAAATTTAGGGCACTTTGTCTAAAAAATCTGTCCCTCTATGAAGTTTTTGGTGGTACACCTGTCAACTGTCCCGCAATTAGGGTGTTTGTCCCTCGTATGGTCCCGCGAATTTGATAAAAAAAATTGGGCTATTAGCGCAATCACGCAAATCCCTTAAATGTCCCGCGAAATCCCGCGAATTTAGTAGATGTCCCGCAAAATCCCGCGAATTTTGGGCACTGGGTCTAAAGAATCTGTCCCGCGAGAAAATCTTTAAGGGTTGACAGTACTGTGTACCACTTCATAGGTATATAAGTAAAACCTACATGATTATTGCAGGCCTGTCAACTTGGGAACACCTAACATGAGTGACTTGGAAATGTTGAACATTACTGAACACAGCTGGCTCAAAAGCCAGCTGAAGCACCGTTAGAATATACCGTCCTGTGAAGCGGTTTTCTCCAACTTCCAGCAGGCGCGCTGGAATAAGAAACGGTATTTAAGAAGATAATTGAATGTAACTTGCCCTTTTCATCACGCGCGGTGACAATAAGTCCTACTTCTTGTGTAATTGCAGTTAAAATGGAGAAATTCCAAATCTGGCGCGCACCATTTTCTAACTTTTTACGCATGCGTGCACATGCGCATTGTACTTTTATGCGCATGGGTATTACCGCTGAGAGATCACGTGACTATATCATATTTAGCTAGCGCGAGTTATTTTGTAGTAAATTTTTACTTTCGAAAGTCACGAGATCTCGCGTGACCTAAAATGGCTGGAATCTAAATTCAAAAGTTTTGTTGTCTACAAGAACATTGATTTACTACAACAACAGACTGTTGAAGGAACAAAATAAGGTAACAACAAATAAATTATGTATTGATTCAAATATATAGCGTATTATAAACGCTACTCAGTACAGCGTTTAGTCAAAATGGGCTCGATTTATTCTTTTCAAGTTCACATACATCCAACTTCCCAGAGCTGACTTCTGTCAGCTCGGTAGAGTAAGTTGAACACCTCCCCTCAAAATGTGGACACCTTGGTCCAAATCTGAACACCTTGATCCAAATTTTGAACACCTTCATCCAAATTTTGAACACCTTGGTCTAAATTTTATTACATCTTACCAAATTTTGAACACCTCAAATTTTTCGCGCTCACTACGCTCGCGTTTCAAACATCCATCAATGGGGGGGGGGGGGGGGGGGGGGGTAGGTACGAAAAATTACGAACGGAATGCGTGACATATACGTAATTCGCGCGAAAAGTGCGTACGTTTTTTTCCGGCGTTCGTATTTTTGCTGTGTAGATGATTTTTTTAAAAAAAATTTCTACAGAAATATTTTTGCTTGACAATTACCAGGTAAAATGCGTATTTGCGTGACATTTTCTGTTCAAATTCTTCAGCAAATGCGTGACAAATACGCAAATTGCGGGACAGTTGACAGGCCTGTTATTGTCCACAAGTAAGAGGATTGGATGCCAAGGTACCCTGAATGGGTTTTGAAGATACAGTTTAGCAGCTCCGCCCCCACAACCGATGCCCATGACAGATCAGGTCATAAATCATTTCAAACCTACCACGCTGACCCTTTTCTCAACCAATCAGCAAGCTGGAAGTACCCCCATAAATGTGGGGTCGAATTGGCGTTTTTTCTTATATTTTATCATTCTTGCACTAAAATATTAAAAAATAAGAAAAAACACCAATTCGACCCCACATTTATGGGGGTAGCTGGAAGGAATAGGTGCTAAATGCGTGCATAATAATTATGCGATTACGTCAGAAAAAATGACCATACATAGAAAGTTGTCCTTATTTCGACAACGAACTCTGATTAGCTCAGTGAGTTCAAAGATTAATTGAAAACTGAAAGAGTGAACACAAAGCTCTATTTTTAAGCAAAGTCAAATGAATGCATAGCACATGCTATCTGTTGCAAGACTTATGCATAGGGTAGCCAGAATGAGATTGAGAATCACAATGTAGATCTAGCCCGCCTGGCCAATATTCTGCCATTCATGTACAGGGGTGTAGCCAGCTTTCAGTCAGGCTACGCCTATGCATGTAGGGCTATAGTCTGTGGCTTGATATTCAGCAAGAGGGGGAAACCCTGGGGTTCAGAGGTCTCCAGATAAGACATATGCCTATCACGTAAATCTGTATTGAGAAAAGACATCGTTGCATATTGAAATTGGTCTAATGGATGGACTAATGACGTCATTCAGTGAGCATTCAAGATTTTCTGAATACACTTCGAATAATATGTTGATTTCTGGCATCAAAATAGAGAAAGATGTGGGGAATTTGCTAATATTAAATACTCAGATGCAAGTAGGTAGTTACCAGTTTCACCACCAGGTGGCTGATTCAGGTTAATTAACATGGCCTAAGAAAGTTCCCTAAACTTGAATATTGTCAGTTTGGTTGGTGGTTGGTGTGTGTGGCATTCTGGTTGAGATCTGTAACAAATGGCAGGTGATGATATTTTGAATGTTAATGCCTTGTTAAATATTGTGTCAAATGTTTTACACTATATCATTTTTTGTTGTCACTTTTAGAAGGTGCTATATCTGAAGGTAAGGTGATTGTTAAATTATTTTCTGAACTTGCATGTGAATTGTTTTGTAAGGCAGCACTAATTACAAATCCTGCTGTTTTCAGATTTGCAAGGCCAGATAAAAGCCATGTCAGGTTTTGCAGTTGGTGTAAAAGATCCAAAGTATAGTGAGTTATTTTATTACTATTCTAAAAAACAACATATTTTCAGAAAACATTACCAGGAAAAAGAGTAACATTTCTCAGGTTCCCACATACAGGAAAATGATGCATCATGCCCTAGCCCTGCTAAATGGTCCAATTGTAACATTTACAAATAACTATAAAAATAATTATCTTTCTTTGATTTTTACAACACCATTTATACAAGTTTGCTGGAATTAAGACTTGATTTTCATAGCTCAAACTCAATATATCTAAATGTTCCCAATGATGCAAACTCCTTATATTTAAATCAAGGATAAATTGCTCATTTTCGTAATTGCAGATTTTGGGTTACTAGAAACACCTAGCAGTGCTGTAACATCCAACACTGAGTGTAGTAGTACTAAATGGGGCAACACATCTTCTATTGGGTCCTCTTCAATGCCAAGTATGAGGCATTCTGCTCCGAACAACAAGGCAAGGTAATTAACAATATACCATGGTTGTTCAATAACTTATTTTCATATGTTTCAATAAATGTGTAGATTTTTATATTACAATAAATAACATATGTTTAAATGAATATGGTTCATTAAAGTAAAAATTAACTTACAGCTAATATTAGTCCACATATGGTCATGTGATTTATATATCAAATGGGGCAATTTCTTACCATGAATATTTTATTATTCCATCGAACAAAGTTTGATAGGGATATAGACCATATAGTAAAGCCCTCTGTCCACCCATCTGTCCATGAGTCTATCTGTTTTTCCAATTTCCATACAAATCAAAATTATTTTTTTCACTTCAAAAATGTGAGATTATTGATTTTTGTTCTTTTTGATTGAGGAGATTTGAATTCATATTTTTAGAGTATGGCATTATTAGATATGACTTATATCTAATAGCAGTACTGTCAACCCCTAAAGATTTTCTCGCGGGACAGATGTTTTAGACCAAGTGCCCAAAATTTGCGGGATTTTGCGGGACATCTACTAAATTCGCGGGATTTCGCGGGACGTTTAAGGGATTTGCGTGATTGTGCTAATAGGCCAATTTTTTTTATCAAATTCGCGGGATTTCGCGGGACCATTCGAGGGACAAACACCCTAATTGCGGGACAGTTAACAGGGGTACCACCAAAAACTTCATAGAGGGACCGATTTTTTAGACAAAGTGCCCTAAATTTGCGGGATTTCGCGGGACATCCACCTAAATTTGCAGGATGTTCCGGGACATTCAAGGGATTTGCGTGATTGGGACTAATGTAAAAGCGTGTAAAAGTACTTAAATCAAACTTTCAGATACTGATTAATCAAATATAATGCACCGTTACATTGTAACTTAAATAAACGTCAACACAATTTCACAAAATACGCATAGGAATATTATTATACTTCATTGTAATTTATCAAAAACAAAAACCATGCTTCAGGTGTGAGTACCGTAATCTAACACGAAATTCAAAAATTCGGAACAATACTTTGCACTTCTGGCGTCGTGACCAACTATGAAACGCTTACCCCCATAATGTTATATATTAAAATGTACCTATTCATATACTGTAGGCATGGGCTTTCAATTGAAAGCCCATGATATAGGGGTTCTATTAATCTACATCAAATTATAGGAAATGAGGTTACTTTTCTAGATAGGGTTTGTAGAAAAAACCGGGTACTGGGTAGTAAATCCTCCATGCTGGGTTCAAACTTGGTACCCGGTCGAAAAAAAACGGGTACCCAAAAAACGAAATATACGAATATACAACATAATTAGATCATTAGAAAACGTGTAAGATTTGTTTTGAATTATAAAAATGTATGTTACTTCCTTCAAAATTGAGCTAGAAGCTTCAAATAAAAAGCATTTTAAGGCTCTTTTCTTCCTCTATCATCATGGTCATATTTCCATTGGTAATGAAGGGGGGGGGGGTGCGATCGCACCCCCTCCTGGCTACGCCAATGGCATTGTAAGACGATTTGAAAAACAAGACAAATCAATCTTACTCTATTTTCAATACTTCGTATGTTGGTATATGAATTGTTTTGATTATGATTTAAACCTGTAAATAGCTATCGTTGCTTTAGCAGAGAGGTGACGTGTGTTAATTTAAATGATGCAACGTGTAAGATTTTGATTATTAATCATAATTTAAGTTATCCCAATACGGAAAATTTCGAACAGAATGCGTGACATATACGTAATTCGCGTGAAAAGTCCGGACGAAATGCGTACGTTTTTTTCCGCCGTTCGTATTTTTGCTGTGTAGACGATCTTTTTTTAGAAATTTTTCCACAGAAATATCTTTGCTTGACAATTAACAGGTAAAATGCGTATTTGCGTGACATTTTCTGTCACGCAAAAATAACTGGCGTGACTTCAAATTCTTCAGCAAATGCGTGACAAATACGCAAATTGCGGGACAGTTGACAGGCCTGCGATAGAGGAAGAAAAGAGCCTTAAAATATGCTTTTCATTTGAAGCTTCTAGCTCAATTTTGAAGGATGTTACATACATTTTTGTAAATTCAAAACAAATCTTACACGTTTTCTCATTATCTATTATGTTACTGTATATATTCGTATTTTTCGTTTTTTGGGTTCCCGTTTTTTTGACCAGGTACTGGGTACCAAGTTTGAACCCAGCATGGAGCACGTGTTTTTCTACAAACCCTTTCTAGATATCAGCGTCCATTTATTGTAACTCGCGTTTGCTAATATTTGCTCAGTTCTGAGATGAAGGCCACACGGGTAGTAAAAAGGCCAACGTTGGAACTATTTGTGACCTACATCCCTATTTTCGTAATTAAAATGAAAGTTGAACCTTTCCCCTTTATTTTGATACCAAACAGCATGCTAGGTACATAAAATTAGGTAAACTTTACTCCTCAAAAGTGCAAAAACTTAGCTTCTTATAAAAGATAAGATAATCACAATATAGGGGATTGCAACAATTTCGGAAATTCGCGGAGGTCAAAGCCACATTTGCGGGACTTCGTGGGACATTGCGGGACACGCGAATTAACCTAATTTTGATCAAATTCGCGGGATAATCCCGCCATTCGCGGGACACTTGACAGCTCTGTAATAGAAGGGTTAGAAGGTTACAAATATTGCATCATATTATTTTATTTGTCTGTCTGTCAGTGCAATGGGATAGATTTTTGATTAAAATCTTTCAACCCAATTCACATGGTTTCATTTTGAAAATCTGTCTGTATAAGGTTTATTTAGTCCTAGTGGTATTGAAAACATATTTTATTGAACTAGTCATAAACTTGTTTCAGCTCCACTATGCCTGGAAGCAGCAGCTCATCAACCAGCACTTTTCCTGCACCTGGTACCTCAAGGTCTAGAACACCAGGCTCTTTGAGCTCCAAGACCCCTAGACAGGGTGGGCCGAGCTCTATAAATAGCCGTACTCCAGGGTCGAGAAGAACACCTCATACTACTTCCAGCACAACACCTGGTACTGGGAGGGAGACAAATTCAGCTGTAATTGTTGGTGAGTATTATATGTATTCAATTTTTTGAAAGTAATGTGTCTTGTTAACTCCATATAGATGAAGATGTATATCAGTTATTGAAACAAAAGGTGTAGAGTACTCATGCATTTGAAAAAGGAAAACATAAAAAAATTCAGCCAAATGAAAAATATGAATCTCCATTTACTGTTTCCATTTGGTTATGATAACCAGCGAGAAATGAAATGGTTAACATTGTCAAATTGTATATGAATATATATTAGTTAAAATCATGCTAAACTGATATGTCACATTTTTTCCGGTTTTTTTCTGAAAGTCTGGAACTATCTTAAGCCAGATAGTCTGTTTGATTATGCAAACATTGGTCTGGAGACCACCAGTTATCTAGATCCCAGGATTGCTTTATGTCCCATGTATCATGCACCACCTCACATATACTACACAAGTCCATAAAAGTATCTCTGTTATGGACCTCATACTTAAATTTCCAAGTAAAATATGACTCGTAGAGTGTTCTATTTTGAGACACATTCAATAAATGCCTGGCTAGTTGTTCTATAGATTCAAAATTATCAGTGTGTATGTATGATCCAGGGGGCAAGTATTTTCTGTAATTGTTCAGTTTCCCACGTACTATCGGTACAAGGTTATGTGTTAGAGAGTTCCTCCAGGATTTCTCAGTGATATAATCAGGGCAGTCGCTGTTTTCTAAGGCCAGGTAAAATTTATACCGACTTCCTGGAAGTAAACATAATTTAATTGTATTATTTTGGTTCAAGAAGCATCATCAATTTCAGTTAGGGATATCGAAATATATGTATGTGGCATGATGTTAAGGATAGGAATCATGAAAAACAAATCACTAATCACAAATCAAACAAAATACATGCACCCCCCTCTGACACCCCCAAAAAAATTTTGGGCGACCCCTCACACCCCCCACAAAACAATTGAAAAGTTCTGAATTTATTTTATGTATTGTCTCAGACATATTTTAAGTGCCCTGCCATCAATCATCAAATAGCTCCTTGATATAGTAAATGTTTCTGGAGGACTAACACTTGCTCCCCCTCTGGCATCCTCACCCCACCTCCCCCTCGGGCACCCACCCCCCTTGGACACCCCCCAAAAAATTGAAAAAAAATTATGATTTTTTTTCTAATCTTTTTTTATTGACTCATACACTTTGGAAGTGCCTAGATAGCACCAACTAGCATCTTCAAATTGTAAAGTTTTCTAGGGGGAGTGGACCACCCCTCACCCCCCCACAAAACAATTGAAAAGTTCTGAATTCATTTTATGTATTGTCTCAGACACTTTTTAAGTGCCCTGACATCATCAAATAGCTCTTTGATATAGTCAATGTTTCTGGGGGACTAACACTTGCTCCCTTTCTGGCATCATCACGCCAGCTCCCCCTCGGGCACCCCACCCCCCGAGAGCCCAGAGAGCACCAAATAGCATCTTAAAATTGCAAAATTTTCTAAGGAAGTAGGCCACCCCTCACATCCCCCACGAAACAATTGACAAAAATTCTGATTTTATTTCATGTATTGTCTCAAAAACATTTTAGGTGCCCAGACTTCATCAAATAGCACCTTTATATGGTCAATGTTTCTGAGGGACAAATATGGGGGACAAACACTTGCTCCTCCCTCTTTCACCCCAGTCCCCAACCCTACCTCCCCCTTTGGCACCCCCCCCCCCTTTGACACCCCAAAATTTGAAAAAGAATTGTGATTGTTGTTCATTTCTTTTATTGACTCGTACACTCTAAAAGTGCCTAGAAAGTAACAAATATCATCTTAAAATTGTAAAATTTTCTAGGAGAGATGGTCACCCATCACATCCCCCACAAAACAATTGAAAATATTTGAATTTCATGTATTATCTCAGACACTTTTAAAGTGCCCAGACATCATCAAATAGCACCTTAAAATGGTCATTGTTTCTGAGGGAAAACCCCTTGCTCCCCCTCTGTTATCCCCACCCCACCTCAACCTTTTATCCTCTTTGACGTTTGACACCCCCCCAAAAAAAAAATTGAAACACATTTTTTATTGACTCATACACTTTGAAAGTGCCCAGAAAGCACCAAATGGCATCTTAAAAGTGTAAAATTTTCTAGGGGGGGGGGGGGCACTCCTCACACCCTCCACAAATCAATTGGGAATGTTTGGAAGTTGCATTTGTTTATTTTAAACCCTTTAAAAGTGCCCAGAAATCACCAAGTGACATAATGAAATCATAAATAATTCTGACACCGCATCCCAAAAACTAAAGCATTCATTTACTCAAACACATTAAAAGTGCTCAGAATTAACCAGACAGCATCTTGAATTAGTAAAATTTTCCTGTGCTGCCCACTCGCTCCTCTAAGAAGTAAATGATTTAAAAAATCTGAATTTCTTTAAATTGATTCTATTGCCTTCTAGCACACTCCTACGTATTCCAATGTTTCTCCAAGTTGCTCATACAATATTTAGTCTAAAAACAATATGAAAACAATAAAATACTACAAAATAGGCTGACCTGCCTTAATATAGAGAGAAACTCCCCCCCCCTCTGACTTACGCAATTTGATTTACGCGGAAAAAATGGCAATTTTATTTTCTCGTTATCAAAAACCGCACCCCCCTTGGAGAAAAGTGTATTACGGGCCTGACCTATATAGTAAAAGCAGTCCTCTACGTCATTCCCTGGGCATGGATGTTTTCCACAGCGGCCATATGTATCAACCGGGATAAAGTTTTGCAGTTTTTCTATAAATTGCTCTCTATATGACTCTGTCTTACAGTGGCTTGCGGCCCAAGCAACCAATCCTGTCCTTTTGAAGTAGTCTGGTAAGGTATAGCCAGGGTCAATTTCAAGTGTTTCGCTGTAATAGCCATATATTAATTGCTTGTCTGCATCAGCTTTAATGGTTACTGTAAGGTTCATAAGATGCCTCCATTTTGCATAATCTGCATGTTGGAAGAAATCACGACGTGGTGCCTCTGCTGTTGTGAACACCCATTTTTGCCAAGGGGTCCTCATAGGGGGAATTACAGCTCTTCTGAATTCATCAGATAAGGCATGGAAAAGCACAACATCAGCTTTCTGAAGTAACTTAAGATCTAGTTTGTAGCGTTCTATAGGAGATAATGCTTTCGATTTCAACAGAGGCATGAGCACACTTCTATCAGCCAGGAATTTGCAGTTTGGCTGAGAACAGGATCTGAAAGTATCATCTGAGAAATGTCTGTTTGCAAGAGGTGACCATGCTAGTACCTTGATAACATCAGGCTTTGGTGGGATCTCTGATTTTCTCACTTGGTAGATCATTCTATATGGACTGAATATTCTTGGTTGTGCTGGTGGTCTCTGCCATATTTGGTTATTAAATTGGTAATAAATAAGTAGCAAGAGCAGTCCCCCAAATAGTAAATGCTGAAAAAAAATCACTTGTTCGTTAATATAATAGAAACTTATCCCAATGAAGGAAGTTTGGAAGGGATATAGTCCTCCATCCATTCACTGTCAGTCAGTCAGAAAATTCAAAATGGCCACTTATGTGCAGGTGAGATTTTGCAATCATTTTCTAAACTCTTCCAAAAATTCCAAGATATCATAGATTTCAAAGGTCCATGTGCAGTATGGCAAGTGATTTTAGACGGTCATATATTAATCATAAATACTTTCTTGGCATAAATACAGTGGTTTTTACTAAAACAATATGTTTTCTTTCAAGTAAAGTACCCATGATGATAAAAATATAAATCGAAAAATTTGAAAATTTATGAATTTATTTCATTTTTTTCAAAATGTTGAACCTATTTACTCAAAAGAGGATCTTTTTCTGTTTTTTATTGCATGAAAAGATTATTCAACAAGGGGTCTAAAATGTCTTCAAAAGTAGAATGGTATTGAAAAAGTTTTGAAGATATCAATTTTCGATGACCAAAATTATGCTGAAAACAATGGATAGCAAGAGTTTTCTCTATGAGAAAATTACACGGGATATGTGGTTTTTTAACTTTAACACAATTCAATACGCATTTTTGAGAAAAGTAAGATCCTCTTTTTAGAAAATGAGCCTAACATTTTTAAAAAAGTACGAAGGTGGGGTCCTAATCAATAATTTTTCAGAGAGTTAGAATGATATTTTACTATCATGGGGACTTCACTTGTAAGAAAACATATTGTTTTAATAAAAACCATGGTGAAAGATATGACCATCTAAAATCACTTGCTATACTGCACATAGACCTTTGACGCAAAAAGGAAATAACCATTGAATCAGACCAGTCATGATGTTGAGCCCATCTGGTCAATTATTACTCACTTCATATACCAAGGGTGAAATGTTATGGCTATGAGCTGAATGAACTTAACCTATAGTTTCATTAGATTAAAATCAGAATATCAAATAAATTGACTAAATGTCACAGCTATAGTGAACATAACCCATATTTGAATTCACTTACCAATTTTTTCTGCCTTATCCTGAAACATACACTCCTTGGTATGAAACAATAAATTCTGTAGAAAAACTTTTGTTTTTCAACATACATATTTCAGTGATTTTACCTGCCCTTTTCATAATTAATTGAATTTCATTTTGTTTTAAAAAAGTTAATTAAAAACTGTCATATAACCTAAACAAACCATTGTTTTAATTTATTATATAATCAATATTGGCGATTTACTTGATATGGGAGCCATTTCGAACAAGATTTATATAGCGTCTGTCTACCCAGACAGATCGATGCACACCCATCAGCGCAAGATGAAAACAATATGAATATAGCACTTTTTTCTGCCCTTAGCATTCATTTTTCAAATTAATTATGAAATTAATTCTGTTTATATTTTACAGGTAAATTTGTATATTCTGTACAAGTTAGACCTCTTGAGCATTGAACACCCTCTTGACAAGACGTTTCGAGCAGATCCCATCAGTTTTAATATTATTCTATGATTAGAGTCACAGTGTCATATGGCAGTACATACTTTGCGTATGAGATTTTCATTTTCAAATACATTTATCTGATTTCTGATGAAACCAATCTTTAAAAAATACTGCAATAGATCATTGTGGTGAATTACAGGGTGACACAGAAATGCAACTCAATAATTTTGGAATAAACTTTCAATTATGATGGAATCTTCATTTTGAAATTAAGATTTTCAAGTGTACATAAATAAATTCAGTGTGATGCGAGTAGAAATAATCTTGATTTTCGTCATTAAATTCAGTCAAACTGATATCATATTTGGAATCTACATGTAAAATCACACCTAGATAAGTGGTTCTGAAAAGAGTTTATCAACTTTGAAAATTTTATTTTCTTTGAAAATGTGACTTCTAGGTCTGGGAGATTCCCCATAGACCCCATGTTGTAAAACCACAAAAAGTGAAATATCTTTTCTTGTGTTGGACAGATAATATTTTCTTTCACTGGACATATTTTAATTTGTATAACTATCACATACATAAGGGTAATGTGAAAAGTGAACCATTAAAACTGATGAATATTCAAGTTTAAGGGAATTTTGTAATACCCTGCCATATTATTTCCCCCGAATCAGCCACCTGGTGGCGAAACTGGTAACTTCCTACTCGCATCTGAAAAATTGCGAACTAATTTTGCCTTATCAATTTATTACGAGATTGAGAGATCACATTTTGTCTCTTAGCGTGATCTCTCACCAAATCACTTCAAATTATAAGATCAGAAATCTGTCCGAAATTCTGAATAGTCAGTTCATCATAATTTGAAGTTATTCTAGAAATTGAAGAGGGAGATATGATCACAAAGTCAAAGATGATATTTATGCATATCGATGTTTCACGTATTGAACACTAACACTGATATTTCAAAAGACAGCATCGTAATAAATCTAGAAAGTAATTCCAAAATTAGAGGGTTACCTTTTTTGTCACCCTGTGTGTAGTATTTTCAGATTTCAGACTTAACCTTTCATTTAAATGCCAGACCTTCGACTGTTGTGTCAAATGTCAATATTGTAAACTTGAAATGATCATACTGGTTGATAAGAGCTAGATGATATTGATAATCAATATAAACACCATAAAATAGCCAACATTTGTTTGGCTAACATGTGTGAGATATAAAAAACAAGTCTTGTTTTGGAGAACAGTCTAGTGTGCTAATCATTTTTTTATGTAAAATATAGAAATATATATATAATTTATTTAAAGAAAATTAAATTATGAATATTTAAAAGAGGACATTTAAATAATGTAAAATTTATTAATTTACATTATCAATTTATTACGAGATTGAGAGATCACATTTTGTCTCTTGGCGTGGTCTCTCACCAAATCACTTCAAATTATAAGATCAGAAATCTGTCCGAAATTCTGAATAGTCAGTTCATCATAATTTGAAGTTATTCTAGAAATTGAAGAGGGAGATATGATCACAAAGTCAAAGATGATGTTTATGCATATCGATGTGTGTATGTAAAAATATCAAAATTTTCCGAAGCAGGTGTAACATGCAGTAGACCGATTCAATAAAAGACAAGTCTCGATTTGGAGAATGAAGTTCATCAGTCTGCTGCGCTAATACTTTTTTTTATAGAAATATAGAAATAACACCCAAATTTAAATTATGGATATTCAAAAGAGGACATTTAAGTCTACAATATGTAAAATATCAAAATTGTCCAAAGCAAGCGTAACCTACAGTAGACTGATGAACTTCGTTCTCCAAACCAAGACTCATCCTTTATTCTGCCTCTTCAGCATGTTCATCTATTTGTGTTTGCAAATATCATAAATTATTGTCTTTCTGATCTGAGTCTGGGAACATCTAAAATGATCACCTAAATACAGGAACTTGCATTTCAAGGGAAGGGTTTATTAATGTCATTTTATAAAATGTCAAAAATGGCAGATTTATTTGTTAAGTGCATAATGTAAATTATTAAAGTTGATCATGTAATGTTATATTTTCCATTCAGATTCAACTAAGAATTGAATTAAAAAATGTTTATTTAGTAGATTACAAATCTAATGACCTGTCTTCTGTACTTTCAGCCCTTGTGGAGGGGCGAGGCATAGCAAGGGGTGAAGTGGGAATGGCCCAGATAGATCTGAAGCAGCCAATCCTCTCCCTGTCTCAGTTCTCAGACAGCCCTACATACCCAAAACTGATGACCAAACTACAGATGTGCCAACCTGTTGAGGTACTGGTTTTCACATTGTATTCTTTTATGTTACACAAACAAAATGCCCTTCAGTAAATCACCCATTTACCAAAACCATTAGATGCATCTTATAGCCAGATAAACAATGGAAAATGGATGAACTCACTCATTATCAGTACAAATCATTGGAACTTTCCCCACATAACCAGGACACCTTGCTGGTTCAAAAAGCAACCGTGCCTCAGAATCCCTCTAGTACTTTTCTACTTTGGCAATTTTTGCCCCACCCCAAAACAATTCAATTGATGACCATTTCACAAATTGACAATTTTTGTATCGAATATATTATTGTATGCTTATAGACTATACATGTATGTTTCTAGATAGTAATGCCTAGTACTGCATGTGAGAATGGCAATATGACAAAATTGTTCAAGTTGATTAGTGATCAGTTTACCAACACTAACATTGCTACAGTACAAAGAAAATACTTCAATGAAGAAAAGGGTAAGAAACAACAGTATTAAGAGGCTGTTTTATAAGAAAAATAATCCAATGTTTTTGGTGTAACTGATAACGTTTAGAAATGAAATGGCAATATGAGATTTCAACTTTCTGGGAAAATTTCTTTTATTTTTATATCAGAACATACAATGGGTACATATACAATGGGTAACAAATCAAATACAAGTTGAGAACTAGATTATCTCATTTCTTTGAATGGATAAAGATAAATGCTTTTTTAAAGCTTCATATATGTAGCATTATAAAATTAAACAAAAAATGTACTGTCAGATTACATCAACAATGATCTTAGTTATAATGTATGTAATGTTGACACTGTTCCCTGTTCGGCGGTAGGTGATTGCCGATCGCCGTCACAAAAAAAGTTCAAATCTGACGTTATATTTAAGATTTGACCTTCAATGATCTTCTCAAGGTCAAAAAGCTCTTTTTCAACTTGCTTCAAATTGACCAATTTGTTTTTTCAAAATCATCTTCAAGTTCTCAGAAGTTCACATCTGACTTCAGATTTGGGATTTCACCTTCAATGACATTCTCAAGGTCAAAAAAGGTCAAAAAGGTCTTTTTCAACTTGCTTCAAATTAACCTTTTGAATTTTTTTTCAAAATCATCTACAAGTTCTCAAAAGTTCAAATCTGACTATAGATTTGACCTTCAATGACCTTCTCAAGGTCAAAAGGTATTTTTTCAACTTGCTTCAAATTGATCATTTTTTCAAAATTATCTACAAGTTCTCAGAGGTTCAAATCTGACTTAAAGGCCAACTTTGCATATTTTCAATATTTGCATATTTTGGGCAAAATAGACTTACATTTGAATTTCATAGTATGTCCAATATATTGATAAGAACCCTATCTTTCATTTGACACCAACAACAGAAGAAGTTATAGAAGTGCCGCCATCTTTTAAATCAACAGTAATTTAAAACATGCACATTTAACATGTGCATGCGTGTCTAATGATCTCCGAATTTCAAATGCCTTTTTCTATGCGAGTTATTTTTTTCTTGGTTCAATATTAAAGCAAATCAAACTTTGTGTCATATTTGAGCAAGTGTGTGAGTAACATGTTTCAATGATTATTTTTTTATATTTTCTCCTTAATTAAGTATACTGGGCCTTTAAGATTGAACTAATAATATTGTGAGCAACTAGGTGGTGACATTTTGTCATGTTAATGCCTTGTATTATTTTATGAGGAAAATATTAAGAATTGTTTACTATATGAGTAATACACCACCCAAATCCATAAAATGTTTGACAATTGTACCATAATTTTGTATTGTTTATATATACATGTGAATATATTTTATGATTATTAACTTGATATAGGGCTGCAGTACATCAAACAGCTATGTGTTCCTGAGTATAACACTGTAGAAATGGAGGTTGCATCAAAGTAAGGACCTTACAGTTAATTGTCTGTTGAGTGGGAGGTCATCCCAAAACTTCCTAGTCAAACATTTTACTTACCTTTTTTGATTTACATACATTTTGTCATGTATTTAATTATGAAATTTTTTTTTTTGATGAACTGGTCATTAAAACAGTCAAATTGTGGGGGCCCTGTGAAAATGAAGATGTCAATAATCTCCCTTAGTTCAGTTGAATACATTGGTCCGGCAGTTCATATTTCCTTTATTATTAGTGAAACACATATTTTATGTACATCGCCAGTATACATTCAGTTTACAGGGTTAGTCATTTCATTTATCACTTGATTTTTATTCAGATGTACATGTACAATAACAATATCACATACATTTATGTACTTACTCTTTAAATTTCCCCCTTTTGATTATTTTTCATTTACATTTTGCAGGTACTACTGCTTGGCAACAACAGCTGCTCTCCTGAAATATGTAGAGTTCATACAGAACACTGTCTACGCCCCTGCCTCATTAAAAGTGGTATTCAAGGGTAGTGAGCATACAACTATGATAGGTAGGCACATTGTGATCTGAGTAGGTATACCTTAAATTGTGGAGATACATCATGATCTGTGTAGGCATGTTTTGATCTGTGTAGGCACAGCATGATCTATGAAGGGACATTTTGATCTGTGTAAGCTCATCATGATCTATGCTGGCACATCATGATCTATGTAAAAATATCATTACTATTTGTGTAGGTACATTTGATCTGTGTAAGCTCATCATGATCTATGCTGGCACATCATGATCTATGTAAAAATATCATTACTATTTGTGTAGGCACATTTGATCTGTGTAAGCTCATCATGATCTATGCTGGCACATCATGATCTATGTAAAAATATCATTACTATTTGTGTAGGCACATTTGATCTGTGTAAGCTCATCATGATCTATGCTGGCACATCATGATCTATGTAAAAATATCATTACTATTTGTGTAGGCACATTTGATCTGTGTAAGCTCATCATGATAATTGTAGGCACACGTCGATCTGGATAGACACATTATGATCTTTTATATTTATTTATGTCAGTAGATGAAAAAAACTTCATGATATGTATAGGCATATATGATCTGTGTTGGCACATCCTAATCTGTGGGTACCTTAGGGATTCTTTTGTGACTTTAACAGGATGGCGTGTGGTGATATTGTTATAGTCCCCAACTTTTTTGTGGTTGGTGTAACTTCGGTGTCTGTAACAACGTTTGGCAGTAGGTGTCTGTAACAAATGGCAGGTGGTGACATTTTGCATGTTAATGCCTTGTTATATTTATGATGCGGACTATCATGCACGTGAATAGACATTTGGAGGGTGGCATATATTTCTCAAAAAGATATGATAATAAAAATAATCAAAATTTGATAGATGAAGTCATGTTTCTATAATGGGTATTTCATAAACTTATACCAACTTATATCTCCAGATGCTGCCACAGTGAATAACCTTGAGCTGCTACAGAATCTCAGGGATCCCAAGAGTGAACACAGTCTGTTTGGTGTACTGAATCATACAAAGACTGTGGGTGGGAATAGACTTCTCAGAGCAACTATACTACAACCTCCTTCATGTATGTTAAGAATGGATAAATATATCAACATTGAATCATTTGCCTTAAAATCTCGTACAATTTTAATTTGTGACATAAATTTTGGATACAGGGATGACATCTTCATCGCTACTTATTTATCAGTACAAAACGATATGCATCAAAAGATCTACTCAAAATTGTATTTTGTAGTATAAATTTTTTGAAAATTCTGGTGTTACTAAAACGATATCTAACAGCCCATGGGCATAAATGAACTTCAAAATTGTAATGATAAGATAGATCACATTTATGTACACTCTGCAAATGTTTATCTTTCAGCCTTGGAAACTATTAATTTGAGACTAGACACAGTGTCAGAGCTAACGGAAAATGAAGAACTTTTTTACAATCTACGAGGCGTTGTTAGTCGATTCGTTGACATTGATTATCTCCTATCACTTTGTGTACAGATTCCAAAACAGGAGACACTTAAAAGTGCCGAGAGCAAAATCACAAATGTTATTTACCTAAAACACACATTAGAGCTACTAGCACCTCTGCAGAATGCATTGAAGGATTCCACTACTCCATTGTTGAGGGCTTATTATAATGTAAGTTGATAAAAAACCAAAGCATGCTTGTATACAATGTATAGGCATGGAGAGATCTTGTTCAAATTTTATGAGACAAAGGAGCTCTGCTCAAGAAGAAATTTTCAATATGGCAATTGAATTTCAAAATGGCTGTCATTTTTCATTAAAAAAATGTAATCTTTCATATCTGAAATATCAGTGAACGGATTTAGTTCAAATTTTATAATATGCTGAACTTCATTTACTAATACCTTATGGGCAAAGGACCTCTAATTAAGAAGGCATTTTAAATATGGTCACTCATTTCAAAAGGTCACCATTTTTCATTAAAAATAACTCAAATACCAGTTGACAGATTTGGTTCAGATTTTAAATACTGATGCTCAAGGGACATACAATGTATAGGACTCTGCTCAAGAGTCAATCGACAAGGTATTACTAGTATTAAGATATGTTTGTTCGATGATACCTTCTTCTCCATGTACTTGATGTTTTCTAGTTTAGTTCAGTTAGTGCTTCTCGAGCCTCTGGCCTTCTTCCTATAGATGTTAACTACAATTGCAATTAATTGGAAAAGTTCTAATATACTGAGAAAAGACATACCAACACATATACCAATAATACCACCAATCTCAGACACTAAATCTTGAAGTGTATATGCTGCCACTTCGGTTGTGGTCTGAACAGTTAAGGATCTATGATACACATTCAACCTTAGAAAGTTGCTCTGGACCATGTTGTACAAATCACCAGATGTATCATTCTCTTCATATGTTTTATAAATGTCTGTGCCATTTAACAATGTAGGATGCTCATTAATGTACTTTTTGATAAATCTCCGAACTCCATTCTGGGGTGGCCAATTCGCCTGTGAAATTAGAGAATCATATGTTTTGTAACTGCAAGACAGGGGACAGTCACATTTATACTGGCCAACATAGGAGTCTGGTAGATCCAAAAGGTGCTTATTTTCACAATCCACATGTTTCAGTTCCTCCAGAAAAAGATGTGTCCAGTTAGGATTTTGAAGGATATTATCTTGGTCAATATAAAAACAGTATTTCTCATTTTTCAAATCATTTGGGACTGGGAGCATTATGTTAAGACATCCACATTTTCCTTGAATGTATCTCTGCTGGCAGATCTTCATACATGTTTTCTGGTTGTATACAACATCTGTGTCTTCATTGGCAATGTCAGTTATCTTCACTCTCGACTTATCACATTCTCCCCAGGGAGACTCCATCTTCTCAAATACGGACTGCTTCACGGCAATATTTGTAGAATGACCAAGGGCAACAATAAATCCATCATTTATCATGTCTGGAATTGTATTTGGTTCATGTATTGCCACTTTAATTCCAGAATCGGTAAACCTCATGGCTGAATCTTCCAATGAGATGTCTATAAGTTCATTTTCTTGAAGTGTGTCCAAGTAAAATACCAAGGAAAGACCTGATGTTGGGCCTTCTTTCTTGATAATTCCAGAATGGTTGAACGTGAAACAATTGAAATATTTACCATTCATTTTTTCCACAAAGTGTGTTTTATTACAATCCTGGTCTTTGAACTGACATGACACAATAAAGCGCTCATAATCATAAGTCAAATACTCTGCGATTGCAGGGAATGCTTGTAGAACAGTTTGGGGATCCAGTAATCTTTGTACATTTTTACTGAGAAGTGGGAATAGATCAAGATCCTTAAGGCTATCAATAATTTTCTTTAAAACATTCACATCTTGTATCATAAGTTCAGCATCACCCTTGTCAGGTGCATGGTGGCTTCTAAGTCTACTTAAACCATCATCATCCAGTCTGCACACAGTTACAGCTGGAAAGTCAACATAGGTGTCCTTCAAGGAAGTATCCTCGTGTGTTCTGTATTTGTAGTACTTATTGATAGCCACAAATACAAAATAAGTTGCGACACAAACACTCGCGAGAAGGAAAATTGTCCAACATATTTTGACGATCTTGGACCGTGATTGATATATCTGTTGGCAACCATGTGTAGTTATTAGGCTCATGTAGTGAGATATTGTCCCTTGATCATCATTGTTTTTTCCTTCATTTGATTGCATTATGCTTGCACATTAATGTTGATCATCTCAATTCAAACTATTTAAACTCATTCTCAACTCACATTGCCAACCTTTACATGATTTTTACTCTGGTGTTACTCCACCTCACCCAACTATACACTGTAATACTAAAGTGCATGCATTTAATAACATTTTACATTAATAGCATTATTGTTATCAAACTTATTCTATTAAACTAATGAAAATAAAGTATGTGACATCAATAGATTGTTTCTCATTAATTATGCTTTATCCAACATCACTCAAGTCTCTAGGGATTTTAAACCAACTATCGTGTCCCCCTAAATTATCATTTTCATTCACATATGGAATAACCTTGGGGATAATTTCAGTTTCAGTTCTCTGTCCTAAACACTTGACATACATTTACGTTTCTTGCAGGCAAAGCAATGGTACCTATTTGGGTTTCATCTTGAAAGATTTGATTATTTGAAATAAACATTTTGATCTGTCAAGAGACTTTGAGCATAATATATCATAGTTTTGTTTAAAACATGCTGATTTTGTATTACCCCAGTCAATTGTAGCCTACAATTTTCACAAAAATTATATTTCAACATTGACTATAGCTTCCTTTAAATGCTTCAAAATGTACCAAGTCAATGAATAATACAATGTAGATTGATTTTCCAGATAATGTATAATATGTTTATAATGATAGGATTTAATTTGCAAATTGATATTAATCAATCTCCATCCTATAACATCTATTATGTATTTGCTCCAATCATGTGATATTACTTCTAGAAAAAGCTCGGTTTTATACTTCTCCACTTCTTGTAATTTCATGTCCTTACAAGATTCTAGTAAACAATGATCTAAACGGGTGGCCATGATTTAATTAGCAAGGCCTCTGGACTTAGATATACAATGAAACCTGTCATACTGAACACCTCTCTCTAGTGAACACCTGTGTCTAGTGAACACCCCTCCTCAGCACATACTCCACTGACTTTGTATAAAATTGCCTCTCTGTAGTGAACACCTACCTACGGTTTCTCCATAGGTGTTCACTGTAAACAGGTTCTACTCTATTTTTGGATTAACACAGAATCTTGGCACAATAAAGATCTTAAACTGTTTTGATGGCTCAATCCTTGACAATATAATAAAAGATTAATAAATAAATATGTATGCGGAAAAAAACAACTCCAAAGAGACAAAATCCTAATGTAAAATAAACCTGCTCTGTTGGAAACAAACTTCATACATAAAAAAGATTAAAACTGAATTTACTGAGTATGAGACATCTTTAAATACCATTTCTAACTAAAACCAAGAAAGATGTTTTTCATGACTCAAAATCAGTTCCTAAAATTTACAAATGTAACAAGATATTATTATCTACGTAAATGTATAAATCAAAGATAATTGAATATCAAATCTTCGTAGACAATAAAACATGGAATGAATAAGGATTATCTTCAATACAGGGTAACCCAATCAAAGCTTAACAAATCAGTCATCCAGTATTGGTTTAAGTCATATTTGGACAACTGAACTTTGTCTTTCATTCACCCAAGTTTCATTGTTCTATTCCAAGTGGTCACAATTTTATGACCATTTTACAAAACATGCTCAAAATGCCAGTCTTGTTTTGGAGGCAAACTTGAATGCATCAGGTGAAGTTTTCTGATTACACGCTCACTGATATCTTGTGTAATGGCTCTCATTATGCCTTCTTATATCTTGTTTCAACTCTCAGATGTGTCTTGGTTTGTAACATGTACATTATTTTTGAAATAGCCAAAAAGATAAAATTCCAGTGTTTCATATTGGCTTGATTTTGGTATGTTTTGGCATTTGGAGCATATTTTGTAAAATGGCCATAAAATCATGACTTGGACATAGACTGCTGAAACTTACTAGAACGTAAGAACATTGAGCAAGGTTAAATTGCGCTAAATATAACTTAAAGTGTGCGCCTGACCCTCTACGTATAGCACAGAGTTTATACTGGCGGATTAGACTAGTTCATTTTTTATATGTGTGTGAAAGCTTTCTCTTATTTGCGTTTTTTTCGTTTAGTACGGTTTTGTTATAATTGCCGAGGTCATATAACCGGGATAAAACAATGATTATCGTTGACTGCCCACACACAAAACATACGTTGAGTGAACAGTGTTATAACAAATAACAGGCTTTAGAATACAAAGCGTAGTGTGGTAATAAGCTGTACACTACCACTGCTGCATGTACATATTACTAATTTACTAGGGCTCCCAAAGAGTGGATAGGGAGGTTGTGTTTGTCACTTTTAAATTTTTCATTTCAAAATTGTCATTTTACATGTCATAATTTGTTGGTTTCATTCGTTTAGCCAATCAAAACATTGTAAAACAATAAATTGTCTGTTACGTACAATCAATTTTGTTCAGTTTTGATTAGTTGTCAGAATAAAGTTACGTTCATCTGAATCCATGTATCAAAACAAAAATCCTATTTTCACTTCAAAATACTTCAGTGAGATGAAGGCTCGGAATTGTCACATGCAATAACTTATTGTCGTATTCGTTATTTTATCTTCTCGATAGTAGCATTTAGTCGCACATTTGATGCCAGGTCACCTCGTCGCGTACCTCTTGGGGAACCCCACATTTATGTGTGTACTCATGGAAGTAAATTCTCCGGTGTAGCCGAGAGCCACAAACTTTTCAACAGGTTTGAAATGACCAATTTCTCGCATATATACTCTAAATATTTTATTATTTAGCACCTACAAAGTATTGCTAATAACCATATGTAATTTCAATAAGGAAACTTATCTGGCTACATATAAATTCAATATCAACACTAGCTGTTCTCTCAACACGTCCTGGCTTACCTTGTGGTGACAAACCCTGGATTTTCGCTATTTATAGTTTATCAACACCTGGACGCATGCGCATTTTATAGTTTATCGGGCACTTTAAAACCCATACTGGATGACTGAGTTATTAAGCTTTGTTTGGGTTACCCTTTTTTGGCTCACACTGTATGTTCATCAAAAATACACATGCTAAACCCAATCTGTTGCTACGTGATAATAAATCATTTCAAATTACATATAATTAGGTTAATTATTAAGTGATGGAAAAATAAGCACTCTTACATGATTTGATGTATGTAATTTTGATAGACAGACAGTAGTTGGATAAGAGCCCCCTATGGTCTGTACTAATAACCATACACACTGCTTTCCCTATCTTGAAACTTTCATTGAATTAAAATTTGCTTCTTCGCAGAGTTGCTGTTGTCTAGTTATGACAACACCAGAAGTGGTGACATATTGTTATATCCTCCAATTTTTATGTGGATGGCGTTCGATGATTGGTGCTTGACATTCGCCATCTGTAAGAAACAGGAGGTGGTGACATTTAGAATGTTAATGCCTTGTTTATGATTCTTTCTGAACCATCTTCATTGTGTTTATATTTATATCTCCAGACTCTACAAGACCCTAGGTTTGATATCATCATAGAAAAGATTCACACAATTATACAAGATGATACAAGGTACCAGAAAGGCAACTTGAATATGAGAACACAGAAATGCTTTGCTGTGAAGGTAAGTTCTGTTTAGGTTCACCACCAAGAAATGGTGTCATCTTGTCTTAGTCATCAATTTTTGTGACTAGTTTCCGCATTTGGCATTTGTTGTGAAAATTTGTGTGAGCAGCCTTGATTAAATCTTTTTATTCGAAGCTTTTAACTGAGACTACCAGGTCCTCGTATATATAAAAACAAGTGCATTATTTCACCCACAATTCATGAAGTCATATGCCTCCAATAACGCAGATGCGAGTAGGTAGTTACCAGATTCACCACCAGGTGACTCGTTCGGGTCAGATAGCATGGCGGGTATAGGAGAAAGTTCCCTTTAACTTAAATTCTGTTTTAGTGGTTCACTTTTTATATAACCCTTATGTATTTAATAGTTATGCAAATTAAAAAATGTCCAGTAAAGGAAAATGTTATTTGTCGATTACAAGAAAAGATATTTCACTTTTTGTGACTTTGTAACATGGGGTCTATGGGGATTCAACCCGAACTAGAAATCACATTTTCAAAATAAATTAAATTTTCAAAGTTGGTAAACAATTTTCGGAACCATATTTCTAGATGTACTTTTACATGTAGATTTCAAATATGACATCACTTTGACTGTATTTTGAATATTTAATGACGTAAATCAAGATTATTTCTACTCGCATCTAGTCTATTCTTCCCAGACATTCAAAATGAGGAATCTTTACTAATGTATTTTGTATATATTTTTCAGCCAAAGATCAATGGCCTGTTGGATGTAGCTAGAAGAACATACACTGAGATAGTGAATGACATCGCTGGTAGGAACAATACTGTGTAGTTGGCTTATGATAGAAATCATGTATTATATCTAGAAGTCATATGGACATGTTTCTTTAGAACCATTATACCATTTCTTAGAAGGGTAATAGATGTCTATACAGTATATAGAATTCATAGATCTTTCATATATATCAGGGGCATATCCAGCAATTGTCAAAAGGCGTCCGATTTTTGGGGATTGCCTTACTGTGAGCGAAGTGAACCCCAAAAAGGGGGTACTGGGGTTCACCCCAAGAATTTTTTTAAAATTTACATTGTAGCCTATATGTTGCTTTCTAAGCATTTCAAACTATAATTTGTTAATGTTTTTTTTTCAACACAAATTTTTTTTTCTTTTTTGGGGCTGGCTACGCCCATGTAACTTTATCAAATCTCATACATGTAATTTTGATACTTAACTTAATGTTTAGTCTATCTGTTCAGGGAATGGGTATTTCATTAGTGAACACCCCCCTAAAAGATTGCATTTTCCAATTCCTATTTTGGATATCCCAATGGTTTTGGAATGTGTTTCAGAGCTCACAGGGCAACTGTCTGCTGACCATAACCTTCCCTTGAAAACTGCCTATAACTCTACAAGAGGGTTCTTCATACAGCTCTACTGTGGAGGGAAACAGACTATCTCTGTTGATAGTTTACCAGGAATATTTGTCAAAGTCACTAAATTCAAGAACACTATAGGATGTACCACCGCTGATATGGTAAGAACTAGTTTTTCATATTATGCTTTTAAGGTGGACTGGGTCCATCAATATTTCAAGTCCTTTTTATGATCACCACCACCAGAAGTGGTGATATATGTGTATTGTTATAGTCTCCAGCTTTTTGTGAATGGTGCTTGGGCATTTGGTGTTTGGTATTCAGTGATTGGCATCTGTAACAAATGGCAGGTAGTGAACCTTTGCATGTTAATCTCTATAATTTACATATTTTTCCACTCCTGCATGTGTGCATGAATGTACAAAGCTATTACTTTCATATTAAGCTATCATGTTTTTAAATAATTGTTTCGGCCTTGACATGCCATTCTGTGGAAGAGGCTGAGTTCATTAATATTGGTTCAACAAAAAATGTTTTTTGATTCAAAACTTTTCTTAATATGTATGATGTAACTGGTACATTCTTGGCTACCAAAGAGACCTGGCATCAAGTAGAGTCAGTATCTATCAGTGTCTTATTGAAGCTAATATTCTCTAAAATAGCAAGCAAAATAAAATGAAATATCATCTTTATTTGCAGATCAAGTACAATGGTGAGGCCACATTTTGACTTTTTCTTGTTTTGTGTTTTTCTGTTTAATTCAACTGACATCTATTTCAAGTTTCGTGGGTTTCAACCAAACCAAATTAATGTTCTTAATAGATGCTTATTCAATGACCTGATCACTTTGGTGCTTATGCTATAAGAATATTGTTCTTTGCAGAACGTATCAAGGAATCCCTGCAAGAGATATACCTCATGACAAATGTGTAAGTTTTATTTAAATATAAGCAAATTCATGCACCATTGTACTATAATATCACATATCCTTGATCTATCATTGAAAGTAAAGATAGTATGACAATTGACAACATAGTAATAGAGTAATCGAGAACAATAAACTTGATTCCACATGTAACAACTGGCCAATGCAGTATTGCAGTATTTACTATGGTCAAAGGAGGGTAATGTTAAATACACTATAACCTGTAATTTGGAACACCTTTAGAGGTATGAAAGGTGTTCCACTTACACACAATTTATTGTATGTATATGGACTACACTTCATCTACTAAGACTTTGGAAAATGTGAGAGACCCATAGCCATATTGAAAACTTTTCCACTGAGTGAGGCTAATTGTACACTTGATCATTGAATAGTACTTGTATTTTGCATCTATTGAACTCACTGAACAAAGAGCAACATTTGAAGAAATGATATGAAACTATTGGAAAGGGTTTGTCTCTGTAATGTAAATAAATGTTTTTAAAATACTAACAGTTGTCTTTCTCTACATTTCAGGGTAGTCTCAGGACTGTTGGTAGATATAAGAGAGCACATAGGATGCCTCTACAAGCTTACAGAGTGTGTAGCAATGTTAGACATGCTGGTGTCTTTCGCCCATGCTTGTACAGTGGCCAATTACTGTAAGTTCCACAGATTCATTTAATACATACATATTTTGCACACTACATCATGATATTCTATAGAGCCAATGTATATAACTTTTTCTTGCACTATAATTTGGGAGAACGATATAATATTTTAGTGTGCATGTTCACAAGTTCATTTTTTTCATTTTTAGGTCGCCCAGAATTCACAGATACTCTTGCCATCAAGCAGGGTAGACACCCAATTTTGGACCAGATAACTATAGACTCCCCAGTGCCAAATAATACAGTGAGTTGATCAGGGCCAAAGAATACAGTAAATTAATTACTTAAATAGTAAATATTCTTCAATGTCAAATAATGCAGTGAGTCTATAGTAAATATTCTCTAGTACCAAATACTAAACCAGCTATAATACTGATATTTCCCATAGAAAATCCTAAATGAGATTATTAAGATATAAACGTACCCTCCCTGATCACATGTAGTACTGTGTCTTGTTACAGTATGCTTCTGAAGACAGCAACTTCTTGGTCATTACTGGACCTAACATGGTAATCTTCAATTTCTAAATTGAGTCATATTATCCCAAATATTTGTTAATTGATAGATATCAGATAAGTAGCTTTCCTTTTAACCAAGTGCACCATATCATCATCATCTTACATATATTTTTATAGTACCTAACAAAAGGTACGATATTGTAGTCAGCTTGACGGGCGGGCGGGTGGCGTCTCACTTTTCAGCTTGTCTACAGGTTTCCAGCCAAACCATTTTAGGGATTCATCTGAAATTTTCAGGGATGTTTCTACATATCAACGTCAAGAACTGATTTTTGGGCATTCTGGGTAAATCTTAAGGTGGCCATTTTGGATTTTCCGTCCCTAAAATCTTCACTTTCAAGACTTGTCTACAGGTTTCCAGCCAAACCATTTGAGGGATTCATCTGAAATTTTAGGGATGTTTCTACATATCAACGTCAAGAACTGATTAGTTTTTGGGCATTCTGGGTAAATCTTAAGGTGGCCATTTTGGATTTTCCGTCCTAAAATCTTCACTTTCAAGACTTGTCTACAGGTTTCCAGCCAAACCATTTGAGGGATTCATCTGAAATTTTCAGGGATGTTTCTACATATCAACGTCAAGAACTGATTAGTTTTTTGGCATTCTGGGTAAATCTAAAGGTGGCCATTTTGGATTTTCCGTCCTAAAATCTTCACTTTCAAGACTTGTCTACAGGTTTCCAGCCAAACCATTTGAGGGATTCATCTGAAATTTTCAGGGATGTTTCTACATATCAACGTCAAGAACTGATTAGTTTTTGGGCATTCTGGGTAAATCTTAAGGTGGCCATTTTGGATTTTCCGTCCTAAAATCTTCACTTTCAAGACTTGTCTACAGGTTTACAGCCAAACCATTTGAGGGATTCATCTGAAATTTTCAGGGATGTTTCTACATATCAACATCAAGAACTGATTAGTTTTTGGGCATTCTGGGTAAATTTTAAGGTGGCCATTTTGGATTTTCCGTCCTAAAATCTTCACTTTCAAGACTTGTCTACAGGTTTTCAGCCAAACCATTTGAGGGATTCATCTGAAATTTTCAGGGATGTTTCTACATATCAACGTCAAGAACTGATTAGTTTTTGGGCATTCTGGGTAAATTTTAAGGTGGCCATTTGGGATTTTCCGTCCTAAAATCTTTACTTTCAAGACTTGTCTACAGGTTTCCAGCCAAACCTTTTGAGGGATTCATCTGAAATTTTCAGGGATGTTTCTACATTTCAACGTCAAGAACTGATTAGTTTTTGGGCATTCTGGTTTCTGGTTAAATTTTAAGGTGGCCATTTTGGATTTTCTGTCCTAAAATCTTCACTTTCAAGACTTGTCTACAGATTTTCAGCCAAACCATTTGAGGGATTCATCTGAAATTTTCAGGGATGTTTCTACATATCAACGTCAAGAACTGATTGGTTTTTGGGCATTCTGGGTAAATTTTAAGGTGGCCATTTTGGATTTTCCGTCATAAAATCTTCATTTTCAAGACTTGTCTTCAGGTTTCCAGCCAAACCGTTCAAATTTTTACATATGTTACACAGTGATAAGTTCTAGAGCTGATTAACTTTTCTGCGGCCATCTTGCTTTCTTGGTCAACAAGACCTCAATGCTGTGTTTTAGGTACGATATTGTTCACATCTGTGCCTTGTTATAACTTTTGATATACTTTTAATGCTGTGAATTAAAAATATATATGAAGAATGAATAAAACATCAACACAGTAATATATTTGTTATTCTCAAGTTGAATTTTTGTTTACAATCTTAAAGAAACAATATTTAATACATAATGAACAATTAATTTATTATTACAATTTTTCCAGAGTGGAAAGTCCACCTATTTGCGTCAAATTGTATTGCTACAAATTATGGCTCAGATTGGATCCTATGTACCTGCCGAGTATGCTTCTTTCCGCATTGCTGACCAAATATTTTCTCGTATTGGAAGTGATGATGATATTGAGACCAATTCTTCAACATTTGAAGTTGAGGTATTTTCACTGTATCATTTTAATAGTAAAATATGTTTAATTTACTGTAGCACTATATGTAAGCAATTCAAGATTCATGACTAGTTTCAAAATACATTTACATTACAACAATTCACCATATTGGGATTCAGGTCTATTCCCTAATACACAACTGTAAATAGCCAATGGTAATGGTGACATGCTAGACGTTTTGGGATTTTTTGGAATTAATTATCATGAGCTCAGATCCATGGAAGCAGCATGTAAGATACCTTTAGTTATAACTGGATAATGTTATTTAATATTTTTATTAAAACTTTTTTCTTTCCAAATAAAGTACAATGTACCATACTACATTCACATTTGTATTGCATAATTTAATTTAAAGTCTATACTTTTAGATGCGTGAGATGAACTATATTGTTCAGAATGCCTCAAACAAGTCTCTTATCATCATTGATGAATTAGGCAGGGGTACCAGTGCAGAGGAGGGGATAGGCATATGTTGGGGCATCTGTGAATACTTCATCAGTTTGAAGGTAATAGCTAAGATAAAGCTGTATGTATAATATATATCATATCACTTCTGTCCAATGTTCCATCCTCTGTCAATAATTTTTTCAAATATACAATTTGTATTAACTCATATTCACAATCATATGTTTAGTGTTAACAGCTATTTTAGTTTGTCAGATCATCTAGATTTTCCAGAACTTGGCAATTTTACATGAATTCACATTCTTGTAGTCTTAATCTATTTTGCTATTTGCTGTATATTATAACCTCACCCAAGATAAGTTATCAAGATCTGTGAAACAATTTTTAAAAATTTCAAAAAGTCTTTTTGTTTATAACATTCCTTCTAATGCCTACTTTCTGAAAAAATTCACTAACTCTTACTTTATTTCGTCAAAATGCTCTGTTTTTAGGGTTATTTGTCAATTTTTCATGAATTGGGACATTTTTGCATTCCGGTCCATATTTGATCAGATATCTCTAATTTTCCAGATATTATTGATTGATCAGAGACTCTTTGTCATGTTTATTGATGATTGCTTCCAACGATTTCCATCTCAATGTATCCTCAAAAGACAGAATCAATTTCTTCACACTTGAAATCTTTATCCATTTATCTCTTTGTTATGTTTTAGGCCTACACATTCTTTGCTACACACTTCATGGACCTCACTAACTTAGACAGCCTCTATCCTAATGCTGAAAAGTAAGCTCTCTTTTTGTAACAACTTTTGTGCTTCACTTGCTTCTACTTTCCATTGATACAAATCTTCTTAAATGGCAGTGTTTATCAGAAGGATCAGAGGTAGTAACCCTTCCCTTTTGTTCAAAGACATGTTTGCATTTTTACTTGAACTCCATTTTAACATTGCCACTTTGGAAGACTTGATTAAGGCTTCACATTTTTACGCCCATCCAAAGTTCAATATGATTATTTCAGAGTGGAAAGAGAAAGAAGACTGGTCTGTCTTCTCATTTGTAGAAATGGATTTACAAAAATTACTTGAGATACTATTAACGAATAATTGACCAACACAAAAATGGGACATGTCGTTTCAGTTATCACTTTGAGGTTGAGAGAGTGTTCAGTAGGGAAGGTAACTGCGACAAAGTCACATACACACATGTCCTTTCAAAGGGAAAGACAAAGGAGAAACATTATGGTAAGTAATAAGGTGAGTTTATTGAAGTCGAGCTGAATTGTGGTTTCTTGTCAATATGTTGGATAGCTAGACTTGCAGGAGTGGCCGGATCATACTGTCTACTGGTGTTACATAATATTGTTTTAGGAGGTGGTATTGTCTGAGTGTAGTTGTTGACTGTTGAATATTGAGATGAGAACTCTGCATCTGTATGGCAAACTTGCACACCAATGCTTGCCAATGATTTCTGCATCTGAAAACAGATAGTTGTATTTTCACTATGTTGTCAGTTTTAAGTGGCTAAGAACTGATAGAAATAGGGACTATTCCCTCGTGACAACCGTGGAGATAATTCTTGGATATCAACTACTTTGACAATGATATAACATATTGACAGATTGAAAGTCAAGCTAAATATTCCCTTCATTGTTAAATAATTGCTGTGTAGTGGCCAAAAAGGTAAGAGAAGTATTTCAAATGGAATTCAATAGCTCTAATCAACAAATTACCTTAGGAAGGACTCGCTTGCTTTTCACAATTGCTGGTGTATTGGCATTTATCTTCATTTGGGTGACAGGACGTGTCAGTGGTGTCATTTTTCTTTTCTTTGATTCACTAGGAGGATCGTGAGTTTCTGTTGGAGTCTTTGGGGACAGTAACTCTGTGAAAACCTGAAAAACATAGTAAATACCAAAGGATGTAGTGCACTCTCCATTATGATTTCCCCATGGGAAAAAATTCAGAAAATAATTCATCTGATTTTTCAAAAAGAATTAATTGCTTTTATAATTACATTCTCTTGTTGACCTATATGCAGCACTGTATTGATGAATGGCTTCTTTTTAGGGTCAATATTCAATCATGAAGTGTAGAGGCTGAGATGCCAAATCAGCTAAACATTTTGTGTCTGTCAAAATCCATTTGCATCCTACATATCCCTACATCTTATCCAAATATGCTATTAATTAATGACATATAATAGTATAATCTTTGGATGTACAAAGTTGTATGCCATTTAATAATTGTAAAAGTTGCTTTTGGCTAATTTTTCTAGTCATTTTAAAGGAAGGATTACGAACAAATGTATAATCTTTTAATTAAAAGTATTACCTGAATCGATTACAAACTTACATATTTGATGAGATATACCATTTGTGTCATATTGTGAAATTATTTAATTTGCAATCGATTCAGGTCTTAGTGTTTTTTTGGTATATTTGTGGTTATCAAAAGAAACCAATGGCATCTATTGGGACATGATGATATCCTCATGTTAAGTCAATGGAACACATCCCATGTCAAGTCAATACACCCTTGCTGAACTTAATGACCTCAACCCTAGCCCATATGAGTCCAATCTCTTAAATATTTTCCAAAGTGTTACATTGTATTCTTCATGTTGCACCTAAAATGATTCATTCTGACCATAGGTATTTGCCCATAAATGCACTTTGTCTTTTACAAATGATATAATATTGACCCCCGGATAATCAGTGATGTCCCATTATAATTGCTGATATAATATCTTACATGAAGTAGAACTTCAGATATATTTTGAGACCAGCTTATGGGTATAGTATAGCCAATATATTGAGCTCAACAGAGCAACCAAATGGCAGAATTGAACATAATTGAGCTGGATCGTGGCAATCCAGGGAAAACACTGTCAAGTGACAAAAAAGATTACATGAGTGTTGGCAAACTGGGCATGTGCCTTGAGCAAGGCAGCCAATCAGATTCAAAGCCAGTTTTTATTTTTTTAGAATGACCATACTGATAAATATATTTAATGACCAATCAGATAGCATAGGGATTTCCCCGGTTTATTCAAGTTTTGGACAATCAATTTCTACGAAAATAATTTGACATGATCACGAGTGCCGCGAACAAAAGGCCCATAAATGACAGATTCTAAAACTCTGTTTACACTGACCAGTCTTTTTTGTTACCCTGTGTATTTCCAATGAGAGAGAAGAGTGCTGGTCTTTTGCCAGTCTCGACAGGTTTTTAGATCAGACTTGAAAAATGGTGTCTTGTGAAGACTGATGTTACTGCTACAAAAAGACTGATCTTTTTGTGGAATGAATTGTTTCTTTCACATTCTTTCACCAGTCTTTTTTTGTTAAAATTTGATCACATGATACTTCCAAGGTAACAGAGGCCTTCATGCATCACATCACACGATCCGAGGGAATTCCATCGGACTTGAGAGGACTCGACCAGACTTGACAACACTCCATTGGACTCCACATGTCTCATGAGGACATATCGGGTTGTGGTGAACTTAGACTTTCGGTCATCACATGTCTCTAGAGCACTTAAAAGGTCCAGTGAAAGAGACTGGTAAGTGTAAATGGAGCTTTAAAGTGAACAAAATAGACTTTAGATTTTGTCTAGGATGAAGAAAATCTTTTCTTCATCCGATTTTGTCTAAAATGATTTTTTTCAAACCTGGGCGATAATAGTAGAAACGCACGAAGGATTCTCATTTCTGAAACAAGTGTTTTACATTTTTTCATGTGAACATTGCATCATTAAACAATTCGTGTTAGATTTAATGAAATAAAAATATCGATATTGAGGCTTACCCCCTGGTTATCCCGTTTGAGGAAGGCTTCCCTTAATGGGGTCTGCAGATTGAGCTCTGAATTCAGTTGTGTAGGACTTGTTGCCACTGTTCCCAAGGCCGGGATTTCACCACTTTCCCTCCAAAACGTTGATGGAACAGCACCTTTCTTTAATACTTTGTTATATGTTATGCCATTATCTTTGTAAAATTTAGCTTGTATATCTGTGATGTTAAAATCTCTGGACTGAAAGTGATCCTGGCACAAGTGAGAATGTTTGGTAGGGGTGAAATTTGGACGATTTATTCTGACTTGTTTGATCCATTTTTGTCTTGTTTTCTCGTCAGTTGGGAATAAATAGAGACTTTTATTATCTCCCATACTGCTATTACTACATGCTGCGGCTGCACATCGCCTTCCTGTCCGCCCCATGGTCACATAAATTGCATTAAGGTACAGCTGGAAAGTAACATTTTGGTAAAAAATTGCTATACCTGCACATGTTATTTTCTGGTACAAAATAAAGTATGAAGGCATGTGTCAATTCCCTTGCTTTTTTCAGGAAAGTATCATTACATTGTCTTCTTTTAGAATATCTGGTAGGGGTTCAATGGGAACTCCAGGAAATTCTGATATTTCACACTTTCTATTTTTCCAAATTTTCTTTCAAAGTTTCCAGACAACACAGGAGCTACCATTGACCTGTTTCTAGATATTCTATAAGTAAACAGTGTAATGATACTTTCCTGAAAAAAGCAAGGAAATACACACACAACTTCATACTTAATTTTGTACCAGAAAATAACATGTGCAGGTACAGTTGGGGACATAAATAAATGACAGGTGGATTTGCTGAAGTGAGGATTTCCCATGTTAAAAATAAGAGAATTTACAAGAGGCCATACATCAGTGGATGAGATTATACAAAATGTAAAATATACAAATTTTAAGGGATATATATCTAGACAATATTTAAAATTATGGGCTTTCAGACCACCATAATTAGGAAATGGTGATCGAAAATCGACCTGTCATTTATTTTTGTCCCCAACTGTATAGCAATTTTTTACCAAAATGTTACTTTCCAGCTGAACCTTAATACTGCTTATTTCAACAGAGTCGCTGTGTATGATAGCGTCCTTTCGCACCCGAAATGACGCCACGGCACTTAAGGGAATCTGCGCGAGATTCCATTTTTGGTTCGGTTTTAGCGCATGCGCATTAAATCTTGCAATTTATGAAAATTATTTGAATGCATGCGCAATCATTAACTTTGTAAACATTATTTGAGATAGATGTCACTTACATTCATTATTTCACAGCATTTACTTCCCATAATGCCTCTTGTATTGCCCGGAATATTTTCTATGTGAGGTTCCATTTTTGGTTCGTCAATTTGCGCATGCGCATTAAATCCAACAATTTGATTAGTTACAATTATTTAGACGCGCGCGTAATTATTAACGAAATAACTACATATAATATTTTAGATAGATACACGGGGATATATATCACTTGCGTTCATTATTTCGCAGTAGTCCCCATATTAGCACGTATCCAACAGAGATTCAGTCTGAATTTATTCAGACGAAGGATACAGTCTTCTTCCCATATACACTGACCTTATATTGCGGTACTATTTTCCTATAGTGTCAAAACAAATAACTCTCAACCTTAACATATGTTTTCTATTCCTTGGCAATAATTTTTGATAACGATTTTTGGCATTCAACCGAAGAAACCTCAAGAAAAGCCAGATTGCCGAAGATTTGCATTGCAAACTAAGTAGGAAGATAACATTGATGTGAAGAGGGGTGCCCATGGCCAGGGCGGGGGGGGGGGTCGACCAAAATTGTAACAAGTGAACCCCCCCTGGAATTTTTCAAAAAGTGACCCCCCCCCCCTTGGCAAACCCTGGCTACAGGCCTGGGTGATGACATACGTCTCTTATTGGTCAAAATCGACAAACAAAGTGGCGGCCTCAAAAATTTCGAAATACGCTTCGAATAATATTATGTTCATTTCTGGCGTGATAACCACTATCATAGCTTGCTAACATCGATTAAAACATCATAAAGATGTGTTAAATTCGAAAACTAGCTGGTGATTTAAGACCAAATTCGGTTGTATGGGCGACCTTCGGCTGCATGGCATCAATGGCCCAACCTCGGCCGAATGGAAAAGGTGCTGTCCCGTTTCAATGATGGTGTAATAAACTCCACCCCACGCAGACAGATCGCCTAAAATTACATTCGTATGATGCAACACTAGACATTCTCCAGGAAATTAGCAAACTTGAATTATTTCTTAGTTTTTCAAAGAAAGCTACAAATATTTCATTGTTGTTTTATCTTTACATCGTTTTTTCAAACGACGTTACCTTGAAATATCAAGACATCATGCTACTCTCATACCTATAAAACTTAATTTGGCTGTCATTCACCATTTATTTTACTAAATACTAAAATAAATAGTATACAGGCTTTAAATGAAGTTGAAACAATCTGTTGAAAAATTAACCTAATAGATCAAATTGACCTAAAAAATGTAAATATTGAATTCTAGGTATCATTTTTGTCCTAGCCCCAATATATTATCAATATTCTCAAAATAGATAAAATGGAAATTGGAAGTCTGATATACAGAGAGAAATATAATTTTAAAAATGTCCTTATTATGACTCAATACTGTACATTAAAAATGTTTCTAGCTAGAACGTACATATACTAGAATAGTAGCATCGATAATGTAAATGAATCTGAATTTTATTTTCCAAGGTTTGCAACTGGCAGAGATATGTGGACTTCCAAAAACTCTAGTGGACGATGCTAAGAAAATCAGTAGCTGTTTAGTTCAACAGAAGCAGGTAAAGTTATAAAATAATGAGGGCGGTTAAGCGGAACTTGTTTTAAAGAGAACTTGTATGAGAACTTGTAGAATTATTGTCCTCTGGAGGTTAGTTCCCCCTTTAGCCCAATTAAGTATAATATAAAAGTAATGAGGAAAATAGTTGTAATTATGTTCCTTACCTGGAAAAACTAAATGAGGGGTCATAATATTGCATGTTCACGTGTATATCCCCACAAATGATCGTAGTATAAAATATGTATACGAAAAATAAAAATATGATTAAATATAATTATTTCATTCTAGGCAGTCCAAGAGACTGATCTGGGAAGTCGCCAACAGAGAGCTGTGTTCAAACTTGGTACTAGACTCGTACAAACTGCTAGAAATTCTTGTCTTGATGAGAGCAGCATACGGTCTTATTTACAAAGTCTTAGGGATCAGTATGCAAGAGATTTGCAAGGCACTGATAGGATAGAAGAAGAATAGAAACTGAGAGACTACATGAACGTATCTGCCAACTGAATATGTATGAGAATATCATAGCAAGAAGGATCAGTCGTAGGCTCATGTAGTATACTTACATGTACATGTACAATGTTTATCTCACTGGACAATAATTCAGCAGCTTCTCAGATTTTACCTAATTTCTGTGTTTTTTTTATCCCTTTTTACTATAATAAGTGAATTAAATAATTCAAATTATAACATAAAACATATTGCTGTTATCATGTTTTGGATTTACTTCATATTTGACTTCCAAAGTTTTGAAAGACTGAAAATTTCGAAATAAAGATGCAATATTTGGAAAAGTAAAAGTTGAATCAATAAGTTTGTCGCTTTTAAATGCTGTTTATCAATTTTAGCTTCATCAGCGTTTTAAAATGGTTTTCATTTTGGATGGAGTAATCCCTCTAATGAGTTGTTCTTTGAGATATTGGATATCTAACCAATGCGCCATTTAGTAGATTTTTCACAGAGATATTTTCATGACATACAATTTAGACTTGTACGTACATTTATTAAAAATACAGTATTGCGTCTGATGTCCCATATTGGAATCGTATTCACCTGGTCATTTTATTCCCGTTTACGCCATCGAACAATGTTCGGGGATATAAAAACGCGTCTGTATTTGTGAATATTTGAAAGCATATTTAGTACCCTGTTTAATGACGATCCACTGTTTTTGGACGTTTTTGCTTTATTTGCGATTTTGTTCATATTTGATGTGTGAAAAATTTTCATTATTCCAGAATAAATCGTTTTCTCGAAAGGTTTCATTGTTTCAAACATGATCGAATTTTTTGCAAACTTTAAGCAAACGAAAATAAAATCATATCAACGTTTAACCTATTTACTGTAAATCTTAGACATCATAATCTTTTCATGAAACATTCACACATGTAGCTTATTTCCTGGACGGGAATTGCGTATTGGTTTTAAAACTCGGTTAATATGGTATTATCGTATCATATTGGCGATCGGTATATTCAACCATATATTCTCAATATACCTTTATGTATTGCAAGTTATACTGTATACAGCGTTATGTAAAATCACCGACGGTTAGACCGTTAAATATTACAACCCTATTCCCCCAAAATTGTCTTTACAAACATACAATATCGTTCAACTTCTTTAGATATGGAGGAAATACATTAGGATGCCCCTGGCAAATCATGATCAACATCTAGAGTTGACGAAATGAAACTAATTAAATGCTTTGCAATATACTCTGAAATATACGTTGAAATATGATTTCACTTAATCTTGATCTATGATGATGGGTATAATAGGCAAGATAACATCCGTTTATAATAAGAGGACACGTTCATGCAGGATGATTTATATCAATTGATAAGAAGTTCTTGAAATACAAGATTTACAATGATCACAAGACTTGAACAATCAGTAGTGTCTTGTCATATTTTTATTGTTTAGGTCAGCTGATTGATAACAACTTGACACTGAAATTTATTTTGAGCTAACATTGTTACCACTTGAATACAGGGTGACCCTGCCCATGCCTACATGTTATTGAACACATTTGTGAAACATATCACTCTCTGTCGTCTGTAAGGTGTTGAATATAATTTCATTTGAGTCATCTCTAAATTTTACAATGGAAATTCCATCAAGGCTATTTTGAAGAACTGACTCCAAGGATAATTGGTTGATCGTTTTAGACGACAATGTTTTCTAACTTGTGTACATCCCCGGGTGTACATCATGTTTATAATGCACGAGCTCACCCTGTGGAAAGTTCGCGTATCGCAAGATCAACAACTCGTGAGTGACTAGGCTTAAATATTTAAATCGGTATTTATCGACTGACTCAGTCACAATGTTTTCTTTCCTTTCATCTTTGGCGTTTGCAGTAACGATAGGATTGTCGGCTGCTACAGAACCTTGCAATCATGCACCAAGCGTTTGGTGCAGTTCGGAGGAAATAGCTAGGAGCTGCGGGGTAAGTGCTCGTAACTAAACTACATCACAGCGCGCCGTGCATCCATTCCCATCTTGGCTGTATTTGGATACATCTTAGGTTTTATATTGTAGGCTAGTACGTCAAGAGACTCTTGAAGCTAATTGTAGTTAATATGATTAATTTTGAGTTAGTTATCATGAGACATTCTGTATACAAATAGAAAAATAACGCATATGTGTTACTTTATCATTTTCGGATTACACTACAGGTTGTGGATCAGTGTCGACGAAACGTTTGGGCAGTAAATGATAAAGCCAAGCCAGTCAATGTCACCCTGTATTATGAATCTCTCTGTCCAGGATGTCGGGCATTCATCACCCAGCAGCTATTCCCTGCATTTAATAAGATCAGGAAGATAATGAATGTCACGTTAATACCTTATGGTAATGCCCATGTAAGTAGTACTACTAATAAATGATTTATGTCATGTCAGTGGCTAGGTATATTACCATGTCTAATATAATAGAAAGACTGTATATTTAGATAATAGGGAGTTTAAGCTTGCATATAAAATCGAAACATCAACCTATACGTATGACCAATCGCCCATACACATGCATCGCTTAGATATTATCCGTTCATGTTTAGGATGTGAAATGCATTGCAAGCTTAAACTCCCTAATGAGTAATTTAAACGTCATTTCCGTCATACCCGAGCACATGCCAGTCTTTGTCTCGCCAATCTCGCTGCAACGCATTTTTTGTCCTTGTTTACAAATCAATGTAATAGGGTGCGAAGAACAATGTGCTGTAAACAACAATAACCCAGATGCGAGTAGAAATAATCTTGATTTACGTCATTAAAAATTCAGTCAAAGTAATATCATATTTGAAATCTACATGTAAAATTACATCTAGAAATGTGGTTTTAAAAGGTTTTTATCAACTTTGAAAAATTAATTTTTTTGAAAATGTGACTTCTAGCTCGAGGAGATTCCCCATAGATGCTATAAAATCACAAAAATCACAAAAAATGAAATATCTTTTCTTTTAGTGGACAGATAATATTTTGCTTTACTGGACATATTTTCATTAGTATAAGTATCAGATACATAAGGGTAATATGAAAATTGAGCCACTTAAATTGATACTATTCAAGTTTAAGGGAACTTTCTTATATACCTGCCATGTTAATTGACCCGAATCAGCCACCTGGTGGTGAAACTGGTAACTACCTACTCGCATTTGCGTAATTGTTCAAAGAGTTGCATATAGAATCAGAGAAATTGGGCCGGTGACATGACATATCATGAAATATTGTTCTCAGCCATGATGTCATATTTCTAAGAAAGATTAATTGAGTATTAGAATGGGATGACAGAATTTCAATCACCGCTTTTCCCATCAACGGATCAAAGTGCCTTTCAGGCTCTTTTATCAATTTACTTGTGTTATACAAAACATATTTTATGATACTTGTATCTTATCATTCTCTTATGCAGAACATTGTAAATTCTAGATTTGTTTGACTAACGATATGATTACTAATGTCGATATCACAATTTTTTATGAAGACTCACATTATTCCAATTAAGGAAAATATGTATGGCAAGAGATACCGTACGATACAAAATAACACTATTATCGGAAAGTTGCTATTTATTTCTGATTTTCCCTTTCATGATATATAAAAAATAGATGTCTCAATTATCTATCTATTCGACCTCCATATCATGTAAATCAAGCGCTCATTGTATATTACAGGAGAAGCAATCTGGCGATAAATGGGTCTTCACTTGTCAACACGGAGTAGAAGAATGCATTGGGAACATAATTGAGGTAATTTAAGATATAATTGTAAATCAAATGAGATTCGTATCTTCTTTGACTTTCAAGTGGTGATCGGACAAGTGGAACCTTGTAAGACAAGACAATTTAGTGCAAACTATATTCTAAGAATGAGACCCAATGATACCAGGCGCTAGGCTCAAAGACCCGCTATATTTCTTTTCAAGATAGCTCAGTATCATACCCTACCTCCTATATCTATAGATTTACATATAATTTTATTTTTGATTTTCTTAAATCTTTATTTTTCAGGTGGTTCTTAAAACTAGTAAACGTGGGTACCTTCCTCCTAACCAAGGTTTTTGTTAGGTACACGTGGGGGTACATGATTGCTTATGATGTAAAGTGTACACCATGGGTGGTGTCCATCCAAATGATGACAGGACATGGACATATTCAATCTGTTGCATCCTGGTTTTATTTGTCATTTATGCTAAATTGGATCGCCCATTTATTGTACATTGTTTATTTCCAGTCCTGTACAATACATATTGTCCAGAACATCAGTGCATACTTTCCTTTTATTGACTGCATTGAAAAATCAAAAGAACTGCCAAGAAATATAGCCAATAAGGTAAACATCTTTTATACTTTATTACTGTGTGTTTATACTTTATTACTAGCTGACTAGTGCAAAGTAGTCTCTTATACGTCGATATGAAAATTTTGGCACAATGGGTTATTTAAAAATCGAGATGACCTTTGACCTTATATGACATTCACCATAAAATCAATATAGCTTTCAATTTTGACCTTCTCAACCCGTACTGCATATTTATCATCTTAATTAATTATCGAAGTGCTTCGATCGTGTCTTCATTGTTTCTAGTGTGCCAGACAACATAACCTGGAGAAAGTCTACCCAGATATTGAAAAATGTGCAAATGGACCTGTTGGTGATATGGTGGAGCACTCCATGGCGATACTAACAGAGGGACTCAAGCCTCCTCATAAGTACACACCATGGATAGTTGTGAACGGAGTGAGGACATTTCCTTTATTCTTCATCACAATGCTGAATAAATGAGCTAAATAGGCTTACTCAATGTCTCAAGGGTTTGCGAATATATGAAAAAATAGACACACTGCACGATTTCCCACAAAATGTATTCACATTTTGAGAACAAGTTTTGCCAAAATGATTTTAATTTTCCATTATATAGAATATGGATTTTAAAGTGAAAACATTTTTCGATTTTTCAAGATGATTCCTGATCTCAAATAACCTTGACGAATGAATGAAATAGACAAAACATCAAAAGTTAAACTTTGACGTCTGAATGGCACACCCTTTTTTCCTCCCAGCCCCAGCATATCTTTGTCACATTCAGTGAATGTCACCCAGGTATGAATATGAGTATTCCTTATTTTAGATGCACACAGATACTATTCAGGAAGAGGCGCAGCGTAATCTGATAAAGTTTGTTTGCAAAACATACAAGGTACATTATATAAGAAAATATCAACATACATTTATTAATCAAAATGACAGTGACATATCAAAAACCATACATGACGTACATAATCGCTACTAGCATGTCTAATATATTATATATTATATACTGTAATAAGTGCATCTTAAAAAATAAAACATAACCTTGTTGAAGTCTCATCTGAAGATGCAGTTTCTTATCGACTATTACATTGTCAATAATACTTTCCTTGATAGGGTGATAATATACAATGAGTACTCTGCTGTCTAATGTAATCCACATCTGTGTTCGAATGTATCTATTATTAATGTATTTCAGGGTACAAAGCCAAGTGAGTGTATGCAGTTTCTTCAGCCAGATGCTAGAAATATTTGCCAGAAATAGACATTGTCACATTATTATCGACTTTCGTTTGCTTCATATCTTAAACAAGGTGTATCACATTTATTAAATAATAAAGTATTACAAATACTGGTATATATTTTGCGATGTTCTGTTTTTCAAGTTTTTAAATCTTGCCTCGATTACCAAATTGGTCCATATTTGAAATGTTATTATCCCAACGATCGAAGTTCGGTAGGGATACAGTGAAGCCCCCCCCCCCCATCAGTCAGTCCGTCCGTCTGTCCGGAAGATAACTCGATTACTTGTTGATAAATTTTCTTCATATTTGTTGGAAAGATGTATAGGCTGTTGGTGAATAGTTTTAAGATGGCCGCCGCTTTATGGCGGGAACTTTTCGCGATAATCTATGTTTTTTATCTTAAACCAAAGTGATAGATATTGTTGTTTGAAATGTTGAAAGTATATTCAAAACATATATTTATTTCACATATATTCCGTGTAAAATTCAAAATGGCCGCCATATGTGAGATTTCGCAACAATTTAAGCGTTAATTTTGAGTTACCGTTTTCTAGTTTTATTCTTTATACATGCTATAAGGGTTACAATATCCGTTCAAAAGGAAAAATGCATCAATTTAAAAATTCATTTAGTTAATAACCCTGTTGCCATATTGATTTGATATTTGACACTAAAAGTATCTTGCAAACCTTGATAGTCTATTATTATAGTAATCAAAACCAGAACATATTGGATTAGGGTATAATTAGTGATTGTTTGTCAGGTATTGGATTTCCAACGAATAAAAGCAAATGAGAGTAGTGAATATACATTTGCCACATTTACCTGAATTATGAACTTATTAGTTATCATCAGTCAAGGCTTCATATGATATAGAAATAATCCGATAGATAACAAATATGTATTATTCGTGTACCGGTATATGAATGTATCCAATATCCATTATATATATGTATATACATAAAAATATACATATACATATAATATATATATTAGAACACCATTTATATCAATTATCTGTACAATAAACTTGACAACCAATGACATAATACATTTATCCTTTAAGCATTAAGTGATTGTCTCTAGTTTGCTGCTTGTGGTGTTAAAACGTTGATTGGTGTTGCATTTGTATCTGACTTTGTATTATCCCCATTTACACTTTGTATTATGCTATAATTGCTCTTTGAAAGAGAGGGGACACTGATAGTTAGACGCGAACCATTGTTAGAGTGTAACAATGGTTTCTTCTTCTTTCTTGGTTTAAACTTGCACACCATGCTGTCGTTTGCCACATCCATGTCCTTCCTTCCTAACAACCAATATGTCTCCATCTTTCCCTTGCCCTGAAAATAGCCGAGGTATTACATTTGCAATGTCTGTTCAGATGTTGAAGTATAATATGTCGGATGATAATGCTCGACAAACTTGTACTGCCAAAATTCCTTCGGGTTACTTTCCTCGGGAATTTCGCTCATGGTGCTGGGGAAAAGGATACTCCGTCGGAAGATGAGAAGTATGTGCTGTGGCAGAGATGTACAAGCTTGAAGAGCAAAATATAATCATGGAGACTGTTTGGATCGGAATGTACGCACATTACCCTCCTGATGACTGAATGATACACTATCAGACTATACGCTGACAGACTGATATTCGAATGTCATATCAATTTGTCTGATTTCACAGTCGTTATTTTAAGATGGTTTTAAATAGATTTCTCGTGAAATTGTGTACTCACTTTAATTTCAGTGGGTCCTCTTGGTTCTATATTATAACCGCCAAGTTGTTCTAGTTTCTCATAACAGGGAGAGCTTATGTGGATTTTTTCGGCTGGAACAAGAATCGAACGGAATAAATTATTAATAATATTGATATTGATTGATATGTGTTGAAAAAACGTTGTTTTATGTATTGGATAGGAAATATTGATTTCGATACTGTATACAAAAATGTGATTTTAAGGTTGGAATGGATTGACAAATTTTAATGGGCCAATTTCTCAATTTTAATTCAAGAAATAATTAATTTACAACAGAATAAGCCGATTCTCTTTCGAAGAAGAAGGCACCGTTGTTTATCATGACGGACTGACATATTCTTCATATATTGTTATTGGCAAGGTGCTTTTATTATAAGTCAGAGCTGTAATATCCAAGGGAATGAAGTTCGAGTACAGTTATAGACTAGTGAAGCAATTCCTCCGTCCGTCCGTATACAAGTATATCCGGGCAGTTACTCAAATACCGATTCACGGTTTGGTTTGGTTATAAGCTCATGTATGAAAGATTAAGTATTTCCAACATTGCCGTTTAATTCGTAATGCCCGCCGGTCAGAAAAATTGTTACTTTGGTCAGAATGAAGATAGAAAGTTCAAATTTTATTATATATGGCGGCTGCTCAACTTGTCCACAATCTCATTGCAGCAAAATGGACTCAAATACGGTTTTCACCCTTGTTCCAAATTGTATAATCTAATGTCTTGGGAAATATATCGAACCTCAACTGAAGACTTTTTTCACTTCAATTATGGCCATTAAATTACCCAGATGCGATTATGTAGTTACCAGTTTCACCACCAGGTGGCTGATTTGGTGTAACTAACATGGCAGGTAAGAAGAAAGTTCTCCTATAGTTCATATTATCCTTATGTGTCTGATAATTATACAAATGAAAATATGTCCAGAAAAAGAAAATATTATCTGTCCAACACAAAAAAATATATTTCATCTTTTGATTTTGTATTATGGGGTCTATGCGAATCTCCCAGACCTAGAAGTCACATTTTCAAAGCTTAAATTTTCAAAGTAGGCAAATACTTTTTAAACCACATTTCTAGAAGCAAATGTACATGTAGATTCAAACATGACACCCCTTTCACTAACTTTTGAATATTTAATGAAGTAAATCAAAATTATTTCTACTCGCATCCTGTGTATTCAAAATGCTCGCAATTTTTCTTAAAAATGTACTCTTTCATTTGGGACATGACAAAATTGCTGACTTAAAAATAGCCGCCATCTTTCATGTTTTTTAAAAATATTTTGTTAACTTAGTTACACGTTTTGTCCAAATTTTAACTCTGTCAAAGAAGGAGTTTTCATGTACGTGCTTTTAAAATTGCTGCCATTTTTATAAATTTCTGATAACCCAAATACCAGCTCTCATCAGATTTATAGATTCTATGTGCTGATGTATAGGCATAGAACTCCAAGAAGGAATTTCTAAGATGGCTGTTGAATTCAAAATGGCCGCTAATTTTTGACAACGCAAACTAGTTATTGGATTTGGTCGAAGGAGAAAATATTACTGCCTGGTTATTTCTCTCATGAAATATTCAGAACGATTAGAGGGGAGTTGCTGTTTTTCTAGTAGATATGGCATAGCTGTAAAGCCAACCATTGATTTAATTGATTTCTAGTAATTGTTTTCAATTTTTTTACTTACGGAGACCATGCGATTCCATTCGAGATGCAGTGTTAACCGTGTCACCAAATAAACAATACCTTGGCATTTTCAGGCCAACAACCCCTGCCACACAAGGCCCTGAAATATGAAAATAGTTAGGTAGCATGTGCACAAGTAGACTAATTGGTTTTGTCATTAGCATTAAATGCTTTGTATTTTAAGGCCCCGTGGCAACAGAGACAACCACCTTCTAAAATAGTTGTCACATATTTACAACATGCATTTTTTCCCTCACACGATTTCTTGTCGTTTCTTTATTCTAAAATGTCCAATATTTCTGACTTGGGCACTTGGATGACTTGGTATAGTAGTAGTTGATAAACGTTTAAAAGGGGAATTCAATTGACTGATTGTTACTCCAAACCTAACGAGATTTATCTAGAATAAGATGCGCCTAAAGCTAAGTATTCTATGGCTGTTTATAATTATCAGGTAAGAAAGAAATAGTCTGGCAGAAACTTAGAAGCTAATCGTTTCCTTCGTAGTACAATGTTTTTTAAAACTTTTCAGCATGAATATAGATTTGGGACTTCAAAACCACTGGATGTCGGAGTGGCACCCTTGGTCAACTCTCTACAGAGCATTTCTTATACCCCCTGATAAAATATACAGGGGGTACATAAGACATCATCTTATCCTACACTTAGTGTACTAAATGTAAAATAACATGAAAAAATAAACTTATTGGCAAAATGAATATCCGGAGGATATCGTAACGATATACTCCGGGCGGAGGATATCGTGACGATATACTCCGGAAAACCCAATATGCGGAGGATATTGTGACGATATACTCCGCTTGTTGATTTCCCGCCAAATTGACTCTATTTGGCATGAAATTCATTTTACAATGATATTATACATTCAGTACACTCCTTGTAAGTGTAGGATAATAAGAACATCCTATGATTTTTTCAGAATATCATTTTAATCTACTCGGTGATATTGATATATGCACTCGCTCGCTTCGCTCTCTCGTGCAGATATCAATATCACCTCGTAGATAAAAATGATATTCCTCAAAATCATAGGATATCCTATAAATATCTCAGACATTGATAGATATACAGGGTGATCACTAAGTTCTGGGAATTTATCTGTCATTTCATTATTTTTCAACCAATTTACTTGAAATTTTCAACATAAATGGGGAATGTAATTTTGGGTTGGATAAAACAGTCTCATTGTCATCTGATGTCACAATGGATAATTATTGTTACTATAGCAACATGACAAATGGCGTAGCGGGTCAAGTAAAATAAAAATGAATTCAGATTTTGCTTGATCCAAAAGTATGGTTAATAAATACCTATTTGGTGGACATATTTCTGTGATTTTTTATGTTTTCAAATACTTCTAACTTTAGTTTCTAAAGTAACACCTTTATTGTTATATAAGAGTGTACTTTGCTCTATTTTCCTGTTATCCATCAGCATCCCAAAGTTACAATCATGACTCATATTAGCGGGGAGTTATCTTCCATTATGACTATGCTCCATCCCTTTACTCAAGCTGCCCCTACTACTCTTGAAGAATTAGGGTTCACACAAGTTATTACTGCTCCATATTCACTAGACAATATTCCCCAGATGAAGCAGCATTAGGCTTCATTACATTTTGGGTGCTAAAGCATTATATGAGAGGTCATACATGTAAGTTTGATTCCCATAAGGAACTGATTTCAACAGCCTGAGCAAATCTTCAAGGGATACTACAGGGAGGAATGGAACACATCTTTATGGACTAAGTTTGTCAACAACGCATGTGCGTCCAGGCTTATGGAAACAAATATAAATGAAATGATCCTCTCAGCAATGAAGAATAGTTCTGAATAAATGACTTCAAGTGAACTGTTCTACCTCTAGTACAAGTAGTTTGAAGTAACCATCTAGGCAAGATGAATATGTTTTGCAGGAAACTTTAAAGATTAACATCAGTCAAAATTTGCTGACCCGCGATCCACTGTTACTTTTGTTGTAATTACAATAAAATAAATCATAGATGTGATATGTATTTGAAACATTGCTAGTCAATTCAGAATTATACAATGTACACCTGCTGAAGATTTCAACTAAAATGGTTGAGAAATCTTGAAATGGCAGATCAATTCCCAGAACTTAGTGATCACCCTGTATTAACTTGAAATTTTCAGGAATTAGTTTAAGTATGATGCATGTATGACAAAAATCAAGGAAAATCATATCAAAAATGCATTTCCACGGTAACAAATATTGTTCTGTTTACCGATTAAGATTTTTTTCTTGATTTTTGTCATACATGTCAAGCATCATACTTAAACTAATTCCTGAAAATTTCAAGTCAACATGTTTATTAGTATCTGAGATATGAAGGTGTCTTATAATACCTCCTCTATATTTTATCAGGAGGTATAAGAAATGTTATGAAGAGAGTTGCCCAAGGCTGCCGCTCTGGCATCCAGTGGTTTTGAGGTCCCAAAATATTGAAAAAACATGAAAGATGGCGGCTATTTTTTAAGTCAGCCATTTGGTCATGTCCCAAATGAAAGAGTACATTTTTAAGAAAAATTGCGAGCATTTTGAATACACAGGATGCGAGTAGCTGCAGGATACTGTATTCTCCATATCTGCATGACAAAATTGCACGAAAGGCGTTTTAGAAATGACAGTTGTAATTCCAAATAAAATTCCTAAGGCGCTATAAAAATGTTGGTGTAATCAGGATGGCGATCTTGTAAAGTGTAAAGCGCTTACAGTAAAGCGCTTTTAGGCCTAATGTAATTTCAGCAAATAAGAAGGAAACAAAAACAATTACTTCTAATCAATTGTCATTTTTTCAAAACGATATAAATGAGTAATGTGCTGAGCGAAAAATCGTACGTTGTCATCATCACAGATAGTATACTGAAGAGTGATGACGGGACGTACAGATTTACCGTGTTTACCTGTATGTATTCCTATTCTGAGTCGCAGTTTCTCTTGTGGCGAATGTGGTATGCTCACCTGTTTGACAGCAGTTAGTAAATCTAACGCCATAGTGGCGATTTCCTCAATATGCTGAAAGGAGAAAGAAACGAAAGTGGATTAATCGATGTTCATACACCACAATAGGGAAGTTAAGCTGTACGTTTTTAAGAGAACTTGTACGTGGACCTGTAGATTTGGGGTCTTCTAGGAATAAGTTCTCCCCCTGGTAGTAATTATTTGCCCTATGAAGGTAATATAATAGTTACAATTCAGTCTTTGGAAAAAACAAATTTAAAGGGAATGGGAATCCATGAGGATCCTTATTATTTCACGTACAAGTTTTGTAATAGCGTGTAGCCTCCCTAATATGTCTGTCCATATAGGGCGCTTGTAGTTATTCAAGGGTCCATTGTGGGACTAATGGAGCTTGGTGAGATGATTGGTACACGCCGTAGATATCACTAGACTTTCGATGTCTAATTCTAATGGGAAATAAGATAATGATAACTGTATTTTAGCTAATTGTTCAGTTAATTGTGGTTAAACAATAACACCGCAAGTACATAAATAATAGAAAACCATCGAGCAGAAAGTAGTGTTATTGTTATATATTATTCAGATTTGTTGCAGAGTGTTAAAGACGCCATCTAAAGTTTGAAAGTATATTTTTATTATTCATTTAATGTTTTCATAATTTTTAAAGTTTTTTTAAACAAGGTTTTCGAAAAAAAATTACTTCTCGAATATTTCCCGCCAAAAAATATTATTTTAATCATCAAATATTCCAATAAACAGTGCAAAACGCAATTAACTTTTTTCACTAATTGCGAAAATTGAACAAAGGACACATTTAAGAAGAATATAATTATGTTTTAAACATTACTTTACCATTAATATGAGAACTAGAATTTTAAAATGTATTTTCCCTGAACCTCATTCATACATGGATGAGTTCATTTCTTACTTTATTTATCAACCAATTTTCCCGATCAACAAAAAACTCTAGGATAAATACTAAGCATTGGTAGAAATTATCGCTAAAAGACCTATATAATTAAGTTTTAAATAAATTCACGATTTATCGAACAGAAAGTCCATCAAAAACCGCTTGTTGTATTTAAAAAAAAGTTTGACGTATCACATTTTGATATCAGTGGGTAGGGGTAGAATATATAAGCAAAAGTGGTTTAAACTTTATATGGGGCCTTTAAGCTGTCAAGGTTTAGAACAACATTTACTAATGGCATCCATCGACTTCCAATCACTGTCATACCTGATCAAAGCGCAAGGGTACTTGTAACATTTGATTCATTGTCTGGCCTCGTGAGGAATGATTATAAAACCTCGTCCCTTCCTTTTGCCACTTAGTGTATTTTCGATGAAAAATAGCAACATGAAAAAGGTAAAGCCAAATGAAGAAGAGCATAATGCTTTTAATGAAATACCTGTACATGTTTTAACATGGTTGTGATTAATAGCGTTTTTTCAAGCATGTAAAATTTTCAAAATTGTAGATTTAAGCGAGGGAAGCGCCCCTTTTACATTATTATTTCGCCAGGATTTATAAACATACAATTTCATGAAATATGAAAATACATGAAGGATGTCGACGTATGAATTAGACTCCTTTTTGAGATGCATAGAGGCTAACTCAAAACTCTCACCTTTTCACCATTGGGTTCTGGCAAACCAGATGCCACCATATAGGCATCCCCGATAGTTTCAACTTTATAGACATCATACGTGTCAATACGGTCATCAAATGTTGAGTAGAGTGCATTGAGCATTCGAACAACTTGCATAGGAGTGCTCCTTGAAGATATATCAGTGAACCCAACTATATCACTGAAATAGATTGTCACCGCATCAAAGCTAGTGGCCTTAACTGGTTTACCAAGTCTAAGATCATTGGCTACACGTTTTGGAATCATTTGATACAGTAGTTTTTCCGTGAGGTATTTTTCTTTGTTAAGTTCGGTTGTTTTATGAATAAGTCTATGGGAATACCTGAATATCCATTCACTCATTCGACGGACAGTTATGATATGTATCGGGCATGTGATCAAAACCAATAGAGCTATAAGTAATTTTATTGCTAGATTTCTGTTACATGTTTCCAATTGATTGGAAAGTTTAACCTCAAGGCGTTTTCTGTTATCCCTTTCTTTTGACTTCACAAACTCGATCAAATCTTTCATGACAATGTACCATGTATATCGAGATTCAAATAGTTTGTCTGGTAATGCTGTATTAAACACAATATCGTCCTCTTCTAAATAACGTTTAAGATTGCTAATCATGTTAATATAGGGATATCCGTTTATATTTAAATTTGTTGATGCGGTCGCAAGTACGTCAATATATTTTTGCTCTAATGCCATGGCAACCAGAAACGCCTGGATATATTTTGTTTTATTGATATGTAAGATGATACCAATGTAACACTCCTCAGATATCACTCGAGTATATTCCATGAGGAATAAAGAATTATAAAATTCGCTATGGTATGTAAGGTCCTGATCAGTTGAAATCATATTCCGTGTTTGTAACCTCACTAGATCCTGGTAGTTCTGAATGAGACTAGATAGGCTTCCGTTCGTGATCCCCGTGTCACTTTTTACGAGGAGTCTAGTCCTGTTTAGAACGTCGCAAAAGGCCCATGTTGTTTCATTATTACTATTATGTGTTGAGCATTCAGAAATGATCGTGTCCGTTTCCATGTGTATATCCTCTAATTCTTCTGTTAACTTCAATGTTTTGGTTGAGGATTTATTGTACGGGGACGTTACTTCTATGCTATCATTTTTCGTGTAGAGATTTGCGGTTGAATACAGCACGGAATAATCCAATTCATGAAGTAAAGAATACGTTGATTCACATTTCTTTCCAAATGTTTTGAAAACATTTTGTGTGTGTTTGATGCTTGATTCATATTCAAGATCAACTATTGCTTCCGTAACGACAATTGTTAAGAGACACGCAATCGAAACAATGCAAAGTGTTACCACCTTGACCACTTGGAACTTTTTTCCGTTTTCTGTTGCTAAATTCGAATCGCAATTTATGATTTGTTTGCTTCTTAATTCTTCATTAAAATCATGTGGGTATACGGAATTCTGTTTTCGGTTGTAAACCGAATCAACATTTTTCATTGTATCCCCCGCTTTTTATTCGCATTACAAGTTTGTCTATTTATCTAAAGTAACACTTAGAATTAGATAGAATTATACGGCTTTCTTCTGTGTATTGTTATATCAACGAATGCATGAAATCATGTTATTTTTGTCACTTCTGGAGATAAGCATCTATATGGACGACATTGTATCCTACTTCCGTAATAACCTTTATTACTACCTTTCAGTGAGATGTCACCAGTAAGTACTAACTAAAGCTTTGCAGTCTCTTGGAGAATATTCCAATAACACTAATAGATACTCGATGCGGTGATCTAAACGCAACAGGGATAACCAATCTATGGCGACAGGTATGCCGAGAGTAATTCTAACTTGTGACGTCAAATGAAGATTATTTTAACAAAATTCGTGATACCTTGCATTCTTCTTATGTTGAAGGTAGTAAATGTAGTATGATATATTGACATTGAATGTTTTTTTTTCAAATATGATGAACCATTATACCATACAAGGTGAGCCAAGACATTGGACACTCACATATATGCTACTATAAAGTTTAACATTCGCTATCGCATGTTTAGATTTGTGAGTTAAATTATGTATCTTTTCATTTTCACACAAAAAGGTTAACATTATATTAAGATAAGTTGAATATAAAATAAATCACGAATGATGGCACAGATCCGAGGAAGATCAATCGAAGACTAAATGAAATTGAGAGCTATTATGACTTGTGAAGTTACATATTGGGTATCTTTCATAAATTGATCAGCAAATCCTATTTTTAGTGAATTGTGACTTACATGTAAGCCCAGTATACAGCAATGGGGCAAGTTGGGACCTCCACAGACTTAATATATGCATTGGGACCTCGGGGGACTTCGTCGGATTTTGCCCCATCTTGCCCGATCTCTATGGGGCTCGATTGGGCACGATGAGACTCGATGGGGCACAGTAATCAAGGTCCCATGGGTTTTAGTGGGATTCGATGGGACTCGATGGGGCAAGTGGGATTTTGCCCCATTGGTGTATACTGGGCTTTTAACATTTTAATTGTCAAAATAACTACTGCAACCAAGATATATAACATATGGATCAAACTTTTTTAAACATTCCCTACCTTTTGTTATGTTACATGTGGTTCGTCTACATGATCCTAAATATTACAAAAAATGATGGATGTCACATTTTTATGCCCCCCCCCCCCTTGTAAACATAGCATAAATTATCAAAGCTTTCAAAATAAGAATTGATTTAAAATAATATTTCAGCTAGTAAATATAGCGTTATTCCTTAAAGGAATCAAGATGACATCTTTCGGCTAACTCGTTTCTAGCGTGATCATTAATGGGTCGCAGATGCATATTGGACTTAAAAACTGCTTATTGTACTTCTGCCTATTTACTATGTACTATTGTCAGTTATTTTTACTTAACATTTTCAAACTGATTAATGAGAAAAAAACATTCAGTACACAGGTGTAACAATTTCAGTGTTTCTGTATTTCTTGGCAAATAGTAAACTATTATCTAGAACTGACACGCACTTAGTTTTTGTTGCGTTATGGGAGTTTAAATCTTCCCCACCGTAATATTTCAATGAATGAAATATGGATTCATCTCTAAGTGTAACAAGGTGTTTAATTTCCAAAAGGACTTACACTTCTGTCACTGATCCGGCGTAACAGATTTGTTCGTCAACCGAACGTAAACTGTCCCCAGAAGCTTACTAGTATTGGGCAATACACTCATCATTAGTTGTAATAAGGTCACTCTACAGGGTGAGCCAAAATGCCACTTTTTTCTAAATACCACAACCCTTTTAATATCGGTGTATTATAAAAGCAGTATAGAAAAGGAACGCACACAGTGCACTGAAAATGCCAAGATAGACTAGATATACTGGAGATCCTTAAAATGTTACCATTATATTTTTGGATGAGAAATGCACCCAAACTGCAAGAGCCCGATGACCACCCCGTTAATTGTCCTATTCTTGATCAAGGGCAGATTGACAATTGAGAATAGTAAATTTGAAGAAACTAAGTCATTGAAATTGATGCTGTCATATGCTGTCAACCAGGTCTCAAAGGTATCATCAACGATGGTGGTGGACCAATTTAATTCTAACATAGGGTCACTAATTAACACTATGAAACTGCAAAAAGGGTGCATAGGTGCTGTATAAAAAGTAGCATTTTCAAAAGTTGTGTTTGCCACTCTCTTTATTAACATATAAGATGGGATTTTAAGCCCTAGATATGGAGATTCATCCTTGTTGCACTAGTTTCAATTGCAATTTAACTCAGTCTATTATTGTGCAATCAATGCATTAATTTCCGCTAAATTGTATGAGGGGATCCATAAGTTCGTAAAGTTATGAATTATTTTTTGTTCTCTTACTATGGAATCATGATTTCCATGGGTTCAGGATTTTTATGGTTTAAGTGGATGAGAAATGTATTGAAATCACATGAATAATTCATTACTAAACAATGATTAATTATCCCAGTATATTATAGGAAAGCCGTCCATCCTTCCGTCCGTTCGTGTGTCCGGGCGATAACTCGAATACCGGTTGATGAATTTGATTCAAATTGTATAGGCTTATGCCTTATGGGTGTAGGACCTCTGCTCGAGAAGGAAAATTGTAATATGGCTTCTCAATTGAAAATGACCGCCATTTGTCTTGATTCTATGTCCCGATTTCATGTACATTTACGTTGCAATCAGTGAAAATAATGCTAAAACGGCCGCCTGTTGATGCTTTGAGGTGTCATCAATTGTTATTTAATCCAAATAAAGTAAACATTATTTTGTAGATTTAGACACGGACTTTCAGGTCGTATATGCATTTTAGTCATTTAATTAACAAGAACGCTAGATTATACGTGTTAATAGAGTATCAAATTGAAATTAAATAACGATTAATTAAATATGAACACGTTAATGATAAATGACTTTCCGCTATCAGTATTAATGACTTCCGCTACTCAGAATAATTAAAATTGCTTGAACTACATGTGAAGAATCTTTCTATATAACCCCTTGTTTGGTCTAATTCACTACCGTCCTCAAAAACCGATCATTTGAAATATTTTGTTCAAAATACTATCATGCCATGACTTGAGAGCATTTTGTTCTTCAGGATTTGCTGAAGGTGATATGACGTCGTACAGTATTTCTCTATTTTTGTAAAAAATCGTCGATGGGACAAATTATGTCACGCACATATTAAACAATAACTAAAGATCTGAGAAGGGATGATAGTCATGTGATATATCATTGGAATCTTGAGTTTATGAGCATTTTTATGATAATATAATATCATATGTTTCAAAGTTTATATTCATTCTTTTCTTCCCTGGATTCAGCCTACTAAAATTCAAAGGAAAAAATCGAGATGGGACAATTCTCTGTCACGCACGTTTAAAGGAAAATCTCATACTTAGCTTGATCTAAAGATAAACGTGATGAATCATAAAATATGGGCTATGAGCATTCTCTACATACCAAATATGTTATCATTTGTTTTCCTGATATCATTTTAGACTGCCATTAAAACACCCTAATCAATTTTTACAACGTCAAAATATTTTAGGACAAAAGAATGCTGAATTTGACCAAGTCATATTACCTGGTCCAAATAAGCTTAAATGCAAAGCAATACAACTGAACTTAAAATTATAGTATATGTAGTATAAGGGCAATGCTTTTATGACATTATAAAAAATATAGTTGAATGTCACTAGAAAAACCTAATTTCGTGTATTGAAATGACGAGACTCTTTGAAACCTGCTATATTTCTATCAATTTTTTTCTTCGTACAAAACAGACACAAGTCGCATAATGTTTGCTATGTAGACAAAATGAATACAAAACATATATTTTTAACGGAATAATGACATCTTTTTCATAGGTTTGATTTTTTAATAAGATAATAAGGGCTTAAGGTCCTTACCAACATTTATTTTTTGAGTTTTACACATTTTTAATGCTAAAACCATTGTTCAAGAGTCTTTCGAAAATAGACCATTACGTGTTAGTATTTCTGTAAATGTACATGAGATCGGGACATAGTAACTTATGCTTATAAGATGTAATGTTTGATAATTCAAATACTATAGTTGACGGATTTGGTTCAGATTTTATAAGCCGATGCCTAGGGACAAAGGAGAAGAAGATATTTTCAAGATGGCCACTTAATTTCATAATGCCGTCCATTTTTCGTAAAAAATTTAATCGTTGATAACTTAAATACCCGTGGACGGGTTTGGTTCAAATTTTATATAATGATGCTGATCGAGACAAATGAGTTCTGATCAAGAAGACGTTTTCAGGATGGATACCAAATTTAAAAATGGCCGCCATTTTTCGTAAAAATATAATGTTTGATAACTCAAATACCTGTGAACAGATTTGGCCCAAATTATATATGTTGATGCCTAGAGACACGAGAGCTGTGTCCGAGAAGAATTTTTCGAGCTGAATTTCAAAATGGCCTTCAGTTTTTGTAAAAACGTAATCTTTTATATCTCAAATTCCAGTGGATGGGTTTTATTTAAATTTTATTTGCTGATGCCTGGGGACACGAGAACTTGAATTTTCAAGATAGCAGCTGAATTTCAAAATGGCCACCATTCTTTCTAACAGAACGTAAACTTTGATAACTCAAATACCACTGGACGAATTTGGTTCACATTTTATATGCTAATGCCTAGTATATAGAGATAAATGAACTCTGTCCAAGAATAAAAGACTAGTCCCTTTTACACCGGTTTGGAGCACGAAGTTCACCAGTCTCCAAACCGAGACTTGCATTTTATTGAATCGGTCACGTTACACCTGCTTAGGGCAATCTTGATATTTTACGTATTGTAGATTTAAATGTCCTCTTTTGAATATTCATAATTCAATAATTTCAATTTGGGTGTTATTTCTATATTTTTCATTCTTCATTACATATTTCTGCCTTCAACTAGAAATAATAAATAGAAGGCCATGATTTCTCATGATACTCCCCTTGCAAGTTTTAGATATATTTACTCAATATACCTGAAAGGGCACATGCTAGCTTACCAAACAGCTGATCATGCATGGTGTAAGGTGAAGTTTGTGCATTGTAAGTTTATTTTTTCGTTAGTTTATGAACATAAAAGATATTAAATGTTAAAAAAATTTGTGATTAAATGTTCACAGACATGACATATGTCATGAGTTTTAGATTAATATTGGACTAATGAAAGTTCAATCTCACTTTTTAATTGTGTCATGCGATTTAAAAGTCAATTCCGAGTAGGCTATCCGTAT